TGCTTATTTTGTCGTAAACTAACACCTTTCATTTTTTGTGCAATCTTTTTAAAATCACTTCCATCAATTGAACCGTTGAATGATGTATAACATTTAGGACATAAAGCAACCATGTTATCACCTTGTTTCTCAATTGCTAAACCCAATAACTTCTTCTCATGTGCTTTTTCTTCAGCTTTATTCTTTAATTTAGGTTTAAATTTCTCATCAAAACAGAAGAAATCAAATGGTGCGAATTTGAAAATGTTTTTATCATAAAATTGTTTATCGGTAACAATTGCTTGAAATGCTTGAGTGTTAGGAAGATTTGGGTCGCCAGCGATTGCCCAATAAGATGAATCAGTATCACCTTCAATGAAATGAAAACGATTAACATCCATGCATTTATACATAAAATCATAAATGAAAACCAAATACCAGTATTTAGCATTATCTAAAGTGAAGAATGCCTCTTGTAAACATGTATCACATCTATAAAATCTATCTTTAAGCATCACTTGATATGTATCTTCACCTATTTCTCTTATGTTTTTAAACTTATTTGACATACATGCAACGCGTGCCCTCTGTGCATTCGTTATTTTAGTCTTTGCGTAATTTTGTGTATTCATTGCATCGTAACCATATGATCCATTAAGCGAAATCTTGCAAAATAAACTTTTTCCTTTATTTCCTTCTAATTCAGCCTTTTGTCTTTCATTCATAAATTTGTTCGCAAATTCATTAAAACAAGTGTTTTTCGTAAATGTTAAAATTGATTGAATATCATCAATGATAAAATGAAATCTGTCGATTAGATACCAAAGATAATAAGAAGAAAATGGTTGATATTGGTTGTGTGTTGATGATAACTGAGTTAATTTTCTCTGTTTCTGGTCAACTGGTAGATTGTTTGATTTCATGTAATTATACATAAAACTGCCAATTGTTTTTTCATCTGTGATAATATCTAAGTTTCTTATTATCGGTAAAAAGTTTATGTAATCATTAATGTATTTTTCATCAATGTGACCCTTTACTTCAGCCACGAATAAAGTATTTTTCTTCTTAATTATTCCCAATGCTTTTGCTTTCTTTGTTGCTGTATCACAAATGATAACACCATTCAATCTTCCCGGCATACACATTTTATGGTCAGTATATTGAATGAAATCATGAGGATTAGATGAAAATGATGAAGGATATAATGAATTAAAGTCAACTCCAACGAAATGAGTCATAATGTTGGTGGTGTCCTCATTTGATACAGTTTTAGTTTCTGGATTATATGAAAGTTTATTAATGTGCGTGATTCCTTTAAGATTAACACGATGTTGAACATTTGATAGACCACCAGTAATTCCATTACGGAGAATGTGATAAGCTTCAACTGAATCTAAAGTCATTGGTAAATTATTTTTTAATGCATAATTTCTTAAATTGATTCTTAAACGTTGAACATCTTCATCTTTATTTGATTTCACGACATTGCAATAACAACACATTAACTGACAATTTTCTTTAGTATGTGGTTTTTCATTATCGATTCTATCCAATGTTGGTTTATTTGCATATGTAAACGCTTTACCACACATTTTGCATTTAGATGAAAGGATTAAATCGTGATAGTATTGAAAATCATCCATTGAAACATTATTTTTAGTATCCCTTTCTGCTTTTTCATCTTGTTTCTTATATGATTCAATTTTATATTTCCAATACTTTTTCGTTAATTCAAAACTTGATTCTATCTCTTCCTCAGGATATTTTTCATTAGGATTAAAGTCTTTATATGCTAAAGCGTAACGAATCATTGAAGCATTCGATGATAAAGAAAGATTATGAAGCATATCAATTTATAAACAAATGTTTCTTCAATAATTTTATCAATTGGGTCAATCATAATTTCAACATCTTTATTGCAATAATGAATAAAATATTCTAATCTATTCTTAAAGTTTTTAGCATCATTGAGATATTTCGATAATCACTATCTGATATAGTTTCTTGGGTTAATGCTGAATAAAATGAATCTTTCGTGAATGGTTCCTCTTTATATAATTCTTCTTCGTAATTCTCCCATGTGATGAATTGATAAGGGAAAAAGGATTTAACACGTGATTTATTGTTTCCGAAATCTTGAGTGAATTGGTCTAATGTCCCACCCGCTATATAATTTCTGATGTCAATAAATCTCAATTCATATGAGCGTTTGTTTTCTTTACAATGACTTGCTTAAATTGAGAAGAAGAACCCAGCATTGATTTTATTTTCCATTTTGCAGTGTTTAAATCACGAAGAATTAAATTTAAATCAAACTTTCCCGAATTAAAACCTATGATATTCACTTTATTGAATTCCTCATCTAGAAGTTCTTTAAATGCTTCCTTCTGTTTTTCATTTAATGTATGAGACAAAGTCCCCGCCGTTTGGTCCGTTTGCGACTTCATTAATTCTTCATATTGTTCAATATTTGATTTAGCAACTAATGAACAGGTTGAAAATAAAAACTCAATCCAATCAGAAATAAAAGAATCACTCGAAGTTAAGCAAAAATTCCTCGTATATGTTTTATCGTTTAATTTAACCGTTGATGATACCATGAATGGTTTTAAGTAAGCGTTCAAAGTTGCACACTCAGAAAGTTGTAATTCTTCTTTAGTCTCTAATGTTTCGAAGTCAAAAGTAATATAATATCTTGTCGGTTGATAATATTCCTGCAAATTATGAGCTAATAACCACTGATATATCTTCTGTTTCGTAATATGTGGTGCATATGGTTGCTGTGTCTTTTGCAACTGAACGTCTTTAATTAATCTTCCATTATTTTCTTTACATTTCTCACAATGCTTTAAAAATCTTCTTTGGTTTTTCCTTTCTGGATCATCACGGATAGAATAAACTTCTTCTTTACAATATGGACAAACTCTATAGCCGGTGAGTGCTTCAACGTCTGTTATTCTGTCAGCGTGAAGTTTTCCACATGGACTCTGTGTTAATAAAATATTTACTGTTTCAAATTCTGGATCTATCATTATTGAATCCACTAATGGAAAGTCTACCTTATTTATATCCACGTCTTCTGGTTGAGGATCACAATAATAGAAATCAATATTAACATTTAACATTCTCGCTAATCTCTCACTTTCTGATGAAATGTCAAACCCTTCATATGCATCTATTGCTTCATTTAAATAGCTTCTACGAGTTTTAGGATTAACACCATCAGGAATGTTATAGAAGCGTTTAAATAACCTTCTACCTTCTGCTCTAATTTGATTATCATTCATTTTAGCTGTTCCGTTTTTGTTCATTTATGTAAGAATAAAAAATTAAAAAATAAAGTTTATTTTTTAAAGCCCATAAAATGAATTAAGAACACATAAATTTTTATCATCCGCGACGTGACGAATACATTTTAATTTACTGAAGAATGTGTACCCTGATACATTAAATCTAATTCCTGTCTTATTTAATTTCACAACTTTGAAAAGGAATGTATGAATAGCTATAAAATGATGAGAAGATGTTTTATGGGTTGCTTCCATTTTTTCTGAAATAAATGAATAAATATAATGTTTATAAGTTTTCATATCTTTTATATTCTTAATAACGAATGGTATAGACCTTTCAACTTCGTCTTCCTTCGGTGCTGTTCTTTCATATGAAACATTATTGGTATCTTCAATAATGAAACCACAATCACACAAAATTTTATATGTTCCAATGGTTTCTTTTGATATTTTATCTAATAAATCAAAAACTTTATCAACACCTGTGCATTTATTTAAATAATAATTTGTGTAAATATCATGATCTTCTTTCTTAATCGTATTAGTTGCATATGTCACATTTTTAAGAGCTTTTTTGAATTTCTCAGAATCGAGAGGGGGTGAAAGTAAGATACAAGGGTATTTTTCATTATCAATAAATTGTAACTTATGTTTACGAATAAATTTAGTACCTTCTTCTGAAAGTGTTTCATCTATTTCGCCATCTAATAAATTTTGTGTTGATTCTGAGACATAATTTTTATATCTTTCTTCATGAGATTTCTGAACTGCTGATTCTGAAGCTGGGATATTCATTAAACCCTCTACTTCATTTTCATTATATTTTTCAACTTCTCTTAATTCCTTAATTTTTTCATCTATTTCATCTCTTATTTTTTCCAGTCTTTCAATTTCATTGTATTCATCATCATCTTTAATCCGTTCTTCATAATATTCAGGGAAAACATCAGGTTCTTTAGGTTTTTCTTCTTCAGATGTGGGATATAAGAAATTTATAACATCCTCTTTATTCATTTTTCCATCATAATCTAAATCATTTAATAACTCGGCAAATTTTTGACAATTTCTTAAATAATATTTACTAACTTCATAACACATCTCATCTAATATATCCTTTATTTCCTCGTTTGTGAATCCTAATTTTTTAACGTTGTTAGTTTTGACGCTCATTTCATACGAATTAAAAATAAATTATTCAAAAATGTAAGACATAATTTTTAAAGTTTATTTTTTTATTTTTTATTTCATTATGGTAGTGAATCTTTTACTCGTTTATGAGGTCTTTGATTATGACTCCATTGATTCCATTCAGGATTTAAACAATGTTTAATTAATCGTGGAATATCTGACATCATCTATATATAGCTTCTTTTATAAAAGATAAAAAATAAATTATTTTAAAATTAATGTTAATTTTTTAATGCGTTTATAAATAAATATATGGGCTGAGTGTAAATGTCTTACAATTTTGAAAATTTTTTAAATCTTGATTTATTCAAAAACGTAAGAATAAAAACCGTCAGAATCATACATTTTTTACTTCATATGTTAAAAAAAATGATACAAAATCGCTCGATATTGCATGAATTCTTACGTTTACAAAAAAAGTCACACAACCCTTCCACATATACTACTATTTGTTGAGTGGAAATTTAATGGGCAATACGACCAACAAAGAGGAAAGGAACTCTAACTCCGTGTTTTGGAATTTCAAATTCCCATAGTGACTCAATCAGTCAAGCTGTCTTCGGTGTGTATGAGAATGTGAAGAAATAATGTTTTCCTGAGAATGCATTCGGTTGATTGTTCATTTGGTGGTGTCCAAACTGTTTCATAAAGATCGGCTGTTGGATTGATCATCTCAATTCGCTTAAATGCGTGTTCCTGGTGCTTTAGCAAATCATAGACTTCTTCTGGAGCAAACATAACTTTGAATGTTGTTGTTTGACCTGGTTCAATGAATCCTGTTGTTGGTCGAATTGAGAAACATGGACCGGCAGCTTTTGCAAAATTAGATCGCTATGATTCGAATTTCTTCAATGACCATGTGTACTCCATCCTTATGCTGCAACAAAAGCCACCTCCAAAACCACAAGAACCACGATGAACATCGGTTGTTCGAGTCTGGAACGTCGGTTGTGACAATCGTGTATTTAATCACATCTGAAACAACAAAAATCTTAAGAAGGATTTCATGCAGCTTTGAGTTTGCAACATGTTTGTAACTTGGTTCTGGAGCGATTGACATTCTTCGAACGATCTCATTGCCTTGGCCATGTTGAACAGGAGCTGGCTCTTGTGGTTGTGGAGGTGGCTCTTGTTGCTGAACTTCTTTCTTGGATTTCTTTGATGAAGATGATGTCTTTTCTTGTGTTTGTTGCTGTTGTTGTCCTTGTTGTTGCTGCTGATTTTGTTGTCTGATTTCTGATCTCTTAAATAACTAAGGGCAAATGCTGCGGAATTATTTCATATCATTATAGATCAAAATTTTAGATTAGAAGTGGAACAACAAGATAAAACATGTCTTTCTAGTAATAATTATACAACCAGATATTAAAGAGAATTTTAAAGAATGATTTCATGTAATTATTTGAATAAGTTCTGCACAAAACTGGATAGAATTGAGAAACATGAATATTTGCAAAATATGAGGAAGGATATCTTTCAGATACCTTAAAAGTTATACTACTGCAGTTGATTAATGCATTTAAATTTTGAAAATCTCCTTCGCCAAAATATATAACTAATTTCAGCTTTTTATTGTCTTGAAAGCAATTGATTTTCCCTATTGAAGTTAATGTGGATGGCAAGATAAGTGTTTCTATTTTATAGCAGAGTCTTAAAAAATAATTACCGACCGATCTGAGTTTTGAACCTTTTTCAAAAGAAATGTAAGTTGCATTTACAAAAGCGTCTATATAATCACCACACACTTCTATTGATGGTGGAAAAGTTAATTTCGTGATTGAATTTATATAATTAAAGATACTGAATCCAATGAAACAAGTGAATTTGGGAGAGTTATTTCAGTGATTAAGTGACATGCTCTTAATGAACATGTACTGAGAGAAATTATTTTATAATTATTCATTGTATCCGGAATTCTAACAATTCCTGATATCAATGTGCCTTTTACAAAACCATTACCATCAACATTTCTATTTCCTGTCCCAAAAGTAGCAGTTCTCAATGATTCATCAAGGACAGTATAGATGAACGTATCTTCAAATACTGTCATGTCAAAACAGATTTATTTAATATCCCAGAAAATCCAGAGGTTTGCATAAATATTGAAGATCAAAAGCAAACAGTATCAAAAAATTATCATCATCAAAAAAAAAAAATGAAAAGGATACTGTCAATTATTTCTTCATTATCATAAAAAATATATTAAAGCCAAACAGGAATTCTATTGATGGAGACACACATAAAATATCTATTCTTAATTATTAAAAACCATCTACATTCTTATATATGTTCAAGATATGAAAAAGAAAAAATAAAATCGTTAAATAAAATCATTTTTTAATTTGAATTAAGACCATGCATAACGCCTTGAGTATTTTCATGTTTTTTCTCAATTTTCGAAGATTTATTCTTTCTTTAGATTTAAGAACGTCAAAATAAGAGAAGTTTCTTGAGATTATTGACGAACTTTTGTTCGAACTGTCAATTGCCCAAATACTGATAGAATGATTGTTTCTTGATGTCATATTTGATGGAAATGGAGCTTTATAATTAAATTCACATTCATTTTGTGACTGAATTGGAAGATCTCCTGCTTCGTTTTCTTCATATCCATCAAACTGATAAAAAAATTTAATCTTTTGGCAATCATAATCACATTTAACTGTTCCATTAATAATAAAAAACTCATTATCATTCTTTTTGAATTTTTGATTGTCTAGTGCGGTGATGCTGAGGATTGGTTTCTTCATAATGTATTTGAATGAAGCATTGACATACTCGCCACAAGTTCCTTGATAATATGGATAAAGGTAAATATAATTAGTGCCATCTATTAAATCATTTTTGTTTAGAACGTGATAGCTACTGAAATTTGATGAATAATCTTCGATTCGAGGGAAAAATCCATATAGTTGATATTTAATTCCATGATTATCATTGAAGTTAAAAAATACATCAATTCGTACTGACTGATATGTAGATGACAAAACAAAGGATATATTCAATCTTGTGTCAATGTCCTCTCTAATTTCTAATGGACTTAATTTTATATCAGACATATTAATTTTTGGTGAATCTCCAATTGTAAAACTTCTATATGATTCAAAATAATGACTGTTAGTGTAAACTCTAAAATAAATTCTGTAATCACCAATAGGTAAACGAGAAATATCATATTCTTGATCTACAACTTCGTCTGTAGAAACTAATCTATTTGTCAATTGAATATTAGATGGATAATATCGACAGTGAATCTCTACTGTTCTGCCTTGCCTATTAATAAGTGAGTAAGAAAGCTTCAAAGGTTCAGTTACTGGGTATTTAAAAAAGTATTTATTAAGTGAACAATTTCTAAACTCAATGTAATCATTTTCGAGTAGATTCTTTTTATGATTATTATTATTATGATATAATTTTATGTTAAGTTTGTTCGATATTGATTGAAAAACCATTGAATTGAAATTTCACTTAAATTATTTCTTGAATTAATGCTATACAAAAAGAAATAAGTTAACTGCATATCAAAGAGATTCTTTGTGACTTTATATATTATGAAAAATCCGAATTTATTTTGGTCAATTGAAAATTTGGGACTTTTGATAGTAAATTGTGGTCCTTTAGACGCTGATTGCGCATAGATTCTTGGGTTCTGAAATAGATAATATAATAGCGAGTAGTATAACTTGAAATGTATGAAAAATTTCGAAATGAAGACCTGTAAGTTCAAAATGATCTGATTTTCTGTCTGAAATAGTATGGCACATTTGTCTGTAAAATTTAACGGGATTATAACACTCCCGTTAAATTATCTCGAAGATCAGAAAATTCCATAAAAAAAAAACTCTATTAATGAATGAAGCAATAAAGCTAGAATTAAAAATAGTTAATTTTTTATAAGTATATAAAACAAAATAGAAAATTAAAAATAGAAATATGTTGAGTGAGAAATTTAATGGGCAATACGACCAACAAAGAGGAATGGAACTTTAACTCCATGTTTTGGAATTTCAAATTCCCACAGAGACTCAATCAGTCGAGCTGTCTTTGGGGTGTATGAGAATGTGAAGAAATAATGTTTTCCTGATGAAACAAGTGCTGAATTAGAGTCAGATTTGATGCATTCAGTTGCTTGTTCATTTGCCGGAGTCCAAACTGTTTCATAAAGATCGGCCGTTGGATTGATCATCTCAATTCGCTTCACGGTGCGTGTTCCTGGTGCTTTAGCAAATAACTCAATAACGCGAACACCTTCTGGTAATGGATATGTGAAATCTGGATGTCTGTGTGTCAAGTAGTCGCTAGTGTCGATGTTGAAGTGACAAAGAGGACGTCGTGAAAGTGCCGAAAGATTGATCTTTGGTGATTCACCAATCAAATATGTGATGTTGCACTCAAGAATGCCTTTGAAATCATCAACTTCTTCTGGAGCAAACATAACTTTGAATGTTGTTGTTTGACCTGGTTCAATGAATCCTGTTGTTGGTCGAATTGAGAAACATGGACCTGCGGCTTTTGCATAATTAGTTCGCAACGATTCGAATTTCTTCAATGACCATGTGTATTCCATCCGGATGCTGCATGTGTTCGTGAGATGAACATCAGTTGTTCGAGTTTGGAACATCATAGTGGGAGCAAAACTGATGTCGGTTGTGTCAATAGTGTATTTAATCACATCTGAAACAACAAAAATCTTAAGAGGAATTTCATGTGGCTTAGAGTTCGCAACATGTTTGTAGCTTGGTTCTGGAGCGATTGACATTCTTCGAACGATCTCGTTGCCTTGGCCATGTTGAACAGGAGCTGGCTCTTGTGGTTGTGGAGGTGGTTGTTGTTGTTGAACTTCTTTCTTGGATTTCTTTGATGAAGATGATGTCTTTTCCTGTGTTTGTTGCTGTTGTTGTTCTTGTTGTTGCTGCTGATTTTGTTGTTCGATTTCTGATCTCTTCATGAAAGCAACAACTCTCTTTGCATCATCCCAATCAACAGCATTTTCATCTAATTCGATTTTAGTGACTTGGCAACTTCCTTTTCCTGGACAAAGTTTCAATGGTTTGTCACAGAAGAAAGTAGCAGTAATTTCTTTAACTTGGAATCTTCTCAAATGTCCAATGCGAGGAACAAATGAAATTTCACTCTGAGAACTGAAAACAAATCTGATATCACTGTCAGAAACATTCTTCAGTGCGAATGTTGCTGTTTGTCCACGACCAACAACTGCATCAACAAAATGCAAATCGTTGTCGTCACCGATTCCATCGAATTGGAGATCTTCGCAGAAACCTTCTCCGCCTGCACTGATGCTGATATTGAACTTAGGATTATCAGCAACAGTTAAAATAACATCGAGCTGAGATTTGCGAGCTTTCTGTGGCCTGTGGACGAAATTGAGTTTAAATGTTTGTCCAGGAGCAACAGAGAAGTTCATTGATTCTAATCCAAGAAGTTCGAAGTCAGGAGTTGCTTTTGCATTGACAGTTATCATTGCTGCGATTTGTTTATCATTAATGAATGATATTTCACGGCTTTTATCTGTTCCAATCAATGTCTTACCCATATTGATTGTGAATCCATTCTTTGCTTTATCCAACTGAGTAATCATTGTGATAGAAGGTAATGCACCAGATCCTTCGATGTTGTACTTACAGACATTGATTCCTCCTTTAGCAATTACTTCCAAAGTTGCTTGGAAATTGTCACATGTTGGAGGAGAGAAAGAAATATTTGTTTGTTGTGTTGAATTTGTTGCAACAACAATTGATTTCTGTTCAACATCAAATGGACATGGACCTTTAGCTTTTGGTTTGATGATAATATCAACAGGACAATCAATAGGTAAGGTATTAGTCAAAGTAAATGGAATTAACTCTTTCTGACCGACAATTCTTGGTGCGAAATGAATTGTTTGGTCATCTTCAATGAAGCATGTCATATCTTTTCTTGCCAAATCAATTCTAATCATGAGAGGAAGTTTTCCGAATACTTTATCAGGCTGAGACATACTCAGTGTTGGAGTAAATGAAACACCATGTAACTTGAGAGTTGTTGTTCCTTCATTTGGAGCTGTTTCATTCACAGAAAGAATGTAAGAAGCGGATTGTTTTCCTGGTGTTGAAGTGTTGAATTCTGCTTGGATGTTTTGTGTTTGTCCAGGATGAATTGTTCCGTACATTGGATTCAAAGAGAATGGTCCTGTTGTTGCTGCTGCTTGTTTACCTTTCTTTGGAGGTGGTTTCGCTTGTTTCTTTGATGAATTGTTCTGTTCTTCTTTCTTCTCGGATTTATCTCTGAATTCGTATTCGATTGGGAATAAACCGGTGTTCTTGATTTGGAATTCTTTTGTAACATTCGCCAAAGAAGAAATTGATCCGAAATCAATTGATTTTCCACAAGAAGCTTGGTATGAATTATAAACAGCTTGTGCAATAACTGGGTATTTAAGTGTTGCTGTTACTGCTTTTGTCTGTGAATCAATGATTTGTAAAACAACTCCTTCAGTAACATTAAACTTAAGTACAGCACTTGAATCGAATGTTGCAACAATCTGAGGATTCTTGTCTGAACTTGATACTGTTCCTTCTGTTGGTTGCAATGTCAAGAATCTTGATAACTTCTGATCAACTGTTGCTTTGAAATTAACAGGATATTTGCCACGGTTCTTCATTGAAATTGTAGCTGACTTTGATTGACCAACTTTCATCAAACCGAAATCTAATGTGTCTGGAGTATTTGATTTGGTGAAAGCAACATCGAAGTTTACATCAAAGATCTCTCCTGTTATAGGTATGTTATATGACTCGAAAACATGAGATTTCTCTGAATCCAAAACTTCAATTGTAATTGCTTTTTTAACTGCAGATGGTTTAGGAGCCGACATCTTTGCAATTACTGTTGCTGTTGCTTTAGGAGCAATTGTTCCTTCAACAATGTTGAAATTGACCAATCCTCCAAGTTGGTTTGCATTCTTGATGTGCCAGAAAGCAGTAACTTTTCCGGTATTCTTAATATCCAATTTCTTTTGTTTTTCGGAATTAATCAAGATCTTATCGAATTCGATTGAAGGATGAGCAATTTCTATTACAGGATTGCAGCAATCGCCTTCAACATCGAAGAAGAATGGTTCTGGATTATCCTTAACAACAATATTTAACAAAGCTTTATGTAATTCAACTGTTGTTGGATTGAATCCTAATGTAACAACAACTTTGTCATTTGGTTGTATTGTGAAGTTTTGTGGTTCACAAGACCATGTTGTTTGTTTTTGTTGACAATTAGTAAACAAAGTAGAAACTTCTGCAGGGAGTTTTCCTAGATTAACAAATGTCAAAGGAATCGAATATTTCGGAGGATTCTTTCCTCTTTCCTTTGTTGGCAAACAGAATCCGAAGTTTACTGTGTGTGTTTCAACACTGTAACATGGTGCAAGTTTCGGATCGAATTTCTTTACAACCTTAGGGAAAATCACTTTAGGTGTTAAATCAATGGCTGGCAAACTTGAAAGAGCTTTGACTTTAAGAGGAATTGGAGGAGTACTTGATTTCTCGATCGCAAACATCAATTGGTCATTCAATGATCCGATTGACTGTACTGGATCGAAAACAATTGGCATTGTCATCTCTTGTCCAGGTTCCAAATGCCATTTCGGTGTTAAAACTCTCTTTCCAACTTCAATGTCATTTGGTTTCATTTTCGCTGGATCCAAATCAGAGATGTAGAAGCATTTAGGAATCTTTGGCCATAATCTCATTGCGTCTGCAGTTACATTGTCATCAATAACGATTGGTTGAGGAATTTGTCCTTTAAATGCGAATTCCTTCAATGAATTAATTGATGGTAAGAAAGACAAAACTATTTCTTTGATATTCTCCTGTTTGAGAGCAGCATTAACGAACATAGAGTTGAAAGAGATGCTTGGATTCTTCTCGATTGTGTTCAACTGACTTGGATCAATGACTTTGTAATGCTCTGTTCCTTTTGAAAGTTTTTGATTCAATAAACCAACAGATAACAAATAAACTAAAGTGTTGTATTGATGAGGATCTGTTGGAATTGTTGTCTTTGTCTTCTTCTTTTGAACAGGAGGTAATTTCGTCTCTTCTTCTTTTGTTTCTTTTTCTTTGTCTTTCTCTTTTTCTTTATCTTTCTTTGATTTCTTTCTACTACTCTTTGATTTGTTTTTGTCATCTTCTGCTTCTTCAACTTTTGGAATCTTTCTGTATTTCCTTCTTTTGGCATCAATTTCTTCTTGTTTCTCTGGTGGTAATGCCAAATATTCCTCTTCAGTCATATCAAACAATTGAAGAGCTTCTTCTCTTCTTTCTCTCCTTTCCTGGCGTTTCTTCTTGTTATCATTTTTATCCTTTCTTTCTGCAACTTGTTCTGGAGTTAATCCCATTGCAATGTGGAAAACATAATGTCCATCCAATGACTTTAAAAGCATTTCTAATGATTGGCAGAATGATGATTGCTGTTGGTTCTGATAAATAGACATTGGATGAGCCAAGATATCATCTAAAGCATCTTTCTTCGCCTTCATTGTATGTTGCATAAATGTTTCATCAACTGGCGAAATTTTATCACTTTCTAAACCATATCCATCAACAAGGAATCCATGCATGAATTTGATGTCAGAAAGATACTCCATGAGCTTTGGAACTTGATCGGCAGCTTCCATTTTAACGAATTCATCAAGATTAACAATTGGCAAACCTAAATTCTCTGATAAAGCATTTGCCAAAGTTGTTTTTCCTGATAATGGAGCGCCATCAATAATAATGCAATAAGAGAACTTTGAAGCATTTGGAGCTTTAACTTTTGGTGTGTAAGTAACGAAAGGAGACTCAGCTTCTCTTGCATTTGTTTCTTCTGTTTGATTAAGTGCCTGATCAAACTGTAATGAGAAGAAATCAATTGGATATTTTGTTGGATTGGAAACAACAACATTTGAAACTGTTGGTGGAGCGTAAGGCATCGTTGTTGGTAATTCTAATTCAGGAGGATTGAAATTAAGTGTTAATTGTGCACCACTTCCTGAAACAGTAACAAAAGAAGGAGCTGGAGAATGCTTCAAGTTAAGAGGGAATTGCATTTGGTATGGTCTTTCAGAATTAGGACTGAAATGAATTGCAATGTTTATGAAAGAAGAAGGAGGTAAAACACCGGAATCAGGTACAACATGGAAAATAGGATTCTCTGTATTTGCTACTTCTTTCTGAGTACTTCTCTTAAGAATGTCAACTTGTTGTGCTGGTTCAAATTTGAATTCAATTGGAACAGTGTTCATATTCTGTAATTGCAATGTCATGATTTTTGTTTGACCAACAATTACTTGTCCGAAATCGAAGTGAGGTTGTGACAAACTCAATGATGGTATATTTAGATCGCATGTAATTGCCAAATCGATTTTATGACCATCTTGGAAAATTATAGGAATAGGAATTGATGTTTCTCCTGTAGTTGTTGTTCTGTAATTTGCTACATTAAATGAAGCTTCAATAGAAACAGATTCTCCTTCAGGAACATTTCGGAATGATGTTGGTTCGACTTTGAATCCCGATTTCTTAAGATTTGTTGTATCAATTGTGAAACAAATTGGGAAATGAGCAACGTTTTTGATGTTGAATTTCTTTGATTTCGAATCACCCAAAACAATTGTTCCGAATTCGATATCATAAGAAGCAACAGGATCAGCATCATGTAATATACTTGTTTGATCTTGTTTTGGTGCAACACTAAACATATTTCTTTCGCTCTTCAATGATTTAAGATAATTTGAAATCAAAATCTTTTCTTGTGCTAATAATTCTTCGCTTGTATAAACAATTGTGGCAACACTTTCATCTTCATCATCTGATTGTAGTTCTTTAGGTAATTGTAGTGTTGACTTCTTTGCCTGTATTATTTGGTTGGCTCTGAACTTCTTCTGCAAAGATGATGTTGGTTTATCTCTAAATGATCTTGGAATATCTAATTCAACTTGTGCAAATTGTGCATCCAAATTTACTAAAACTTGTGTATCTTCGAATTTGCCAATTTGTATTGTAAATGATTCGTTATATTTAATAGGTGTTCCTGGAGTGATTGTTACCTTTAATTCTTGTGTTGATTTCGGTTCAACTTTTCCTGAAATTGGAGTAATTGTGAAACTTGAAAATTTTGATCTTTTTGGTATTTTTATGTTGAAAGAAATTGGAACATTCGATGTGTTATCAATGACAACTTCATTAGAAACTGTTGACATGAAATCAATCTTTCCGAAATCAATTGATTTTGGCTCAATTTTATAATTAATTGTTGCAGAACTTCCACTTAATTCAAATGTATAATCTGGACCCGATTTTACATGGCAAACTGCAATTGCTTTGTATTTCTTTGTTGATCCATCAGCGGCTCCTTGAGCGAAGAAAGAGAAGTGTGTTTGGATTGATTTTTGAGCTTCAATCGTTCCTCTAATTGGAAATACATCGAAAACTTTTGTTTCATCATCAATTGAACCCAAAATTTCCCATTTATATTCGATATCTTTATCAAAAACACATGTTAAATTAACTGTTTTCGTTTGTTCAGTATTGGAAACCATTGTTCCGAAATCAATTGGTCCTTCATGATCAAAAGAAATATTCGGGAAATTAACAATAGCTTTCAACTGAACGATTTGTTTTTGCGGGTGGTCATCGAAAGAGAAAGATAATTTCTTTTGAATGACTTCGCTGTTGAAATCGTTCTTGAAACTTGGATCGAAAACAATTTGTGTAGAATAAGTTTGTGATGGTTCCAAAGTAAAGCTTGTTGATGGCATTGAGAAAGGTTGTGGACAATCTACTTCGCATTGTAAAGGAATTTGGTTATTATTGGTTATTGTCAAAGGTTTCGTCATTACCGCCATCATATCCATTGTAGGACTTATTTCTTCATAAGTTATTTGTGGTTGTAAAGTGTTTTGTTTGAATTCTAACATTTGTGATGAAAATGTAACAATAGGATCAATGAATGTTGCTTTCATCAATGTGTTATAAACTTCAACTCTCGATCTTTGTACTGTTGCATTTACTTGAATTTGAACTGTAAAAGCAACAGTTGTCATGCACATTGTTGTGATTTCGAAGTAGCATTCTTCATCAGGAGATAATTGGACGAAATCAGGTTCAACAGCTAATTGTACAACAGCTTGTGAATCTTTGGGAACATGTGGTTTCGTATGTGAAACTCTTACTTCATAATTTCTTCTTGACACGTTCTTTAACGTGAAATTAAGTTTCGTTGGTTGCTGTGTCAAAATATATCCCAAATTTATTTCACTCATGTCAATTGATGAAATAATTGGTGTTCCAATGCCTGTAGCTATCAAAGGCATTTGTGTAACTGTAAGATAATCAAACATAAACTTCAATTTGCCTTGGAAAGTTAATGTATCATTAACTGTGGCTGAAACAGTATAAGTAAATGTTGAATTTGGTGCAATTTCACCTTCAGTTATATCTGAAGCGAAAGTAGGAGTTATTTGGTCGATGACAGCTTTGAATTTAGCAGGTATTAATGAGTTATTCGAGATTGTAATTGATTTTGTCTCTTTCTTGAGAATGTTGATATTTCCGAAATTCACTGTACTGAGAGAATATTGGATTGTTGGGCCAGTACATATTGCACTGACTGATAGATGTAATGGTGGCTTCTCGCTACCTATAATTTTGAAGTAACATTCGAGTTTTACGTTGCCAATTATTTTACCTGTCAACATTACTTGGAGATTACATGAAGAATGTGGTTCTACGATACCACCAACTTTTTCTACTGTTAGCTCTCCAACTCTTTGCTCTCCAAATGAATTAAATTCGTATCTTGCTGCAAATTCACTGTTATTTTGTAAAGAAATTTCTTTTGTATATGGGCAACCGATGAAAACATTTCCGAAATCAAGATTTGTTGTGCTTAATGTTAATTCTGGGCATACACAATTTGCAATTACCGGGATTGATAAAATTGTTTTCTGGAATCTGTCAATTCCAAACTGTAATGATAAATTATAGTTTCTTACTGAGTTAGGTATTAATTCTATTGTAATATCTATCGATGAAAACTTGTCAATATGCCCTCGAGAAGGTTTTATCAAAAATTCACGCAATTCATGAGATCCGTCTGTTTTAATGTCGAATGTATAATCGAATGGTATTTCTGATTTGTTTTCGAGTGTAACTTTCTGAGAACAAAGAAATCCTAAGCCTACATTTCCAAAATTAACAACTCTCGGTGTTATTTGGAAAGAAGGTCCAATAACTTTACCTGTGAATGTAATTGTTGGATGTGACTTCGTTGCACCTTTAACTTTGTAAACAAATGTTTCATTAAAAGCTCCAACATTCGAAGCAATAAATCTGACTTCAACTGGTAATTTTTCACCTTGTCTGAGATGTCCTTTGGATGGATTGAATTGAAAAACTAAATCATTTGTATCTTTTGGTTCTAATTCAAAATCTATATCGACTTGTCCTGCATTTGCGAGTTCTACTCTATAATCTAGAACTGAATCAAGTCCTACATGTCCAACCTGAATGCAATCTGTTAAAAATGTTGCTACAGGTGGCAATCCTTGCCCAGTAATTCTAAATGGATAAACAAAAGAGTTGTCTTCAGTGCAAATGTATATTGTTTCGTCGTATTGTTTCGCAATTTGTGGTGTAAAATATAAAAGCACTTGTTGACTGCCATTTGGCCATAAATCAATTTTTTCACGGTCAAAATGGAAAGTTGATCTATCATATCGACTTGCTGGACATATTGTTTCTCGTTGTTTAATGTCGTAAATGTCTACTAATTCTTTGTTTGAATCAGCAATTTTCTTGGGATCACTGCGAAAAACAAGAGTTTTGCGAGTATTTTCCTGGTTACTAAAAGAAATAATGATCTGGGATTGTGATGAAATATAAGCTGGTGGGAAGAAAGCTTTTCCTGGCTCGATCCTCACCGACATTGCTGAAAAAACGTATTTTTTTAGGATTTTTGTTTTGAACTTCTTTAAATAAGAACAATAATACAGTCATTAAATATGTTCTTTTTCCTGTACTAATTTGAGATATAGGCTCCCGGTATTGAAATGGATCTTAAAATTTGTTCATATCTATAATATGGCTTCAATGTTTGCTATAATATGAGACAAAAGAACTAAATATCATTCTAATTCTTAAGGAAAACAAGATTATGCTTATGGAGATGGCAAATATAGGCAAATTCACACAGTTTATTAATATATCTAAAATAACGTTGTTGAGGAAGTAAGTAACATGGTAGTATTTTATTTAAATAACAAATAATATAATATAAAGATTATTTCTATAACTATAATCAATCTTAATATAATTTTTGTAACGCTGTTGATTTTGTCGAGCAGTGTAACTTGCATTTCTGTTTCAGTAATTGTTGTTTGAAGAAAGTTGACATTTTCACTTGACTTTTCAAGAATACTGTGTGCTTCACGTAATGACGAAAGTGTACTAATGCCAACATCAGAAGATCTTTTTAAGTTTTCGAGAGAGATCATTTCAGAGAAATCAAGATCGTGTAAATTTGGAGCTGAAGATGAACTTGCTAAAACTAAATGCTTCTGTTTAAGAAATTTTGCTCTGATTTCTAAATCATTTGTTTCGAACTCTAACATTTTGATTTTATGCTCTGATTCTTCGACATCAGTAGGTGAAAATAGAGAAATACTTGTTTTTAGTTCAGCGATGGCAGTATATACTTTTTCGACTTCGCTCAATATCTGATTAATTTGTTCAAGTTTTTCATCTCCCTTCAAATCATTTGTTTTTTGTATCATTTCGACTATGGATGAAATTTTACTATGTATATTTTCTTCTTCATGGTCGAAATTCATTGATTAAACGTAAGGAAGATTAAAGAAGAAGCAATGAAAAAATTTGGAGAAATAAAAATCGGAAATAAAACTTTGAAATGGCTTACTTGGTGTTGTTAATTTAGAAAATCATTCTGAAATCGGTCTAAACGCCTTGTTAATCAGTTCGAAATATTGAAGTTATAAGGCCTGATTCCATTCGGCAATGAATTATATTCGATTTGTAGTGTAGAGTTCTGAGAATTTTTGATGGCTTATACACACATTTTATTCTGAATGATTTTGTAAGCGCAATTAAAAGATTTTTAAGATATAAAAAGATGGCTTGTAGAAATTCAAAATAGATCTTAGTATTAAAATTCCAAAATTTCGTAATTTAAATGTCAAAAAATAATTTTGAACGAAAAATGAAATAAAAAAATATAATGTTTGATAAGAATATAGTCATTTTCGAAATATGATTAAATTAATTACCATCCTACCCTTGGCTTTTAAAGTCCCAATATTTTGCCCAAAATAAATTATCTTGGAAAAAATTACCCACTCCTCAAAAAAAAAAAAAACTAATAAACAATCAAACTTAGAATCACACTTAAAAATATATCAGAATTATTGATGAAAATATGTATTTTTTGGTTGAAATTTCAGATGAAATTATTAAATTTCCATAAATTAGATTGCACATCAAATTAAAGAGTTGCTTTGAATATCTCATTCCAGACAAATTGTATGAAAAAAAAAAAAAAAAAAAAAAGGTAGTGGGGCTTCCAGGGGCTGCGCCCCTTCTAGCCCCGAAGATGTTTAGTATAAATGAAGTTTTTATTCGGAAAATTGTTAGTCTTCTGGTGTGAATTCGGAGGACTCTTCTTCTTCCTCCATTGCTTCTGGGAAGAAGCCTTCTTCTGGGTCGAAAACATTATATAATGTGTCGCTTTTCACAAATTATATATGTTTTCATGTTTTGTCACTTTTCTGTCACTTTTCAGGGAAAAACATTTTTATTATTATATATAAATGAATTTTACAAAACCACCGTTACCGTTCTTTGGAAATAAGAGTAGATGTAAAGATATTATATTGAGAGAACTTAAGAAACTACCGAATGGTCTAACATTTGTAGATTTGTTCGGTGGAAGTTTCTATATATCCCATTTGTGCCATATAATATTTCCAGACTCAAAGATTATATGCAATGACTTCGACAACTATATGGACCGTCTCAAACATATACCAGATACAAACAATATATTGAAAGAGTTAAAAGAAAAGATACCTATAGGTAAGATGGAACGTATACCATTAGATAAGAAAAATATTGTGAGAGAGGTTTTGAAAAAAGCAGAATATATAGACTGGGATAGTATATCTGCTAGACTATTATATAGTGGTGCTATAAGAGTTCATGACATTGAAACACTTATGTCAAAAGTTTTATATCTTAACTATACAAATGTTTTCAAAGAGGACATAGAAAATATATTGAGGTATAGAGTTTGTAGATGTCATTGGACAGAGTTGTATGAAAAATATAAAACAAGGAAAATGTTTTCTTTATAGTGGACCCGCCGTTCTTTAACACATGGGATTTTCAATACCAAGTAGACTGGACTTTGAGAGACTCTTTAGAAACTTTAGACGTTTTACATAACCATCCATGCTTTTACTTTACATCCGATAAAAGTGGTTTGGAAACCGTTATGAAATGGTTAGAGGACATACATGACTATGAGTTTATATATTATGACAAGATAGAATATGAAGAGAGGTCCTATAAACTGGAGAAAGTGTCACAATAAAGAAATTTTATTAGTAAGTAAATGTGGTTTGAAATAGGACTACTTGTTTTAGGTTTTTTCCATTGGTCATTTATTTCTTTGACGTGGCAGAAAGGTACAGAGAATATGAAGATGAACCAATGCCTGCAAATGTCCAGTATATGTACTCGTAAGAGATATTTTTATCTAATATTAAAGACGCACAGAACTTAGCGAATGCACAGCAACCTGGACACCAAACCCAGAGAATATTCCAAAATGAAGTTAGAATACAAACTGCAATGGCAAACTATGGTCAAGTGCCAACAGATGTACAAATGCAAACTGCCATGTCAAATGACGCTGCGTTAGGTTTGCCACCATGGTATGCAAATATGAGATGGAAAGAGTTTTAAACAAACCCTGAAGTGGGATATAAACAACTTTATGCAGATGACGCGAACACAGGAGTTGACCCAGAATATGTTTTCTACCAGAGGAGAAACAGAATGTATGAGCTCCAGTTAAAGAATGCTATGGAACTCAACAGGAAACGTAAGAGACTAGGCGGACATTAGATTTTTACATATAGTAAAATGGGTTTCTTCAGTAAAGATAGGAAACTTCTTTCGAAAGTTGGAAGAGGTATATGGAATGGAATAAAAACCGTAGGAAGAGGAATTTGGAACGGATCAAAAATATTTCGTAAAAGAGTAGGTCAGTTCGTTGGTATTATACCTAAAGACCCTGAACCAGAAGACAAGCTCCTGTTATACAACAGCCTGAACCTGCACCACAGTCTAGTTGGCAACCAAATCCAACACCTCAACCATATTAAAAAGTTATATTTTTACCGTTCGATAGTAGTTGTATTATGAAACTAAGTTCTAAGTAAAACGCATGGTATAATGGAATTATTCTCTTTCTTCCATCTGTTGTAAACCATACTTGAAAGTCTGAAAATACTTCCACTTGGTGGTTCGTATAACTTTGTAGGTTTTTCGTAAAAGTCATTTGCCAAGCATAAAAAAGAGTTTTGGGCGCCAGAAATGAAGCATGAACAATAATAGCAGCTGGGTCGAAAACATCTTTAAATAAATATGTTCATCTCTTGCATATCGACTGTAAATATTTGCTAAAGGAAGTTCGACTTTCTGATTTAACATTCTTTGCAAATAATACCATGACATTGCAGTGAATTCTGTATATATTTGTTCGTCTTCTTTGGATTGTCTTCGTAGATTTGAAATGACACTTGTGAATTTTGTTTGTCATATACAATTCTCACATAAAGTGTGCTCTCGTATTTGCATATTCATCAGCATATTTTGCATAACATGAATTTATTTTATCTTCTATATTTTTTAACGCAGTCTGTAGAGAAGATGAAAGGTCAACTTGTATTAGCTCAATTTCTTCCCACATTTTTCGTTTCCCTTCAGATATATAATCTATATGAAACCTTACAATAAATGGAAAACTTTTATCTTCTACAGACACAACTTCATTCTACGAAAGCCAATAGCTTTTGTGACAGATGGGTCTCTAACCATCTTAATGGGTAGTCAAAACGATAGCCTTCATGCTTTACGGTCTCTGTCTCAAACTTTTGACCGACATTAGTAAAAAGTTCATCTAATGGTTTAGTTGTAGCAACTCTTGAATTTTCTTTTTCTATTGAAGCATATTTTATCTAGAATAAAAATGTCAAATGAAACAGCGTCTATGAGAGAAATACAACACAAACCGACAACTCATTATGCAAGCTCTAAATAAGAACACAACAAACTTTTCAAAACTATTCTAAGATATCTGAGTCATTGAAAGAAGAAACCTAAAACTGACATTAAACCCAATGACAGATGAGTTCTGTTTCAAGACAATAAGAACCATACTGTTTGTATAAATCCAACAAAACGAACTTTAAAACGAGAAACCTATAGATGAACTTCTTTTGAAAGCAGATGTTGACAACAAAGCTGACAAAGAGTATGTAGACGATGCAATAGCAAAAGAAGAAGAAAGAGCTAACAAAGCTATGCAACGAAAGAGGATGTTGAAAAGAAAGCAGATAAAACATATGTTGACGATGAGTTAGCATGTGTGGCTAGTGCGTTAGTGAAGAAGGCATATAAGGAATATGTGGATGAAAAAGACAATGAAATTAAAGAAAGGGTTGACTGGTACATGAACGGACAACAAAGATTTTAAAAACGAAAGCCGATACAGGATGGGTTTCAGGATGTTTAGACCTAAAGCCGACAAAGAACCTGTAGATATGTTGGCACAAACGGTTTCAAGTCATACCAGAGTTAATGGAAGATGGACAACAGTTGAAAGAGCTTGAGAAAGGTGTTACAGAGAGTTAAGGAATACAAAAGCAGACTCGACATGGATAAAAGGATATGTAGATGCAACAAAAGAACGTATTTTCGCATGGACAGAAGGAACATACCCAAAATATCATAGACATAGCATCTCTGACGTAAATGAACTTGAAGAAAAGTTATATAAAAAAGCAGACAAAACAGAGCTTCAAACATTAAAGACAGAAATACTTCAAACAGTATATCCTATAGGTTCTATTTATACGTCAATGAACTCTACCAGACCAGAAGTAGTACTTGGTTTTGGAACTTGGACTCAAATAGTCGACAGGTTTTTGTATTGTGCAAACTCTTCAAAGGAAACAGGTGGAAGTAAAACGATTTCAGGTGAAAATTTACCTGCACACAGTCACTACATAGATTTAAGTACATCTCAAGCAGGTTGGCATAAGCATAGATATTGGGATTGGTCAGGAATGACAAAAGGTCAAGGATATGATGTTAAAGACGACGTTAAGTTTGCTATAAATTGTTACTGGGATGACACTCAGGGAGAAGGAAACCATACACATCGCGTTTCAGGATATACGCAAACAACGGGACAAAGTAAAGACTACATGCCACCTTACATGACAGTTTACGCATGGTATAGAAATGCTTAGTCGTCATTTTCAACTTCTTTAGCATATTCGTCAGGAGTTGTCTTATATTTGTTAGAACTGTCTTTGAAAGTATACCACCTTGAACTTTGACAAGTTTGAAACGAGGTCTGACAATAGTAGTTTTATCTTCTGCTTGCAGTGTGTACATTTTGCCATGTTTGCCTAAAACTTCATAATATTCTCTTGTATACTTTCTTCTATTTTTACGAACACGAATGTGAGTACCTGTCGGGTTCCCATTGGTGTCATAGTCAATAGTATTTTCATATGGGTCGCGTTTAGGTATTTCTATTTTTACTTTGTCGCCTTTCTTAAGTTTGAAGCCCGGCATTCTTTCTTGTTTGTCTCTTTTGACTAAATTATTAAATATATAGTCTTTCTCTAAGTCAGGGTTGTTTTCATTTCTTCGGGGGAGTGGTTTCCCAAACCTTTTTGTTTACGGCTATTGTAAATATTTAAAACTTGTCTCATCTTTGCCATGGAGAAGTGTCTATATTTGTCGTCATATGACATTTCATCTACCTCACCACCTTGTGGTTGGTTTAAGTCTCTTAAGATTTTTATACAACTGTCAATGACACCAAGAGCAGAATGGTTTTGGTCGACAATGAAATATTGGTTTACATTTTTTGAACGCAGATAGTTTTTAATATCGTCTGATTTGAAAGAACTTTCACAGTCAGATGTCAGTTTTGTTGGATGGTATTTGTCAACGAATATTGTCAAAGCAGTTTTCACATCTAAAATATTTTTGGACCATAATGGTATGGCTTCACAGTATCTTGTGTTTTGACCGACAAATATTAGCCAGTATGGAGGTCCATCTTCTCTATACCTCGGAATGTTTTCCAAGATATCCATAAACCAAGCATTTGGTGTTGAACTAAAGATTTTTATCATGAGTGCTTTCTTTGTCGCTTTAGAAACATAGGGGTCCTTGTTTGGATTCGTCATTTTTTACCCTATAAGAAATGGGTTTATTTGGCGCATTAGCAGGAGTTGCATCCAGATTTTTGCCCGCAGTGGGAACAATAGCCAGAGGTGTATTTGGAGTTGGAAGGAAGATTTTGAGTACATTAGGTATACTTAAAGAGAAAGCACAACCTATTATACAAACTGTACAGAAAGGTTGGGATGTAGCACGAGATGCAGCAAATCTTATTCCAAATCCTGAAACAAGAGGAAAAGTTCAAGGATGGATGGACAATGTAGGAAGACAAGCAGGAAACTATTATAACAAAGCAAATGACTACTATAACCAAGCAGGACACTATATGGACCAAGGTGAAAGATTCTTTAACAGAGGATATAACCATGCACAACAGTGGGTAAACAATAACCAACCGCAACCACCTCAAACTTGGGGAATGTAAAGTTTTTTACTGAGATGAAATGAACAATACAGCATTGAGACAAATGGGTTCAAGATGGATTTGTCGACTTCCAGCAGTTACACAACGTGTTTGTCAAGTTCTTCCTATACCTCAGGAAGTTTTAGACCGACTTAAAAAACAACAACAACCAGTTGAAAACAAACCAAACTAAAATTTTTTACTGAGATGAAATGACCGAAGAAGTTGAAACGGTAGATTTGACACCACAAACAAAAAGTTCAGAACCATTGTCAAAACCTGTCAAAGAACTTACAGATGAAGAGAAAAATTCAATAATAGAAAGTGCCAGGTCTGGAAATACAAACCCTAACTATAAAGTCACTTTTCATAGAAATGGAACGGCTAGTATCTCAAAAAAGAAACAGACTCTCACAAATAAAATATTGAAGTCTGAAGGAGCTTTCGAGACAACAGATGGGAAAGTATACTTCACTGACCAACAGTTCATTATAGAACATCTCATTGACTTAGAGTCGAAATATTCTAAACTTTACAACAAACACAAAAAGTTGAAAGGAAAACAAAACAAATGGCATATGATATTTATGAAGATGTTAACGACACAACCATACCTGCAAGTGAGGTAAAGTCAGAGGAACCGAAAAGTGACGAAAAGCCGATAGAAGAAGAAAAACCAAAAACTGAAGATAAACCAAAACCAAAGTTTAGTTTGGAAACTAAACCAACTCAACCTTCATTAGCTGGTATGGGTTGGCGTCAAAGGCTTCTGGTAGCAGGCGGTTATGTAAAGTAAAGAAAAAAATATTTTTTTTATTTTTATAAAAATGCCCCCATATAGAATGGATAGAAAGTCTGCTAGAATAAAAGCAGAGTTGCAAAGATATGGTTGGAAAGTTTCGAAAAAGTTTAAATATAGGAAGGGAAGACCCATAAAAGTCTATGACAAACTGGCTGGTCTGACCTACGAAATGGATTTGGAAACAGCACGTGCCAATTATCCAAACAGACTAGAGAGGTTAGAAGAAGAACGTCTTATGACATGCCTTTCGATGTTAGTGAACCTCAAGTTGAAGGACACGACGGCTTTGCCAGATTCTACTGGAAACATGACGAACAATTGCATCCTTTGAGAAGGAAAAAAGGTAGTGCAGAGGATGGTCATGCTCCCATGGAAAGAACAAGATATGCATATGAAAAGTATCGTGAAGTTAGAAGTCAAATTACATCTGGTCGAACCTTTACAGTAAACTTTGACGAAGGAAAGAACAAAGAAGGCTTCATGGGTGTACTTGCTGCAATTCAAGACGGAAATATGAAAGGACACAATCTCAGATTGACCATAACGGATTTGGATGGTCACATTTACTATGCAAATGGCAATGAACAAACAGCTGCAAAACTTCTTGACGCTTTCAAGACTACAAAGAGAGAACAAATGGTTGACTCCGACTCAGACATTTTGAATGCAATTGAAGGAATTGCAAGTGTCAAGTTCGAATGGTACCAACCTAACCCTCAAGCAGTCAGACAACATGCTGGATACTTCCCCTTCATAAATAAGTCTGACATTGACTTGACAAGGTATGGAATTTACAATTCAATTGAAACAATTGTCAACGAACCTTGCATTCTTACATGTCTCAGGAACTCTGGTCTTGTTACAGAAGAGAAGATGAAGTATCTTGAGTCATGTGTGAAGACAAGGTACATTCTCAGAGGTCAATTGGCAAAAATTGCACCGTTGGCAAATGTCAATATCCGAGTCAACATACCTACAGCTAAAGGTTCTTCACATGACGACTATGTTGTTGAGTTCAATTTACCATGGTTGAAGATTGTAATTGTCCACAACCACTTCATGTTGAACGAAAGTCTTACAAACCCATTGTTCGGAAAAGGCAAGTGCAACATTGTCAGAGCTGTAAACATTCTTTTCGAGAAAGGTTTGTTGGAACCAATTCCAGATGACAAGCTGACAGAAACTTTTGTACCAAAAGACGAAACAAACTTTTCACTGTTAGCAAGACCAAAAGTTGTTCCAGACAAAGTTCTAGTACAAAAGAAGTACACAATTCCAAAAGGAGTTGGATTGTTCGGATACCAACCTGAACCAGAAGAACTTCCAATGAGGTTGCAAGAACTTCAAGATGCTATAAACAAACTTCCATTGAGACATCCAATTGACGTCAAATTGTATTGGAGAGCATCTGAGTTAGGTCAGAAGGTTTTATATGAAACAGGTTGCTTCGACGATGTTTATGAGATAACAGGAGAAGTTTCTCAGAAGATAAGAGACTCACTTGAATTTCCACAAACTGGACCAATTGGTTGCGACAAGTTCGACTCAAACGAAAAGATATACTATGTCGACCTTAACGCTGCATACATGAGGTTTGTCCAATATATTCCAACTGGAATTCCAAACGAAGATGGTGAGTTCCCAGGAAGGAACTATACAGTTGGAAAAGTCATACAACAACTGTATGATATTAGGAAAGCTTCAAACCCCAAACTTGCAATGACACTCAAATTGCTTATGAATTCGACATGGGGATATTCCATTAAGAAACCTCAAGAGATGAAGAGTAAACATTATGAGAAGGTCGACAACTTTGTTGAAAGGTTTTCTCCTTTTGTTTTGAAGTACGAATTCACTCAAGGTCAAAGTGGCTTAGTAACCACATTAAAACCTATTGTCGAACATTGGTCTTACCCTCAGTTCGCAAAGGCAGTCCTTGACAACTACAACAAATTCTTCTCCGAAGTCAAATCCAAAGTGAAGGTTTACTATGAGAACATTGACGCACTCATGACGAACGAAGAAGGTACAACAAACTCATTGAAATGGGCATGGTCGGTGAAAAGATGGGTCAATTCAAATTGGACAAAATTTTCACCGAAGTTCATGTAATATCGAAAAGGAAGTACTGGGGTGTTAAAGAAGATGGTGAAATAGTTAAACATTGCATGAAATAAAAAATTTTTATTCGAATTTGAATTTAAATGTGGGAATTCTTGGGAAAGGGTTCTCTCTGTTTGGAAGTAGTATCCAAGGACGCTTGGCAAAGAACTTGAGAAGAGCTTCTTTCTTTGCTTGCTTTATGTCGTCGTAGGCTGTCCCGTCTGGTATTTGAATTGGAATTCCAGTCGAAGTCTCGAGATTCAAGGCAGCCCTTCCCGTTATCCAACAGTTAACAAGCTTGCCTTTTACATTCTGCCTGAGGAAGTCTTTAACAAGCTCGTTAATTTCAATTAGGTAAATTGCCTCGTCGGTAGGTTCGACCTCGACCATTGCTACTGTCAGTAAAAGTACTGCTACTGTCAGAAAAAGTACTGCTACTGTCAGTAAAAGTACTGCTACTGTCAGAAAAAGTACTGCTACTGTCAGTAGCAGTACTGCTAGGAGCAGTAAAAGTACTGCTAGGAGCAGTAAAAAGGAAAATTTGAGAGGGTTTTCGACGATAAAGTACTGCTACTGTCAGTAAAAGTACTGCTACTGTCAGAAAAAGTACTGCTACTGTCAGAAAAAGTACTGCTACTGTCAGTAAAAGTACTGCTACTGACAGTAGCAGTACTGCTAGGAGCAGAGATTTTTATCGTTGTGGTCCGACGGTTAAGCCACAGACGAATGTCCGACGTCCCACCAAAAAATATTTTTTTTATTTTTATTGTAAGAACAGTATGACAGTCGAAGCAAAAACGTTCACGAACAAATCTAATGGCGAAACATTCACAAAAGGCACTTACAACGGTATTGAAGTCTTACGTAGAGACAAGGATGGTTATATAAATGCAACAAAGATGTGTCAGCAGTTTAGGAAAGACTTTAGAAGGTTGTTGGAAAATAAGTCCTGGGAAGAGTATTTTGAGGCATTTTGTGAAGAATATACCAACCCGCGGAATTCCGCGGGTTGCTTTTTATACACAGTTCATGCAGGAATTCCTGATGAAATCAAACAGGTTAGAGGAACGTATGTAGACCCAAGACTTGTAAACTATATAGCAATGTGGGCTTCTCCAAAATATTGTATAGCAGTTGGAAAAATTCTGGACTCCATAGACAAGAAAGTTCATGAGAAATTAGATGAAGAAGAACTTGAAGATACAGTAGAGAATGCTAAACCTTTGTTCGAAGAAGAAGTTAGAAAAATGCATGAAAAACAAATAGAACATGAACGTGAGATATGTTCTGGTTATAGAGACTCGCCATACGAACTAGACCAATGGGAACAAGAAGATTTAAAGAGAGAATTTAGAGAATATGAACTCGCTAAGATAGCATTAGAAGCTGCAGAAAAGAAGTTAAAAGTTTGGGGTCGTTTTGTACAAAAATATTGTGAGTAAATGAACCATTTTTTTCGGCAAAAATAATGTTTATGTTAGAATGTTAGATCTAACACGTTTTCTAACATTTTTTCTAACATCGTAGAAAACTCATGAGTTTTATACAGAATTCGGCAAAAATATAATTTAGGGTAGAAGGTTAGATCTAACCTCTTTTCTAACCTCTTTTCTAACCTCTTGAATTTTCATGAATTTTCATGAATTTCATCGTAAATGTTTTGTCGAAACTTCTTCATCGTAAATGTTTTGTTAAGACTTCTTCTTCGTAATGAGTGTAAACGACCAAAAAATATATTTTATGTTAGAATGTTAGATCTAACACGTTTTCTAACATTTTTTCTAACATCGTAGAAAACTCATGAATTTCATGAGTTTTGACACTTTCACAAAAAACATAAAAAATAAAGTTAGTTTTTTTAAAAAAATATTTTTTATTTTTATTGTAAGAACATGTTAGCAACAACAGCACCAAACTCGTTAGTCATGAACCCAACTTCAATGTTGGTAGAGATGAAAAGCTTCATTCCTTCTTCATATACTTTCGAAACAGAAATCCAGAAGATAAAGCAAGAACTGTTAACAAGTAATTTAGATTGCACCGCACAGGATGAAACAAATGGACAGTATCTTTATGAAATGCAGGACCTCATCGACCATCTACCCAAACTTCCTGAAATCCAACAACAAAAGCTTACTATTCCTGAATTCGATGAAATAGAAGTAAAAACAACCGACTCAGTAGAAATAAAGAAGTTCATACGAAAGGTAAACTATGAGTTTCTAGGATTTCATTGCAACCATAAGGTTATGGACAAAGATTGCGACATGGTATATAAGAACATCTCTGACATATATAAATCTGAAGAATTTAAGACCTACGACAACTTTGTTTCGTTAGTTGCTGAATGTGTATGGCAGATAAGAGATAAAGATAGAAGAGGTAAGGTATGGAACGAACAAATAAGACCCGCTATGTTTGAGTTAAAGAAAACCATTGACGCTTTAGTTGTACTTGCAGGACAAATTTCAATGTACAATGCTAAAATGAACCCGCAATGTTCAAAATGTAAGGCAGCAATGAGGAAATATAACTACTCCGTCAAAGAGATAGAAAGAATGAGAAACGACTATGCAGATTTAAAGAAAGAAGCAGAAAAGCCAGCAGAAGATAAAATGGACATGTTAGAATTTCTGAACAAAAACTATCCAACAGCAGAAGATTTCCTTCTGTCTGACGTCAAGAAGAAATATAAAGAAACTTTCGGCATAGTTAAAACATTCGATATCCTCAGCGAAGAAATAGAAGCTACAAAACTGTTTAGAGTCTCACGAATTCATAACGTTTACCATGTAAAACGCTTATAAAATAACTGGGGTAGAAAAGAGGTTAGAAAACAGGTTAGATCTAACCTTCTACCCTAAACATTATTTTTGCTGAATTCCGTATGAAATTTCATGAGTTTTGTGTGTTTTAGACCATGTTAGAAAAGAGGTTAGAAAACGTGTTAGATCTAACATTCTAACATAAACTTTATTTTTGCTGAATTCCGTATGAAATTTCATGAGTTTTGTGTGTTTTAGACCATGTTAGAAAAGAGGTTAGAAAACGTGTTAGATCTAACATTCTAACATAAACTTTATTTTTACTGAAAAAATGACCAAATTTCATTATATAACTGTTATTTTTTTACGAAGAGAACTTTTGCACTTCGTCAAAAAAATCCCTGAAATCATATCTTTTATACAAGATAGAAAATCTTACTCGCCAAAACTCTATGAAAATCATGAAGAACAGCGAGTAGGTAAGAAACCCTGGTCGCCTAAAACTCATGAAAATCGTGAATTTCCTTAAGATAGAAAAAATAAAGTTAGTTTTATTTTATTTATTTTTTTTATTTTGTATGTAAGAACAGAAATGTTAAAGGTTGAGTTTGAAACAGTTAAAAAGATAGACAATGAGACCAAAATAGTTAGAATAGGTGATTTAAACGTAAGATACTCAAAGAAATACAAAAAATATTCTTTGTCAGACATTTTAACACTATCTGAAGGAAAGAAAACATCCCACGACTGGGTTAAAATTGCTTCAACTCAGAAAATTTTGACAAGAAATCCTGAGCTTATGATATCGGTAAGATTCTATGGAACTACAGCATATCTTATAGACAAAAGTCTTATACCAATAGTTTTGTTATGGTTAGACCCAGTTGTTGGATATAACTTCATAACTTATGGTTCATTCGATACGGAACGTTGCAGTGAAGGCTTACTTTACATCGTTCAGAAACCGAAGGACTTCAATACAAAGAGATATAAGATAGGAAGAACATATAATATAACTAAAAGATATGACAGTACAGTCAATAGAGTCAAGGTTGTGTTTGTTAACGATATGAGAGCTGCTGAAACAGAACTACTTGAAAAGTTTGAGAAAATGTATGGTGCTCCCATGAAAGGTAAAGAAACGTTTGAAGTAGATGAGATAGATAAAGCTATAAAATTATTTGACGAAGTTGCTGAAAAATACATGTAAAGCGTTTATTTTTGGTCTTTTGTGAAAGTCAGAAAAAATAAAGTTAGTTTTATTTTTATTTATTTTTTTATTTTGTATGTAAAGACAGATATGTCAACAACAGAGAACACAACAACAGTTATAGTCCATGAAGCTATAAATGAAGAATACGAGTGGGTTCAGTTTAACAAACAACTCCGTCTCATTCGTTCGGTCAAAGATGACATGTACCAAATGCAAAGTATTTTGACAGCATGTTTTGCTCCAGATACTAAGCTTCCTAAAGACTGGTTTAGGAACCAAAGCACCATTGAACTCTTAAGCGAAGCACAGCGAGACATACTTTTTTCTGAAAACAGTGAAGAACAGCGAGTAGGTAAAAAACCCCAGTCGCCAAAACTCTATGAAAACAGTGAAGAACAGCGAGTAAGTAAAAAACCCCAGTCGCCAAAACTCTATGAAAATCGTGAAAAATTGCCAAATGGTTTGAGAGGATATTATGTTCATAGACTTCTCGTAAATAATGTGGCACAATGGGCTTCAGCTCGCTATTCATGGTATGTTTGTAAACTTCTTGACGAACTTCACAGACAAGAACGCGAAGAGCTAGAGAACAAGCTTGAAGCAAAAGACAAAAACATACAGAAAAGAATACCACGTTCGGTACCAAAAGGAAAGGAAAAGAACTATAAGTATATGATTTATACTGAAGAGATGGAAAATGAAGAAGACAGAGATATGGTTATGTTGCATTTAGTCAGAAGAAACAACAAAAGCTTTTACGACCTTGCTAAGATTTACAAATCTGACAGAAATTGGTTCTATCGTGAAAACTTACCGATTTCAATGACCCCAAATGAAGATGTGAAACAAATAGTTCAAGATACGTTACCTCAAACACACTATGATATGAAAGGTTGTACAATACTTACCTTCAAAGAAGATTTGCCATTGTTAAAGGAAAAAATAACAGAGTATTTTGACAACTTCAAACAAGCAGAGTAAATGAACTCTTTATTTTTCAAGCTTGACTTCAGATGGCTCAGTTAGCTCTATAAGGTAAATTGTCTCGTCAAATCCTTCCGACAGGAAGAACTCTTGCATCCGACAGAAAAATATTTTCCCGACAACAGGAAGAACTCTTGCATCCGACAGGAAGAACTCTTGCATCCGACAGAAAAAGTTTTTCCCGACAACAGGAAGAACTCTTCCATCAGACAGGAAAAAATTTTCCAGTTGTTCGTCCGTAAACCATTCAAATTTTCGAAAATTGAGAACTTTTTGGTCGAACTTCAGAAAAAGTTTTTCCATCCGACAGAAAAATATTTTCCCGACAACTGGAAGAACTCTTGCATCCGACAGGAAGAACTCTTCCCGACAACAGGAAGAACTCTTCCATCCGACGTACCACCAACCGAGTCCATTCCAAAGCCAGAAGAACCGAAAGCTGCAGAACCACAACAGACTAAGACTAAACACTTAGATTTTCAAGCTTGACTTTTTACAATTTGAACTTTGTTTGCGTAGATATGAATTCTGAAAGAAGTATGAGGGTCTTGTATGACTTTGTACTTCTCCCATAGTTCATGTCTGTCAAACTTACCTGCCATGGACTCTTTCATAAGTTCCATGAAATCGTCTTCGGACAATCCAGGGAAGAGTATAATGTCAGTAAGTATTCTTTTAACATCCTTACTTAAACTCTTTGCTGTCTGTACACATATTACGACTGAGATGTTAAAGTGTCTGAGCTTCTTAAGAATTCGACACATATCTTGTTCTCTGTTCTTTAACAAAGGATGAGAAGCAAAGTCATCTAAGATAAGAAGACATCTATGAGGGTACGTTTTCCAATCGTAAGATTGCAATTTCTTCGAAATGTATTCTATCTCTTTCTGTTTGTTTCTGAAGTGTTTCTTCTCTAATATTCTCTGCATTTCCTCATTTGGGTCTTTAAACTTCGAATTTATATACTCATTTATAGCATTATACTTCAAAACTCTTCTTTGGTACTTCTTTATCCAATCTAACAACTCAGTATCCTTTATACATACTAACTTAGACTTCTTTATAATATCTTTGAACGAATTGACGGTTTGATCGAATTGACCAGAAGTACTACAAATGACTACTAACTCATAAAATGGGTTCTTCTCATAGTTCTTGTTGTTGTGCAGCCATTTTAAGATAAGTGAAAGTCTTACCCGACCCAGGTGGTGCAATTAGACCTGTTATACCATTCTGAGCAAATAAGAACTTGTCATGTATAGGCTTTATCTGAGCATTTTCTAACTTCCTCTTGTTCTTGTTTAAAACATTCTCAAATTTCTTGTCAATGTCAGCAAACTTTTTTTCTAACATATTTTTAGAAAAATTAAAATTTTTATCTTTTTGAAAATGTCTAGCGATTTCGCTATCTATATTCGAGACAAACTTTTCGACAGCAAAACATCTGTCGACCATAAAATCTTACATAGTGTAAACAAGAAAGGTGAATTTGTTCTAAAGTTCTGTTTCTGGGAATATGACAAGAACCATAAAACATTACAAAGAGCAGTCTTAAAATTTGTCAATGACAGACTTGTTGACAGAGATGACGCCGATTGGAAAGATGAAGTCCAACAAAAGTTCTTAGAATGCAAAGAAGGCACATGCGCTGTTCTTGAAGATGAAATAGAAAACAGAATAGAAGAGCTATTAAAGGACAAAGAACTTTTACATAAATATGGTTCTGAGAAATTTGACATAACTCCACCAGAAAAGAAGAAGAAGAGAGAAAAGAAAGAAAAGAAAGAAAAGAAAGTAGAAGAGAAGAAAGAACCTGAACCAGTTCCAGAGAAGGTGAGATATGACATGTAAAAATAAAATTTTATTTTTAGAACATTTCTGGGTCAATGTCAATGTTCTCTTCCTCTTTAGGGGCAAACACTGGCTTAGACTCTAAAATCTTTTTACCTAATTTACCTTGAACTTCAACTATCTTAGACTCATAATATTCATAGTCGTCTGCTTTCTTTGGTTCATAAGGTATAACAAGTTTGTATGCTTTGCCTTCTTCGAGTTTTGAGAACTTTCTGTCAAAATTTTCTTTGACTGCTAACAAACCTTCTATGTCTAAGTCTTCAAATTTCGCACCATTTTTAGTCACAATAGCAAACTTAACTGGTTCGATGTTCCAAACTTTGCTGAATGAAGACTTTTCAAAATGGTAGAAGTAAACATTCAAATAAGCGAATGGTTCTAGTTCTTCTTTAAGTCCTGACATATACTTGTTTACTGAGATGAATTTTGCCATCTTTTCTATCGGATAAAAAAAGATTTTTTTTAAAAAAAACGTTTTAAAATGGTATGCCATATAGCTTCTTGAATTTGTTAAGAAGTATTCGAACGTTTTTTCCATCTGTATCTCTAGCGTTTACATGAGCATAGCCCGTCTTAGTAAAATATACTTGTAATTTCCTATAGTTTACGCCGGTATAAAAGTAGAAAGAGTCTTGTTCTTCGCTGTAGTAGTAAAACTCAAACGTATGCTTACCATAGTCTGTAATTTCAATTGCTTCATCTTCTAGTTCGTCGACAAATTCGAATACAATATCTCGAAATTTGCCTATGTTCTTATTGTTTTCAGAACATGTGACCCAACGCAAGTTCTCAAGTCTATTGTCGTTTCTTATATGGTTTATATGGTCTACAAGAGGTAGATTGTTAGGGTTCGGTATAAAATGAGTTGCAATGACAATATGTTTAAAATAGTGTTTTCCACTCATCTTCATAGTAGTATATCCGTCATTTCGCTCCCATTCGCTTAAAACTCTTTTTGTCTTTTTGTTTCTGACTTCAAATGACTCACAACAGTGAATTTCATATTTCTCATCTAACAAACAAGTTTCCCAACGGTCTTCTCCAACAAACTCAGCGTACATTTCAAATAAAATAAAAAAATATTTTTTTTAAAATTTACTCAGAAAAATTTTTCTTTGTATATACGCCGTTCTGAACATCTAAAAGATTTTTGACATTTGCCAAGAATGTTCGTTTAGACGCTGTCATATAACCATACTCTTGACAATATTGTTTATATTCATCGTACAATGACCTTTCATCTAAACACTCAAAGTCAGTTTCATCTATGAACAGTTCATATACACTCTTGTTTGCTTCTAACAATGTTTGTCTCTCTTCGGTATGTGGAATTTGTCTTGGATTGAACTTTGAAATATCTAATGTCATAAAATATGAGAACAAGTGGTTGTAAAAGTCAGATGTCAAAGTTTCTGCTAAGTCGTCAAAATATTCTGTATCTTGCATATGAGAATCTGACGTTCTGACAACTACATATCTTCTGTCAGAACTTTCTAACTTCATCGGAACAGTATTGTTTGAAACCATAATGAAGTTTGCAACATTTTCACAAACTCTTTGGTCTTTATACTTTCTTTCAACAACTCCAACTTTGTCTGTTATAAGACTCTTCAAAGCATCTGAGTTCAAAACTTTTGTTGTATCTATACTTTGAAGTTCATTGCAAACTATAAGTTTCATATTCTCTATTGAGGAGTTAAACTTGCCACAGATGTTTTCTAAGTTTGTCATATTCGGATTCGAATAACCTTCTAACAGTTTGCATAAGATATCTGTAAAGAAAGTATTCTTACCAGTTCCTTGTTTTCCAATTATAATGAGAGCAGTTTCATTCTTAGCACTTGGATGTTGTAAGATGTTTGCAAACCAACATAAGATATACTCATAGACTCTTTCGTTTCCATTGCATATAATTTCTTTGACATGGTCTAACCAAGCTTCTATAATATTTTCTTTCCATTCTACTTGTTCATATTTATATCCAGTGAAGATAGAATAGAAGTTTGGAGAAGGTGTATAGAACTTTATACCTCGAACTGAAAAATCTTCAAGTTTTGACAATAAGATATCCCAAGCATCTAACATCTTCATGCCAACCTGTACAACTTTTATTTTCTTAAGTTTCTGTCTACATTCTTGTTCTGAAACTATTGTTGCTCTTGGTTTGTTAAAGACAACATCCCATTCTTTCATGACATAACATTCTGGGGCAGAGTCAACATAAATGACTAAACGTTTCAAATTCTCGACTGCTTTGTTATAGTCTCTAAATGGACACATATTTCTGAATGCTTGGAAGTCATAAAAATCTGAAACATCTATTCTGTACATTTTTATAAAAATAAAAAAAATATTTTTTTTATTCTTGACTTTGTTGTTGCATTTGTTGCATTTGTTGTTCTTGAGCTATTTGTTGTTGAAGTTGTTCTTGTAATACAATACTTTCACCAGTTGCATCTTCCAATTCGAAACTTTCTGCCGTCATTGACAAATACATAGGACATAAAAGTTTTACAGGAACAAAGTTTGCGTCAACTAATGTCAACGTTATACTTGCCAAAGTGTTTGAGTTCACTAAGGTTGAAAATTCTGCATTCGAATGAACAATAGGCAAACCAGCAGAGAAAGTATTGTTTATACGCATAAGTATCTTTTGGTCATAGTAGTTTCTGTCGACATTCGAATAGCACTTTGAACCTAAGTTTGAAACAATATATAAAATAGGTGTGCTTAAAGTCAATGGAACAGACAAACCTTGTATGACACCTTTTCCTGTTATAGGAAACTGTTGGTAGTAAAAACCAGATATAAGTTTTGTATTATAGCTCATATCGTTTATAGTAAACTCAGTCGGACATCCAAACATAATGAAACCTGCTCTAGTTGCAGCACATGTTACATCCGTCCTTAAAGTATTAAATAAGTCAACAAAACCTGTTGGTGGTATATCTGAGTAAGTATCTTCAAAGGAGTATTTTTTACCATTCACAACAATAAAATCTTCTGGTGTCAAAAGAGCAAAACAGGCTTTAGTCGTCATCGTGTTTAAGGTCAGTTTACAATATCGTCCTTGAGGACTTTGTAAGTTTGTTGTTATAGAATTATATGACTCAGGGTTTTTAGTCGTAATAGTATAAACCACTATGTCTTCTGCCATTTACATATATTTAAAAGTTTTTCTGAAAGTGGAGAAGAACTTCATCTAAACTTTCACATGGCGTTTCTTGAAGTTCTCTGTCTAAGAAGTTCAAATATTTTGTAAAGACATAGAACTTTCCTTTGTCTACACGAACAAACAAAACAGGGTCTTTCATATCGTTCAAAAGTGTGTAAAGTCCTTTACATGAAATAAAGTCTATATTGTTTTTCTTCAAACATCTTTCAAGAAGTTTTGACATTTACTTAGCAACTAAATTTTAATGAAATGTTGTGGTCGTCAAATATTTTTATGACGTCTGGGAAACTATATTTTAAGTTCAACGTTTCACCTCCTTTCATAACGTATATCTTGTCAATGACATTATATGAAACACCACAGCAACTAACGTCGGGTTCTATTTCTTTGATGTTTATATCGTCTGCCTCTGTCAAAAGTTTCAATAGTTCTTTCAAAACTTCATGAGGTGCAATGACATATGAGTTCACTTTTACAGGGTTGTGCTCAACCAAGTTTAACATTATACCCAAAGCTTGACAAATCTTCTCCTGAGTTTGAAGTTTGTCTTTCAGTTGTTGGTAGTCGTTTCGAATATCTGCAACAGAACTTAAGTCTCTGCTAACTTCAGGGTATGTTGGTTGTTCTTTTACAGGAACTATTGTTATACCATCTTCGTCTTCGTATGGTTTCCCCACTTCAACATCTCTTTCTTTGACATTGACAACAACACTTTGACTGTTTGTTTGAGTTGGTGAATTTAACTTCACATCTGCCACCGCCATTAAACCTTTTGAAACACTTACGCTTCTATTTTTCGGAAATGACATTTTACTTAGAATAAAAAGATGGACGTATTTGAGTATCTCTTCGAATTGAAGCAAAACAAAGTTTACACACACAAACAATACAAATACATTGACAGAATAGTTCTTTATACAAACAATGGTAAATGTTATAGAATAGCAGTCTTTGCTGAACCAAAATATTTTCATAAAGCAAAGAAAGTTGATATAACCGAGATGGTGAAAGTTCTTGAAGCAGACAAAAATATAACAACAAAACTGACCGATATTTCTAAAGGTAAGTTTATAATACAATATTATATCAAAACTGGCGTACTGTCAATATTTGACGGAGAGAAGTCAGTTCAAGAACAACTTACTGACCTGCTGCCAAAATCTGCTCGATGGAAGCTGTCGTTATGCCAATCTGAGGAGCTCCAGCAGGTTTCATCGAACGAATCTTCAAAAGAGCATCTTCCGTGAAAAGTGCTATTGGTTTTGTAAACTTCTTTGCTTTCAATTCATCTGGACCGTCTCTGTCACCAGTATATTGTATTTGAACTGTACCAACAGTTGAAATACCACCCATAAAGTCTTCTGAGTCAGCAAATGGAATGCCAAGCCAAAAGTTTGAACGGTCTCCATTTGTATATTGAGTTTTTTGAGCTCCTGTATGGGTCCATACTTTCACATATGGCATAATAGAACTTTGCATTTCAGGGTTAATGGTTGTTGTGAAGTTGTTGTTAAAGTTCATAGCATCTAATGTCAAGTTGTATGACCTCATATCTTCAACTGTGGAATATTCTTCTCTTGGATAGTATTTGCCATCTATGTTTATATGGTATTTAATACCAGGGTTGTAGAAGCAAGAATAGTCATTTATAGTTCGTCTGAACAGTACAAACATAGTATCTGCATGTTTCATTGCAGTTGTTAAGGCAATATCTGTTCTTGCACCTGGGTCAGCACTTTGGTTTCCAACTTCACCTGCAAAGTCTTTGACAGATATTTGGTGTATAGGGAACATAAGTGGAACTGCAATATATTTGGCAGCTAAAGCATTTGAAATATCTGGGTCCAACATATAGACTGCAAGTCTGCTTTCTATTCTCTTGCATTCAAATTTTTCGCATGTGAACTTAACTGGGTCCCAAGCATCTCCAGCAGCATTGAAATAATAGTTTACTTCAGTGTTGAGGTTTGAGAAACCAAAGTCTAAGTCAACTTTGTTTTTGCAAAAGTCGGCGAATGACATTTTATTTGTTCCCACTACTTCTGTAAGAGTGAATGGGTCTTGTGTTGGTGCAATGACTAAGTTATTTTTGCTTGGAGTAAGTTCGATAGAAATTTTTCCTGCCCAGTTTGGCAAGTATCTTAAAAACCTGAAGATGAGGAAAGATGACAAAGGAACTCTAAGTTTCAATTTTACTTTGGTTACTGCTGCTGCATTTTGTCCAGAAAGGTCAACATAAACTCCTGGAACGTTAGGGTCAAGTCTTCTTATTTTCTCAATAGTTGCATACTGGTCTGTTTGTTCTCTAGCTTGTGGTTGTACTGAGTTTCTCAAAGCGAACCATTCATAGTTTGCCCATGTTACTGTTTGAACTAAGTCAGAGTTAGAATATATCTTATATCCCATGAAAACTTCTGGAGCATATTGGTATCCGACATAGAAAATTCCATTGCAACCTTTCTTGTCAGACAACTTGGCAGAAGGTTTTATTTCAATGTCTTGTTCCACGTATAAGAATGAGTTGTCAATAGAAATTATATGAAACCTGTCGCATGCAATATCTACTGTTGTTGAAGAACCTTCTCCAAACTCACCTACGTTTCCATAAGAAACAGCAGTTGTATATTCGTAAGTTCCAGGAACTATTTCTGACCTTCTAATGGCATTGTCGCATTCGTTATACCATTCGGAAACATTTCCATTCATGGCATCCAAAACTGTTGGCGTTATATTCTGAGCGGCGTACATTTCATATGGGTAAAAATATAGAATAGTTGGATTTATATGTCATAATAGAACCCACGTGGACCAAGCTTTACTTTCTTCCTGACTGAGTTTTTAACTCTTCTTTTTCCTTCATTGCCCTCTGCTTGAAGTTGTTGCATCTTTGCATTATGTTCATCTAGTATGTTGCAAATTTCCCATGTCCTTTTTGCCTTTTGGCTCTGGTCGCCCATCTCAGGTAACCTATATCCTAGAAAGAGTTTGTCATAGTCTGTATTTGAGTCTTCGCGTATTGTTTGCATGACTCTTTCCTGAGTTTCCGGTTCAAGCTCTTCAAACAGTGCCTGTCCATATGGAATATGCTCGTTTCCAAATATATGTTTTTGTAGCCATTCTGGTTTTCTTTCCATGTTACCAACTATATCTTTTGTGAATGGGAAAGCTTTTACCCAATCTTTCAGTCTTGCGTCGTTTATTTCTGTAGTTGGTTTTATTTTGTCAAGGAACATGTTTTTCAATACTAACATTTCATCTGGTACTGTCCATTTGAGTTTTCTTAAATATTCATCCCTTCTCGGTTCATTGTCTGCAAAGTAAGTTTTTATGACATTTTGTAAACTTTCATTTGCAAGGTCATGTACAATAGGTTCTCTTCCTTCTCCCTCCCTAACTTTCTTTCTAAACTCTTCACCAAATATACCATCTCTATGGTTCTGTGTAGTTCTTTGAGATAAATGTTTTAGAACGTCAGGTGTTATATTTCCATCAGCCATGTTCATTTCATACTGGTCCAAAATATCTGCATGTTTCATATCTTTCAATGGCATTAAAGCCGCGCTGAAAATACCAGCTATATCTGGTTCACCATTCACTTCCATTGCGTCTACAACTTCTTGGAATTGAGGTTGTAAGTTTATGAACCACCTATCCGGGTTAGCTTTATGACCCCATCTCATTGTAGTTCCATCGTCTGCAGAAACAAAAGTAGGTTTGTTTCCATCTTGGTTAGGTTCTGAATGAACTTTAAACAATGTTTCATTTCTATATGTTTTCTTGAAATTTAACCTTTTATCTTCACCGAGTTCATCCGAAGATTGAACGTTAAATGCTCGTAAGTAAAAAGGGTTGTTGTATTTGTGTACATTTTTTTTCAGTTCTTCCATTCTATGCTGAATATTTTCATCTGGTGTTGGAGTCTTTTGTATGTCGGCAAACATTTTTCGATATTCTTCTACTATGTCAGCCGAATTTTTTTTAGACTCTTGGAAATATTCCATATTCTCCGCATACTCTTGTTGAGGGTCAAGATTTTTCGGCTGTTCCAAATCTTCATCTAGTTCTGTGAAGTTAGTTTCCAAAGGAGTGACTTGTTCGTTTCCTTCAGGCTCTTCTAGCTGTTGTTGCTGAACTATTTCTTCCATGTCTGGTTGTATCTGAACTTCTTCCTGTGGAGTTTCTTGTACCTCATCTGCTGGCATTTCATATATTCCGAGACCGTTTTCAACAATTTCCCTATCTACGTCATCCGCATTCATAAGCTTTTGTTCTTTCGTTCCGTCTCTATTTTTTACGCATTTCATGACGAAAGTTGAATTGTCATTTAGCTCTGACATCAAATATCTCGGAGTAAATTCATCCATGTCATTTGGATGATATGCTATTAAATCATATCCCTTAGCGAGCTTGTATTTTCCAGGTTTGAGATTATATCCGTTTTGGTGCTGAGCCATAAAGCTAAATAGGTTCGGGTCAGTATTTCCATCCTTGAACTTTCCAATAGCTTCTTTATATCTGTCACTAAAGTCAATACTATCTGGGAAACCACACTCTTCTTTAAGCATTTTTAAGAATTCTTGGTTTCCTTGTTCTCTACTTCTTTTATGTCCTTGCTCTGTTTGTGGTTGTTGTGCTGGTTGTGGAGGTGGTTGTTGTGCAGGGTTTTGAACTGTTGGTTGTTGTGTTGGTTGTTGTTGTTGTTGTTGTTGTGCAGGGTTTTGAACTGTTGGTTTTGGTGCATGCCTGTGTCTGTGTCCATGTGACGATGTAAATGTTCTAGGTAGTCCTGGTGCAGGTGCTTCTCTTGGAGGGTTTGGTGGTATATAAGTTCCACCAGCTGGCACATATGTTCCATCTGCAGCGTAATGTCCTACCTGACTTTTCGTTTTTAAGAAAGCATTTACTAGGTCTGTTTTGGTCTGTTGTAACTCTTTTTCTTGACTTTTCACAACAGTTGCTCTAACGGCGTCATAGGCACTTTGAACTGCCTGTCTCGTTGCTGCATCTGTTATTTTCGTCATATTTTGTGCTACTTCTTTTAACTCTTTGTCGAAACCTTCAGACTTCAGTTTCTTTCCAGATGAGAAGTCGTTCACTTGTTTCACCTTACTATGAAGAGCTTCGAAAGCGTTCTTAAAGTCAGCATTTGTTAAAGCTTCATTTGAACTATCTTCATCCGCTTGTATTTTTGTCCTTATTGACCCTATGAGTTGGGCTGCTTTAGCGTTGGCTTGGGCATCTAACCAGTCATTGTTAGCTTTTATATATTCTGCGCTTTTCATTGCCTTTTGCATAGCTGCGTCGTTATTTTTACTTTCTTGTGCTAAGTTTTCATACTGTACGGTTTGGTTTTGCAACTGTAAAAGTTTTTCTGCCTTTACATTTGCTTCAACTTCTTTTTTATACTCATCGCTATCCATATATGTCTTCAGGGCTTTTTGTTTTATCTCTTCATCTTTCAGTACTTTATATTGAGTAGTATGGTTTTTCAAATTTATAACATCTTGTTCCATTTTTGCTACTTCTGCTGCTTTTTCTGACACTTTTTTCGCATATTCCTCTGTACTTAGTTCTTTCAGTTGTTCTTTTTCTTCTTTTTCTCTACGTTTAACTCATTGAGTTTCTTTGTGTGTCTGTCATATTCTAGTTTCTTTCGTTTTCACTTATTTGTTTCTGTATGTCTATGTTTGACTTTTTGACATCTGTTATTTGATTTTTGAGTGAACTCAAATTCATTTGACTTTGAGGGTTATAAGCTGTTCCGTCTGCAGCTCCACCATAGCCTGCCATTTTCGCTAAAAGTGCCGCTCTTAAACCTCCACTCTGTGCACCAATAACTCGGTTTAAAAGCATAGGGTTGCTTGACATTTGTTGCAACATAGTGGGGTCATTCATAATTTGTTGTTGCAACTGTTGTTGTGGTGTCAGTTTTACTATTGGATGTTTCAATGCTCTCTTCCTCTTACGTATATTCTTACGTAGCTTACGTGGCATTTTAAGTGAAGTTAAAAAGCGGTTTTTGACAGATGTTTATATGACACTTTTTGTTCAGCACAAAAAACTACTCGGTCAAAGTGTTGTCAGTTTTGTAAAATAACCGTCCTATCTCCGTGCCTATGACGAAGAAGTCTTGAAAATTCAAGAGGGTAGAAAAGAGGTTAGAAAAGAGGTTATATCTAACCTTCTACCCTAAACATTATTTTTGTCTGATTTTACGAAGAAGTCTTGACAAAACATTTACGAAGAAATCATGACAAAACATTTACGATGAAGTCTTGACAAAACATGAAAACATATATAATTTGTGAAAAGCTCCTGGAAGACCTCCGAATAAAAACTTCATTTATGTGGGCTAGAAGGCACGAAGTGCCTGGAAGGACACCCCAAGAAAAAAAAACTTCATTATACCAATCATCCTCAGGGCTAGAAGGCACGAAGTGCCTGGAAGCCCCACTACCTTTTTTTTTTTTTTTTTTTTTTTTTTTTTATGATGCTCAAATAATCATAGAATCCTAGTTTATTAGATATATTATTCATAAATTTAGGATTTGTATGTCGTTTTTCTAGATAAACATATATATGTCCTAATAATATGCTTATATTTCACATTATTCGCTATCTGAGGTAAGAGGGTAAAAAAAAACAATGGTACCACATTCAAAATTTAAGAGTAGGTTTTGAAATTTGAATGTGGTTTTGGCCGGTAAAACCTGGCGGTTTTATACCCAGGTTTACACTTCTGAAAAAAGTTGATATATTTGATTCAATAATTGGCATATAAGAAGAATTTTATTTATAAATCAATAATAAAAAATGGTGCACCATTAACTCAATTTCGTAAAAAAATAATGATAGCATTTTAGATTAAATAATAAGCATTGTTATACTATAAGTGGAATAAATTTCAGTTTTGAATTTTTTTCGTATAGAAATTTTTGGAAATATCAGTATTTCAATTTCTGTCGATCAAATTTCTATAAAATTAAAAATGATCGTGGAGCATCATATTGTGGTCATATATTTTCATTTTTTGCATAAATATTTCCTGCCAAAATACAAAATTGCCATAATCTCATGGTGGACCACAGCTGGAGTCACCGCCGACTATCCACTTGCTGGGATGCTACTCAGCCTTTGATCTGGCCAATCATAGTGCTGTTCCATCCATATCAGCAAGTGATTTCGGCGGGAGATCTCTAATCGGTCTTCCATGAGGGTTGCGCAAGCCAGAAGCACAATAACTATGCAGCCTAGCTGCTAGGATAGCGTAGCTAGTCTGCGTAGTTACTGTGCTTCTGTCGATATTAGTTATACGTTATTGCCCTCGTTGACTGTAGTACTACTCCCTTAACCTCCGAGGGTTAGGGGAGTAAATTTGCTTGAAATGGGCAATGTTCATTACGAAATCTCTCATTCGATGAGAGACTTCGTAATGAGCATTGCCTTAAAGTACTCTTACTACTCTTTCCTGGTCTCAAAAGGTCTAGGATTCTGTAATTAATCGAATAGGGCAGAGTTCTTCCGAAGTCTCTCATTTGATGAGAGGCCTCGGAAGAACTCTGCCCTAGTATAATGTAGTTGTGGTCTCTAACAATTTATGTGTCAGAGAATGTACTTTTACTCGAATAGAGCATAGTTTTTCCGAAGTCTCTCATATGATAAGAGGCCTCGGAAGAACTCTGCCCTAGTGTAATGTAGTTGTGGTACTTGGCCCACAAAGAGCGAGAGAATATGTCTGTAATTCGTTTGTGCTGAAGTTATCTGGATTTTCCTCAAATGAGAAAGGAAATCCAAAAAACTTCAGCACAAGTTAATGCAGATGTGGTTCTCTGGCTCTTTACTGGCCAGAGAACGAATAAAAAATTTTTGTTGTGAGTAGGCTCGATGCATACCTACTCACTACAAATATACGTTATTTTTTACTTTCCTATGAGAAAATAGTTTTTCATTTTTATAATACTATATGCTTTGTTACTTCATAAATTGTCTATTTTTCTTATTAAAGCCTAATTTTTCCGTGTGATTCGGAATCTGTGCATTCCAAAAATGCGTTTTCCGCTTTCAAAACGCGAAAATCTTTACCAATTTTGATTCAGACGAATAGACCAAAAATCTAAGGTTAATTTTCAAAAAAAATTTTAAGCCATTTACCAACTACTCTCCAAAAATCCACCCCATAGGGTGAGGGTTGGGTAGGAACATAAATTAAACCAAACATTCATCAATATGGACAAAAATCCATTCCAAATAGGCCTGGACAAAATCGCGAAAATAATTCCGTACATTTTTTATTCCGAAATTTCTAAAAAGTTTACCATTGCAGCGGATTCCATGCGGATTTACCATCGGTTACCGTATGAACAGGCCTAATTCCAAATATATTCATAACAAAATTTCAAGATTTAATATGTTTTATAAGATTTTACACTGTAAAATTGGCCAATTTCATTATTGTAGATTGATAATATGCCCATTTTCTTCTGTTAAATCATGGAGCAAATGATGCATGACCAAAAATTAAACAATAAAGAGAATATTTTTAAATAAACAACATGAACACATTATTCAGTGGTATTATGATAATGATCATTCATTACATATATTTTTAGACACTATTTTGAAGATAACTCATTGATGTTGTAATTAAAAGTGGTCGAGATGTCGAATTCCGATTTCGGCCTCTTTTTGGAAAAATTCTATAAGAATAAGGATTTATACGACTGGGATACTAAAATGAGGTTTACCAATGACGGGGAAGTCTCTTACTCAAATTTATTAGAGTATTTCACAGATTTAACGGAAAAAGGGTTCTCAACAGAAAACAAATCTCCATGTGATATCGGATCAGTCATTTCCTTATTCATTTCTTTCATACCATTCGACTTTCTCGAGAAAATCGCAGTAAATATCGTTAATTTGGATAATAATGCGATGGGAATCAGAATTGCAGTTAGTTACCCCATCCCACTTGACTTAGATACACTCAAAATGATGGTAGAATCCTTAATACGTTCAAAAACTCAAGTAACAGTTCAACAACCTCCAATTGACGCAAATTCTTTACCTTTAATGAAGATCTACTCGAACAACGAAGAGATTACAGTCTGTTACAACAGGGATACCAATGCAATATCGATGCTACAAGCTAAAACCCTTGATTATCCTCATTTTATGGTTGAATTTGCAATTTCAGGTTCAATCGAGAGTAATTACAAGAATATCATTGAAGGAATGATCTTCTCATTACCATTCAAGCCAAGATTGACCGCAATTATCAGTGCTGGCTCAGATTTATTATTATTCCGAAGAATTGCATCACAAAAACCAGACATCCTTGAAAGTCTTGAAGAGAAAACACTTCAGATCACGGAGTACTTCGATTGGTTCTCAATCCAGTCGTATTATTACGGTGTTTCATCACTAAATGAACTGAACATCTCAAATTTTGCTCAATTGGTCGTTTCACCGACCAAAGATGACTCCTCCTGTCTTTATTTGGCTGTTTACGTAAACGGGACAAAGATTAAGTCTGAAGACCCTTTCGTAATAGCAATGCTGAACGAAATAGATGTTCCTTTCCAGATAACACCTGTAAGTGGTGGAAAAGAAGACTTTTGGTGCATTTCTAACTTAGTTGGTCTTGATTTGGTAGATTTCTACTGTTTCTTGAACGTTTCGAGGTTGGACATACTGGATCCAGCAGTGAAATGCGTGGAAAGCGCCTTCAAGAAGCTTTTCGAAGACAAGAAAAGATATGATAAGAAAATTCCTGAAATTAAAATAGCAAACAATGCGTACAAGGTCATACAATCAATACAAGATAGCATGGATAGAGTTCTTGGATATGAAATGACTCATCCTTTCGTTTGGGACTCGTTTTCCAAAGTATTGAACAAAAAGATCAAGAAATTGATCAAAAAAGAAAAGAAAACCGCAAATGAATAAACATTTATTGATTTTGCTATATTTTGTTGAGTTAAACTTTTGATTTATTTGCTGAATGATTAATATCTTTTATAGAATGTGATCTGAGTATTTCCCTATATGGCAAGATTAAAATGCTACTAGAGGACAAGTTCTGGCACTGACAGCACGAAAAATATAGAGTTTGGAAAAGAATTCCTGATTTTATAGGAATTTTTGTTCCCAAATTGATATCTTTAAACAAATTATAATATATTCATCTATTAAAGATATAATAACATTTTATTTAGTTGAATGGATTGTAATAGTTATCTTTTGAATCTGGGGCCTTATATGATGGAGTTGGTGCTGGAGCTATATAAGCTGCCGGTTGTTGAGGAGGAGCTCCATAAATAGGTGGGGGTGCTGCATAAACAGGTTGTTGTTGAAGAGCTCCATAAACAGGCGGAGGTGCTGCATATACTGGCTGTTGTGGAGGTACTGCATAAACGGGTTGTTGAGGGGGTGCTCCATAAACAGGTTGCTGTGGTGAAACGACGTAAACAGGAGTTTGAGGAGGTGGTGGAATATAATTAGGCTGAGCTTGCTGTGGTTGTTGAATATATATTGTATTAACGACGTTAACTTTAATCGTAGTTGTGCTGCTTTCTTCAACTCTTTGAACTGGACGTGTTTGGCTATTGTTGTTTGAAGATGAAGCCATTTATGCAGGATATGATGAGTTATTGTTATTTGAAGATGATGTCCTTTGAGCAGGATATGAAGAGTTATTGTTATTTGAAGATGAAGCAATTTGAGAAGGATATGATGAATTATTGTTATTTGAAGATGATGTCCTTTGAGCAGGATATGATGAATTATTGTTATTTGAAGATGAAGCAATTTGAGAAGGATATGATGAATTATTGTTATTTGAAGATGAAGCCATTTGGGCAGGATATGAAGAGTTATTGTTATTTGAAGATGAAGCAATTTGAGCAGGATATGATGAATTATTGTTATTTGATGATGAAGCCATTTGGGCAGAATATGAAGAGTTATTGTTATTTGAAGATGAAGCCATTTGAGCAGGATATGATGAATTATTGTTATTTGATGATGAAGCCATTTGAGCAGGATATGATGAATTATTGTTATTTGAAGATGAAGCCATTTGGGCAGGATATGAAGAGTTATTGTTATTTGAAGATGAAGCCATTTGAGCAGGATATGATGAATTATTGTTATTTGAAGATGAAGCCATTTGAGCAGGATATGAAGAGTTATTGTTATTTGAATATGATGTCCTTTGGGGAGGGTGTGATTCATTATTTTTGTTTGATGATGATTCGCTTTGGGCAGGATGTGTATTATTCTCTTCATTTGATGCTGATACTTTTGATGATGAGCAACAACAGCATCTTTTGCCACAGCAACAGACGCAAATTAAGCATATAAGAATAATAAAAGCAATTATAACAAAGATAACAATAAGAGCAATTGCCCATGGTTTAAGGCCGCCAACTTTTGCTTTTCCAACTGCCTTGCCTAAATTCATCTGTTGATATGATGAATAAGAAATAGTGTAAAAATCGTATTTTGACTCGGAACCATCAATAGCAAAATTTTCGTCACTTGATGATCCACTTAATTCAAACTCGATCTTGTTGGCATATGTTTTTCCCTTCTTACATATGTTATAACAGGATTAGTTATATGTTGATCAGATTCTGTTTTATCATATACCAATGTTTTATCTACACCAAATGAAAAATGAGTTTGCCCATCCGAATCAATATCAAGATGCCCATCAGAGAAAGCAGATACAACGCAATATGTATCACTGCCTCCAACACTCACCGTGTATTTAACTGTACCGGAAATGATTGTTACATGATTACAATAATAAACTTTGTGCGAATAGTCGTAAGCGATAAAATTACATGTTTTTGTTCCACTTGTTGATGTTAACATAAGTGTACCTTTATTTAAAAATGCAATAGCTTTGATACCTGATGAACCAAGAATACTAAGAGATTCAGAACCACAAATTGCTTCGCCGGAAATAGAATCAGATTTAGTGAAAACAAGTAATGTACTTACTGGAATTGAATATGTAGTGCTCGTCGAAATGGAAAATGAATTTAATCCCAGTGAAATAGATGAACCAGAGGATGTGCCACCACTCATCGGGGAAGGAAAATATCCAATAGTGGTTCCGGTTGAAAATGTACGTTTCGGTTTACTATCGTCATATAATTGATAGTTATAGATTGTGTTAAGATAATATGATAATATTGAATAAGTTTGGGAAGCTGTTGTTTGTTTATTTTGTTTATAATTTAGTGTAACAGCCTTATTGTTATAAAGTCCGCTAGATGTTAACAAGGTATTTGGCTTACCACCAGAAACTGAATAATAAACGTCATTACTATCGCCGTTTTTTGTTAAATATACATTAAACGTATTAGAATCGAGAATAATTAAATAACAATCTTGAGTGGTAGAATATGTATCTTGCGTCATTGTGTATGATTCTGAAGCTGGTTTAATCCAGAATTCAAGAAAATCATATGTTTTTGCGATAAGAAAAGCTCCAAATTCAGCTGATTCGCCAGTAGTACTTGCAATTGTATATGTTCCATATGTGGATTGGAGCTTGTAGACTCTGTTACTTAAAACTGTATCATCAATTATTAAATATATTGGACTATCGACAAATACTAGATAATAATCGTAATCTGATACGGATTCAAGATTGAATGTAATCTCAGTGCCTGAGCTTGATATATTCACATAATGGTAGCCTGTGGAACTTACTGAATAGGAATGAGCAATGGTTATTAATAGACTTAACATTCAAAAATGAGTCGCATTTTTAACGATAAGTTCTTTTCAAATACCACACAAAATTGAATAAAAGTGTGAATCATTTGAGAAGAGAAGATTTAACAAAATATATTGTATGAGTTGTATCATTACTAAAAGAAAAGTAGTCAACAAAAAACACGTTATTCTTTAACGATAACTATAAGCTGACAAGTCCAAGGCTGAATTGTAGAAAGTTTCCATATTCATTATAATACATGGGTGTACATACTATATGAGTTATTAAGTTTCAGCTTGGAATTCTAACTTATCACTGTGACTTATTTCAATTTTCATTTCTCTTTTTTGGAGCTTTGTTCATTGCTTCACCTGTTGAATGATACGACGCCTTTTATGAAACTACAACTGTAAAATATGCACGTGATAGGTAATTCTTTTTACTTAAAAATGATATCATATTTTATTTCTTAAAATTGCTTCTACTTGTTGATATTTGTTTCAAGTACTTCAAAATCTCTTAGAAAAGTAACATAAAAAGGTTATTTATTTAAACATAACATTTTAAATCTAATTTTTGATGAAAAAAATATAACATGAGTAATAATATTAAACATCAATAATTCAACAATAACAATAGAGACATGCTAGTCATGAATTTGGTCTAAACAGCTATATTCATAAAAATATTAACAAATTAATTCAAATAAACAGAAAATAGCCATTTTTCATAACTCGACATCAGACCGAAGAAGTATCTGTTCATCTATAGCTTCTGTTTTCTTTCCTAATTTGGAAAGAATGAAAAATGCTATAATATTTGTAGAATCAATAGAGAATTGCAAAATGGCTCCAAACAAGAAAGCCCAGCCAGCTCCACTGAAGCTGAACATGATAATTTTTAGTAAATCTCCAAATGCGTATTGAACTAAAAGGACTATTGATATTCCAAGGATGTCATGCTTGAATACAATTAGTATGAACATCGGCAATGACACTGTGGTCTCGACAACGTTTGAAACGATTATAATAATCGAATTTACTTTATGTGTTGTAAGAATAAGGCACATTAATATATAAACGCCAGTTATTATCAACCCGTATACTATTACTGATGATACAAATTCAAAACCTGAAGCTAAATTAAAAATGTCTAATAGAGACTTCAAACCTCTAATTTGAGGCCTAAAACGTGTTTGAGTATGAGATTTTGGTAATTGTGAGTAGTTAAATGACCATATTCCCATTAGCAATTGCAATGAAAATACGGCAACTGATTGACCAAGCAAATATGGAAGAAAAGGCTCGTAAATCCAATACAAAAATCGCATAAAGTTAGCAGCAAGTAATATAAGTCCTGATGTAAGATTGAAAACACGAGAATTTTTCGTTTGAATTAAAGTTTTGAACTGATCTATATAACCAATCGTAGGACAAACAATTACAAGACCTGTCATAACATGATATGGCAAGTTTGGAATGTATCTGAATAGCTGTATCGATATAAGATCAAGGGCAAAGAGAGCACTCATGATGACACTTTTTCGAGAAATCAGCTAATGGAATAATTTTATGCAATTATAATATACTAAGTGAATTGAACGTTTTCATTTTTATGTAAGGAAAATTTGAGATTTGACATCAATTTAACACGCATTGTTGATATGGCAAAATAATTTGTAAAACGAATATATGCTCTGATGGAATCATCCGAAAGTGCTATTACATCTCTTACATTTCAAGGGCTTTAATTTAACCGTAACCCAGGGGTAACATGAGTGTTAACTATTTCATTTCTCTCAAATATTGAGTTTTTTTATGAAACACAGAGAAAGAATTGAATCCATTAGGCAATAAGATAGCTAACATAAAGTTTAGGCTATGATGAGTATATTGCAGTCTAGTTTAAATCTCAACAATAACTTTCGATGAAACATTCATATGAGCCTAAAATAGTTAAAATGAAATTTATGTATATCTATATAAAAAGCATAAGTTATTGATTGCACATGCAAGGATTTATGGCCATCCTCAGATTTAGTTCTCGATAAAAAAAATTCTGAAATCTGACACGTAATGATTACCTGCTTGTCACTTTTTGCTCTTAAAATGACGAAAAAATCAAGATTAATTCTTCAACATATTTTAGATTGCGGAGTTTTAGAACCATCAACAACTGATGAAGTACTCACAATCTTCAGTAACGATGTCGCATCGACTGTTGCTGTTTCAATTATTTCGAATTTTTCAAACAACGGAGCAAATCCAAAAATTGAGACAGAATTCTCAATTGATTGGGTTATGCAAGTTTTAGCTTATGCACTTTCATTGCCAACTCTTTACAATGAAACATTAAATGAATGTTTAACAATCTTTCGTCATTGGCTCACAGATGAAACATTTTTTAAAGACTTAAAGACAAGAAATTCATACGCACGCCAAATTTTTAGATATTTATCACAGATTTTTGAGTATAGAAACGATAATTCACATCCAGCGCCAAGACGCGAATTAATTTTGATTTTATTAAACGATTTTAATAGATACCAAGCAGAACTCGGCTCAATTTTCGATGATGAAACATGGGCAGTTCTTGTTCGAATTTTAATCGGCGCATGTGACTTTTTATCACAACCAGAATCAATATCAGTGCTTGCAGAATCATCTACTAAAAATTTATTACTTAGCAAGTGCTTCGCTTTACTCTACACAACTTTAATTAACTCAAAATTAACAACACAAGAAATCTGGGAAGTTTTTTACAAATTTACCAAATCATGGTCATCATCAGAAGACTTCTTAACATCTTGGCATGTCTGTCTTATCGATGTTTGGAAGAAACTTCTAAATTTACTTTTTACTCCTACTTTGGAATACAGAACTGACGTAAACATCGAAGAACTTACATTAGTTGGTTTCCAGCTACAGAGATTCATCGACTGCATCGAGTTTAGTTCAGTAACTTCGACTCAAGAATTATTTGGTAATTTTTCACGAACTGTACAAGATCTCGTTGACTGCTGCTCCAGCCATCCTCGCTCTTCCCCCGCTTTATTCCAGCCTTTGTTCCCAGCATCAGTATTTTTCAAATTATTCAGCAAGTGGTGTTTCAACTGCTTCGATACTGACTTCACCGCTGGCCAGACATTGATAATAAAGTCACTGATGAGCATTGCAGGCGATTGGGATTTGTATACTTCGAAAGATTGGAGCGAAATCCTTCTTGCAACGCTTTTGGAGCTGATCCAACGCGGTAACAATCAAATTCTCATGTCAATACTTAACAACGGATACCTTTTGTTCAGAAGATTCGTTTCATCAGAAATATTTGACATGATGATGAACGCGATTGAACAATTTGACCCCAATCAGAACCTATGGCTCTCATTCTGGGCTTCTTTCTCTGTTCTTTTGATGGATGAAGCCGAAACTCTCAAAATTTCACCTACAATTTCAACAACCTTATTAAATAAGAGCACAGTTCAATGGGCAACACTAAATGTTCACAATATACTCCTTCGCCAGTCACTTCCTGACTTCGTAACTGCAATTAAGAAGTATACTTTGAATATTTCAGACAAAAAGTTGACATGGAGAAATGAAGAGACAACAACATCATTTGACGTCATTTCAGCCATCTGTTACATGATTGCTTCAGCTCCAGCGTATCATAATCTCAAAGACTCAATTTTGGAGATCCTTACAACATTTTTACAGGTTGTAAGAACAAACATAAGCGAAACAAGGCTCAGATCCGCGTTTTTAGTTTTGATTTCTCAAATTACAAAGTGGTATGACGCAATTTTCGATCCAAAGATCTCTGTTGACCTTCTGGACTTCCTTGCCCAGCTATCCGATGAACAGTTGATCGATCCAATTCAATGCCAGACAATTTCAAGATTATTATGCGGCAGATCTCTCAATAGATCGTTCCAATCACAGATGATTAAAGGTATTAGCGAGTATTGTACAGAATCCGCGGGCGATAATCAAGAAACATTGACTCTTCCTCCAATTGCAACATTTAAGTCCGGAGAAACGGCTTTGATTACAGTTGTAGGCGATACAAAGAGAAGTGACAGCTTCACCATCCACGTGAGAGAGCCCCGCGGCTTCTTCATGTGGGAGATCAAGGATGAATTCGTTGATCCAAATTATTCCATTGATAATACAAATTATTCTGACATAAATTCTGACAAATATTTGACATCTGACAAATGTCAGAATTCCGAAATTTCCGATGACAAAGACATTGTCAATCTTGTTGATCAGATGAAAGAAAACAAGTGCTTCGATAACAATTTCTTGGAAAGAAATTATTACAAAGATTACAATTACGTCAAATCGAGGAAACTTACAAAGGAAGACAGAACAGATAAGCTTAGACATAAAGCCGTTGACTTCCTTATCAGTACAGGTCTTTATACTAACGTTTCTCGTATAGAAGAGGATGTTTCGGATATTATCTCAAAATTCGATGCAATTCCAACAGCTTCTACACTGTTCATCCCAGTCATTGATGCAGATAATGACGGAATCAAGCTTTCAACAACTGAAACTCCTTTGCTTCAGAAGTTTATGCAGTTAATTGGAACAACACACCAATTTGCTGACAGAAATAGCAAACCAGCCGTACAGTTTGGCTTGTTAACAGTTGTTTACGATAGAAATGAAGCTGAAAATGCTGATCTTTGCACAATTATTTTCTGTGAATCTCCACTTTTCCTTAACACAAAGCACAAATCTATTCCTAAGTCAGAGCTTTTGATTGTTGTAAGACCTGTTGACGAAAGATTCTATTCTTGCAAGACAATCACAAAAGATACAAAATTCTGGTGTCCAATACTTGATGAAAGAATTGTAGCTGCAGAAAATCTTTCTGAAACAATTTCTACAACTATTTTCATGTATGCTGCTAGCCACAGGAAAGAAATTCTTCTTGAAAAAGATATTGCAAGAGCTGAGCTTATCAAAGGCGTTAGATCAAAACCAATCGATATATTGTCAGTGGCAGAAACACTTACATTGAAGTGCTTTGCATAATTTGAGGAATAATGTAATTTTATTATATTTTTTTTTGAAAATAAAATGTTCTTTTTATATGAATTTCGTTTTATTACTGCTAGTCAAAACTATATGCAAAGTAATAATCACTCTCAAGTACCGACAAGAATTGTGCGAATCAAAAAGGAAAATTAACCCCATAAAAATTATGAATTTCTGGTCTGCCCCTTATTATTACTTATTAATAAATGAAAATATGATGCAATGATCACATAAGCGGTTGCAAATTCTCTTCAAATCACGAATTTAACATATATTGTAGTGGAATCTATAAAGCATATTATTTATTTTATATCAATATAAATTTAACTGAAGATATAAAAGCAATAAGAAAGTAATTCAATAAAAAGCACGTTAGATTTTTAATTATTTTAAATAATTAATATATATTATGAATATTCTAGAAACTTTATCAAATTTTATAACAATCAAGATTTTGAATTCTGAATGGTTTTGAGAAGTTATAAAAACCCCACCGCACTTTCAAGTCTCTAAATCAGTTATATATTAATTTTATATTAAAATTCTTTTATAGAAACAAAAGTTTCTTATCAAATTTTCGCCACTTCTGAATTGAAACTGTTAAATTTCAGAAGAAGCGTAATTTATTCAAATTATAAATTCCATAAATTATTGCATACTATATATAACCCGCAATTTTATTACTGTGATTAGTCACTTAATCTCTCAATTTGAAATACACCCATGAGAATTGAATATTTCTTTACCGAACATAGAAAATCATTTTTTCATGAACGAGAAAGAAATCAATTTCCTTTTGCAAAAAAATATTGTTGTTGAACAGCCACTTGCAAAAGGTGCTTATGGTGAAGTTTACTCTGTCTACCATAATCGTTACCAGATGAAATTCGCGATGAAAAAGATTCCAGAAAAATGCTTCAGGGAAGCTGAACTGGAGTGCATGAAAACAACAGATGACCAGAGGTCAGTCAATGTATATCAGTATTTTCGCTTTGAAGGAAGCGTTTATCTAATTATGGAATTTTGTCCTAACGATTTGTTCAAAATGATTCATGAAAGAAAGGACATTTCCCACCGTGAGCTCGAGAGAATCTTATACGATACAATCATGTCCGTAAAAGCTTGCCACGATAAGAGAATTGCTCATTGCGATATCAAGCCTCAAAATTTCCTTATCGATAGCTATGGAAGAATTAAGCTCAGCGATTTCGGCCTATCCGCTATATTAGAAGATTCCAACGCCATTTCAGATCATAAAGGAACTATTCTTTTTATGGCACCAGAACAATTAATGCAAAAGCACTACAACCCATTCGCCTCCGATATTTGGGCCTTAGGAGTTACATTGTTCTACATAATTACAAAGTCTTTTCCATTTTTCGACACTTCCGAGCCAATGCTAATGAGGAAGATATTAGACGGAAGCTGGAATACAAGTTTGATACCGAATTCTCATTTGACCAAGCTCGTTTCAAGATGTTTGGTCGTTGATCCAGAACAAAGAGCCACTGTTTCAGAACTGCTCAAAAGCTCTTATTTCCCATCATTGAAGCTTAATTCCAACAATAACAAAAATGGAAACCAGATGTTACAAAAGAGGAAACAATTTTCTTCAATTATCAAACCATTTTCATGCAGAAGACAGCTAATTTGCTCCAGAATAAGCCCAGTGTCAAGTTCATCTCTATGCTTACTTGCACACTAATTTCATGCTATTTATTGTTTGTAAATATTATTTTTTTATGTTAAACATGAGTATATATATATTAACTACTTCATCTTTCATGTAACCGCTTACAATAACTAATTTTTGAACGAAATTTAATGATAATTTTAAAGAAATTCAAGAAAAAATGGATCGATTTAATGCAAATCTATTCATCTATGCAAACTATTAATCTACACAAAGTCTCTAGTTCTGGTTGTAATATCAACTTAGAAATAAACCTTGAGTTTTATCATTTTGAATAGAATTTCGTTTACAATTATTGAAATTTTAGAAAATGAAAATAATTCGAAAAATAAATATAACACATAGTGTGAATCAAAAATCAAAAAGAAAATTAGCAAAAAGTGGAGAAATACTACTTGGGCTATGAAAATCACAGTCAAAAAAATGAAACCACAAAACAAAGGGGATGACATAAAATCATCCAGCCCAAGAAGCACTGACTCCTAAGGAGCAAGTGATAAATCTAATAAAAATTTAAAATGAAATTAATAATAAATTCTATAAAACTCTGTTGAAAATCTTAGAACTTGATCTCTTTGACCTTTTCCCATGGGAGATCGATATCAGTGCGGCCGAAGTGACCATAAGCAGCAGTTTGAGCGTAAATTGGGCGAAGAAGGTCGAGATCGCGGATGATAGCGTATGGTCTGAGATCGAAGTTCTTGTTAATGATTTCAACGAGCTCCTCATCGGTCTTTCCTTTACCAGTTCCGTAAGTATCGACAAAGACAGAAAGGGGATGGGCAACACCAATAGCGTAGGAGAGCTGAACTAAGCAACGAGAGCAAAGGCCAGCTGCAACAAGGCTCTTGGCAACCCAACGGGCAGCATAACATGCAGAGCGATCGACTTTTGATGGGTCCTTTCCTGAGAAAGCACCACCGCCGTGCGCTCCCCAACCACCGTAACTGTCGACGATAATCTTACGACCAGTAAGACCAGAGTCACCAAGTGGACCACCGATAACAAAGCGGCCACCTGGGTTGATATGAAGAATTGTCTTGTCATCGACGAGCTCCTTTGGAAGAACTGCATCAATGACGTGCTCCTTAACGGCAACACGAAGCTTCTCTAATGTGACATCATCTGTGTGCATCGTAGAGATAAGGACTGTGTGGATACGGAGTGGCTTGAGATGGCCATCTGTTCTTTCGTACTCAACTGTAACTTGTGTCTTGCCATCTGGACCAAGGAATGGGAGTGTTCCGTTCTTGCGGACTTCTGTGAGCTTGCGAGCAAGGTTGTGGGCAAGAACGTGTGTAAGTGGGAAGAGTTCCTTTGTTTCATCTGTGGCATAGCCGAACATGATGCCTTGATCACCAGCACCGAGTTCTTCAGCAGCCTTGTTAAGGTGAACAGCTTGAGCAATATCAGCGGACTGCTGGCTAACGGAAACCATGACAGCGCATGTGTCAGCGTCGAAGCAGAGCTTGGATGATGTGTAACCGATGTTGCGGACAGCATCACGAACGAGCTTCTGGTAGTCAAGGTGAGCATTGGATGTAATCTCACCGAGAAGGCAGACAATGCCTGTCTTTGTGCATGTTTCACATGCTACTTTTGAAAGTGGATCCTGGGCAAGACAGGCATCAAGAATTGTGTCTGAGATAATGTCACACATCTTGTCTGGGTGACCTTCTGTAACGGACTCGCTGGTGAAAAGCAAGTGTTGAGACATCAGCAAAAATTCCGGACCGCGGTATTCAAATTAATTTCTGAGGTTTATTGAAAAGACATAGATGACACTTTACGGGTGTGAAGCATTCTTAGTGGTTTAGATATATATATTAAAATGTTATTGTTGCTAACATGTTGACATTCTTCCAATCATTTATATGTTTCAATGAGAAACCTCAAAAATTTAGGGAAAATTTCAATTTGAGAGTATTGGCAAAAATGTTATCCTTTCTTCGGTTATGAAATGATTTTAATAGGAGTATTAAATACTCTTCAGTGTATTCAGTTGGCCTCCAGAGCGCTACTGTTCCTAGTGATGAAGCAAACCATTTCGAACTTGCAGGTTGTCATTTCGAAATCCACCAAGATAACAAACAATTCTCTTATCGTATTCAAAATCAAAGAAATTATACACAGTTAGTGTCTGTTGAACAACGAATTACTATCGAAAATCCAAAATTTACCGTCGACAAAAATAAGTTCGGTTTTTTCATCACATACAACGAAGAAAATGAGTTTTTTGATATGTCATCAACAGATTCCTTTTTATATCACATCAATTCCGAAAAACAAATTATTGAAATTTCAATTCAATGGAACAACCGAACAATACAGAGTAATCACGCCATAAAATTATGTTACAATAATAATTATAAGAAGAATTTACTTGAAAATGCTAACGTTCTAATTTGGAATCTAAGAGCTAATAAGTACTTTTTTAAATACCCAGCAACTGAACCTTTGAAGCTTTCTTACACACTTAGTAGTATGCCAAGTAGTACAGTAGATATTGTTGCTCGATATAATACATCCAGTATTCAGATTACTAACAGACAAATTACTCAAAAAGATGTTGTAGATCAAGAGTATGATATTTCTCGTTTACCTATCGGTGATCACACAATTATTTTGAAAATTTCCACTTCCGATGAATATTTTGGAAGACCCTTAAGTTTCACAATTGGACATTCACCACAAATTAATCTGTCTGATATAGAACTTACTCCATTAGAATATAGAGAGGGCAATGGAGGTTACCCTTTAATGCAGTTTTCAGTTATCGTATCAATTCCAGAAAAGTCAGCAACAGTTACATTATACCTTTACTTCAATAATTATGGAGATTATTTAGCGTACGTTAATGCTCAAATCCAAAATTATACAAGAATTATCCCAAGTTCTACCCGTTTAGACAATAGATATTTACTAGATGGCACTAATTATATTAACTTTTATGCAACATATAATGGTCATTTTAGCGAGACAATCAATACTTCATTTTTATACTTTTTTAATAAACCAATTCTCAATATCACCACTCCTGACAATCAAACGTTCAAAAAGAATGATAATACAGAATTTAATATGGAAGGAACAATGAAATGTGATTATGAATGTCATAATGTTAGCATTTTCTATCAATTTGATGATTATGAAGTTAATACAATAATAAATAATTTTCCGATGGAACTAAATAAAGCTATTGAAGATAGTTATCCTGTCGAATTCCCATCAGATATGACAGAAGGTAACAATCATTCTTTTAGAATATGGGTAACAGACTTTAACAACAGAACGTCAATAGTCACAAAAACTTTTCTTATTTATTCGATATTCCTAAAATTGAAGTTTCACAAGCGCCTAAAGAGTCATACACTGATTTTGTTGATGATATCATCAATGTCACAGGATTTGTTTCACATCCTTACCACACTGGCCAACTTTCTGTTTTATACATGTTTGATGATGAATTAACAACTAACGTGACATCATCACTAATCCAAGTAGAAAGTTCAAATGAAAAACATCAATTCAACTTCACATTTCAAATTCCATCAACCACCAATGAAGGACAACACAAAATCACAATTTGGGCACAAGATGAGAGAGGAGTGAAATCGAATGTTCAAAATTTTATTTTCGGATTTGAACATAATTCACCTCCTGAGATAGTTATAAATGATATTTCTCCTCTAGAATTCTTCAAAAATGGATTAACTCCAATGGAAATCAATGTTCGTATTGGAGATATAAATGGTGCAAAAAATGCTGTAATTATGTACAAATTTGAAGACGAAGAATATCAAAATCTAAAATCAATTAAATTAGAACCATCAATTTACCTAAGAACAAATCTAGATATCAATGTTCCGAATTATCTTCATGAAGGAAATAATACCATTTATTTAATTGTAAGTGATGGAAACAAAAATAGTACCGAAGTAAATAGTACTTCAAATTTAAATTCAATCCTCCAATTCTTAATATCACAACAGCTGATAATCAAGTTCTATGGAAGAACACAAGCAAAGAGTTTCATTTTGTAGGAAATCTCAAAGATGATGATGCAAACGGAAATGTTACAATTTTCTATCAATTCGATGGTGAACAACCAAAACAAGCAAATACTTATAATATTACAGACAATAAAATTCATGATATATCTTATAACGCCACATTTCCATCAAATTTCTCAGAAAATAACCATCACCGTATAACAATATGGGCAATAGACGAAACAAATAAAATCTCAGAAAATTATATATTACACTTTTCATATCTATTTAACGATCCAATTCTTAATCTCATATCACCAGACAAACAAGCGTTTAAAAAGAATATATAGGGTGTCCAAAGGTGCGTTTAGCACAGCGCTCTATATGAGACTATTAAAGGAGATATATGCTGATTATAAATATATAATAAAAAATATGAATATATGTATATGATGAGTATGTTGTATTTTGGCGCCATGCCGGGATATAAAATGAATTTTGAGACAAGAGGCGGTTTCGCGGGAAATTTTGGCGGGATTTTTTTCATTTTTTTAATGAATCATAAAGAAAACATCCTCGCTCTTGCAAAAAAATGCAAAGACTGTAAAAAAATCTACGAGACATTGGTAAAATGCTTCGGTATGGATGCTCCTAGCTATTCCACTGTAACGTATCATGTTAGGATGTATCACTTCATGAACAAAAAGGCGCCCATCATAAAAATTGACAAAAAATCGCCGGATCAAAGAAAAATCAAAGCAATTCTTCAAGCGCTAGATGAAGACCCAAGAGCATCACTCAGAAGGATAGAGGAGATGACAAAGATACCAAGTACAACAGTCAGTTATTATCTGCACAATTATTTGAACTACAAACTAGCGTATACACGTTGGGTTCCGCACAACCTTAATTCAGTTCAAAAAAAATCTAGAGTCCAATCTTCTAAAGAGCTCCTCTCTATATTGGGTGCGTATCAATCCAAGAAGTTTCGCTTTTTAGTAACATGGGACGAGTCTTGGTTTCAATATGCAACAGAAGCCAAAATCATGTGGATCCCGAAGGATGAAAATCCGCAAACATTCCCGAAGAAAAAAATTGACACACCAATGATGATGTTGTCGGTTTTTTGGGGCGTGAATGGCATCATCACAATTGATATTCTTCAAAAACCTAATACAATGAATGCTCAGTATCTAATTGACAATGTTCTTACTCAAATTATCAATTCTGATGAGTTTGAGAAATCCAAACAACAAAAACAAAAGTTTGCAATTCATTTTGATAATTCAAGAGTTCACAAAAGTCATAAGGTAATGAATTACTTGGTGGAAAACAATGTCAAAGTTGTTCCAAACCCAATTTATTCACCTGATATTGCACCCTCTGACTTTTATTTATTCGGCACGCTAAAAAAGAGAGCTGAAGGACGCGAATTCGCGAGTCCAGATGATCTTGAAAATTTTGTAAGAGAGCAATTTGAGCAATTTTCTCATGATGATTTAAAGCGTGTCTTTCAAGCCTGGATCGATCGCTGCGAACGCGTGATTGAATCCAATGGTGATTATATTTAAATAAACTTTATATATATGTAACTTGTTTATTTCTATTCGCAGTATTCAGGTTTGTGCTAAACACACCTTTGGACACCCTATAGATAAGTTTTTTATTAAATTAATCAATGGCACAAACAGAAGATACAAACCTGGAGAAACAGTTGAAATCTATTTATCATATGAACATCTAGATAATACTAATTTAAAGTCAATTACTACATCATATGGAAATTATCACATAATTAGTATACCAGTAAAGAAGTTAACCAATTCAACATATATAATAAGTCATTCAATACCACCTAAAACAAAAGATGGAAATTATAAAGTGTCAATACTCGGAACTGATTATTGTGACCATCAAAGTAATAAAATCGAAATTAATCTCTTTGTTAAGAAATATTATGCAACAAATGAAGTTGATTTTGAATTTGTCAGGAATTTCAAAATAAGACCTAAGCATTACCATTAATAGTTTTTTTCACCTCATCTCTCTTATTTTTATAAATAAATTACTGTTACATTTTTTTAAAAGAAGTAAATGTTTAAATTTTAATAACATATTTACAAAACAATTTTAATAAAATAGTTACTATTCATGACCACTATTTTATAGTAAGCCCGAAAGTTTGAAAACAATAGAAAAAAACACATGATTTCATATTTCTATTATGCTTAGTATTTCAAGATTTATTAATTCTATAATTTATGAGATCTTGATGGTTTTGCTCCTTTACTTTTTGGAGTCAATTTGCAAATTCTTTATATATAGACTTTATGGTGTAAAATAATGACAAATATAACATTTCTATACTCAACAGAATATATAAGTCTGATAATTATCGATAAAAAACTTTAAGACGACGACATAAAATAAAAAATTAATTTTTTAATTTAATTTAGCAAAATCTTTCTCGTATTTCTCAAGCAGTGTTCTTGCTTTGATAACTCTAGCTTCGAGGTCCAAACGCTTGAGTAGATTAGATTTAACTGCGATTGAAGGTCCAGATCCTGAACCTGATTTTGCCTGAGCCTTTGGTTGAGACTTTCTTGCTGCTGTTGCTGCAGTTGTTGATGCAAGGTTGAGAATAGCGTTTGCGAGTGTTAAAACAGCATCGAGAAGCTTCTGCGCTTCTGCATTCTTTGTTGCTGTCTGTGCAAGTGTCTTTCCGCATTCTCCAACAGAGCTCAAACATGGAGAGATGAATGCTTCTGCAACAGGAGGTCTGTTCTTGATGACAGTATTCGCGGTCTCCATAGCTTCATTGAGAGTTGCAATTAATTTCATTGCGAACTCTGCCAAATTATCGAAATTATCAACAGCATCCAACTTTCCACATGAGAAGAGCAACAACTTGTGAGCAGCTGTTGACATACCTAAGCATGGTTCGATGATTGTTGTCTTTGCAAGTTCTGTGAATCTGTTCTGTTCGTTGTTTTCGATTTGTTCCTTGTATTTCTCATATTCTGTCTTACTGGCGTTGATTGCAACAATTGCTGGATGCAACTTATCAATGATAGCTTTGAACTCGCCTTCTGAGTTCTTAGCTAATTCTGAAGCTTCTGTAGCTGTCTTGATTGTCTGATCTAAAACATTAGAAATGGATTCCATGATTTGTGAAGAGTTTGCATCGAAATCGCCAATCAAAAGGAATCTGTTTCTCAATGCAGACAAGAAAGAACTGAAGTCTGTTGTGATCAAACCAGCAGCTGAAGCCAAAGAACTCTGGTGATCTAATGAATAAGCAGTAGCAGAACAAGCCAAAACTTGTGTGATTGTTTGAGACATCTGTTGCATAAATGGCTGGAATGACTGAACAATGTATTGATTTGTTGCCTGTGGATGATTGACAATTTGGAAGAAAACTGTCTTCTTTTCGTTGAAATCTTTGATCGATTGGATCAAAACATCCAAACAATGATGGATATCAATGTTTTCTGTGTTAGGAACATGAGGAAGCTTGAATTCTTTAGGAAGTAATTCTGCACTTTCCATATCTGGAGTCTTTGGAATAACATCGGTCAATGAATTCATTGCAACCAAGATCTTCTGTGTTTTCGCTGCAACTTTCAAGAAAGCGTGAGCACTTTGTTCTGTCTCTGTCTTCGGGTTGAATGAGCACTTCTGGAAATCATTGATTGATTCTGCAAGAGAATCAATCAATGAGCTGAAATCAGCACCTGCTTGTTTGTTAGTGTTGCATGATGTAACTTGAGAAGCAATTTTAACAATTGTTGGAACAATTTGGTCGAAAACTGGTTTCTCTGTTGCAAGGAATGACAAATATACTTCTGGAACTTTGCAGTTCGCGCATGTTGCCAATGCAGAAGACATAGTCTTAACGGATCCAGCTAAAGCATTGACGAAGCCAACTTTAGCCAGATCTAATTGAGACTTGCTCTCGTTCTCTGTCTTAGATGTATCTTGCAACATTGATGACATTGATTCGATGATTCTGTTGTATGATCTTGTCGCTCTTCTGATTACTGTTGATGATACTGCACGTGATTTAGCAACTTCAATGATGTTCCTTGTTGCTGTTGATCCGCTGCAGACCATGGACAAGTAATCAGTGGCAATGACAGAGTTGATGTTGTTTGATAATTCAAAACCTCTGTACATGGCTGATTCGCAGGAAGCGAAGCTCTTGATGATCAAATTAATGGCGTCTTTTTGCATCTCTGGATTTCTTGCTTGGACAGACAGAATAAGTTTGTTTGTAGCATCATTGATATCTGATTTAGCCTGTGTGAAATAGCCATCGATTTGTGCAATAGAGCCTAAATCAGCAACTTGTTTGAAAACATTAACTGTTTCACGTTTGAGGATTTGGATTGAGTTGCTCTTAACTTGGTTAAGGACTGTTGTTAACTGACCATCAGCTGCTGAGTTCGTGATGTAATATCTCTGAACGGCTTTGTCGATTTGAGAAATTTGATCGATGATTGGATCAATGTTTGCACTAGTTTCGTTGAGAGCTGTTCTCTTGACTTTCATTGCTGTGAAATCAATGAGTTCTTGTGAAATCTTCTCGATATCATTTGTATCAATGGCAGCAACAAGTTTCTCGAAGCTCTCCAACACATTACTTGTTGTTGTTTCTGGTTCTGCTGTAACTGTTGTTTTGGCAACATTGACATGGACTAATGATGCATATAAGTTCTTCAAGTTCTGTAACAAAGCTGTGCACATTTGTCTGAATCTCTGCTGGTTCTGTGGATTTGATAAATCTGATGAAGAAGAGGAGATTTCATTGACAATCTGGAGAATTTGTGCTGGATCTGCAATGAGTTGTGATCGAAGTTTAGAATCACTGATCATTGCTAAGTGTCTTGTCAATGATGCAACGAGTTTAGGACATTGCTTTGAAAGCTCATCAACTAATTCTTCTCGTTCAGAATTACTCTTTGTAGTCATAAGTTTAGAAACAATTTCAATCGCTCTCGTATTAGTTGTAGCGAAAATATTCTTGCATTCTGAGATTGGCAATGCAGAGAATTGTGCCATGATTGGAACAACTTCACTCGCTCTTTGTGCTGCATTTGCAACAATGTTTTGTTCTGATCTGTAGTTCTTCGTAACTAAAGGAGCAGCTGAAACAACAGCGATATCTGCATTGATCTGTGTGTTCAAGATAGAATCCAATCCAGCAATGTTTGAGAATGTTGTAACAACTGGATTTGCTGGTTTCGTGATTTGAATTAAATCGTTCAAAACAGCCATCTTCTTGACCATTTGATCTTGGTTTGCTGTTGCCATCATGTTGTTAATGACAATTGGAGATGCATTTGTTCCAACCAATGTCTTGATTTCGCCCTGGTAGAGCTTGACTTCATCTGTATTCAAATTGATTTGGCTGACATTTGGATTAGAGATTGTTGACTGATGTATTGCTTGAACAATCTGTGGATTCTTTGAAACAATGTCTCTTTGGATTGCAGACATCTTTGTTCTGAGTTGTGATCTCTCCAAGTTTTCTTTAGTTGCAACATTGATTGCATCAATTGTTGCAATATCTGGTGATGCCATCTTGAGTAATTGTGATGGATCTTGTGTCAACAAAGCTCTCTGGAATCCAATCAATTTGCCTGAGATCTGTGTTGCGTTTGTAATTGCAACTTGTGACAAAGCACCTGATTGTTCAATTGATGGGATTTTAGTGTAATCAATGTCTTTGCAAGCAGCGGCGATGTATTGAGGAGCTGCTGCAGCCATTGAAAGATGTTGAAGAAGCATTGCTTGTGCAACTTGTGCTTCTTTGTCTTCTTTACTGACTGATTGTTTAACTTGTTCTGGATCAACTGCAACTTGGTATAATTGTTGATATGTTTGTTGTTGCAACTGAGCAAGTTTTTCTGGATTTTGTTGAAGTGATTTAACAATTTCAACTTTCTCTTTAGGATCAACTTGTATTGCATCTTGTCTGATCTTCATGAGATTTGCAATGCTTGAACACAATTGTGCTTGTGACAAATCTTTCATTGATTCTGATAAGTCATTGTTGACGTTTTGTGTGTCTGTAACTAATTTCTTCGTTTCAACTTTTCTTGGTGTTTGTTGAATCAACAATGATTTGTCGAAGATTCTTGATTGCATTGATTTAGATTTAACAACTGTGACAACTGCATCTAAATCTTTCATTCGCATCATCTGTGTTGACATCAAACTGAAGATAACTACTAAATCTTCCATCTTGACATTTTGAATTGCTTCGTTAAGAGATTTGAAGCTTTCTCGTGTTGATTGTTGCAAAACAAGCATCTTATCTCTAGTATCATGAAGAGAACTATCATTTAACTTAGCGCTGCAAAGATTTTCTGCTTGGCCATTTGTTAATAATTGATCGATATTTGGAACTTTTTGTCGAATAACTTGCAAAACAGATCCCATTTCTAATGTTTGTTGGCAAGCATTTAGAAGTTGTTGGTGCTGTGCAAAGAAGTCATATGATTGATCATTCTTAACTTTAACTAGATGCAATTGTTCTGGTTTATCAGCTAAGTTGTCTGAAACATCGTTTTGGACTTTATCTAACAATGAAACTGTTGTGTTCTTCATGTTAGATAAATCATATTTAATTGCTGATTTCTTAGATGTTGCTAATGTTGCTGCCAATGAAGCCAAAACTTCTTGTTGTTGTTCAACATCTTCTGGATTCAACTGTGGAATTGCCATTGCAAACTGCTGTGGATGATTGACGTATTCAAGTTCTTGTGAAATCATTGGAATGTACATGTCAACTAATTCTTTGTTAACAGGTTTAGAAACATCAACTGCCTGCAATTTCTGTTGAAGATGAGGAACAACAGATGTATGGAATTGCTGGATTGTCATTAATGATTGAGCCAAGTTCAATCTCTGTAATGCATCCATAACAAATTCCTGAGATTTTGCAACAGTTTCTGTTTGAATCAATGTCATCATCTTCGCGTGATCCTCATTAGCTTTGAGTTTCTCTTGCAACAAATTATTCGTTGCCTTGAGAACACCAATAGGAGTTGTTTCGATATTTGGATCAGCGATGATATTATAAACATCATCGGAAGATAACAAATTAAGTGAAGAATCAATGATTCTCATTGTTGTTATCATATCATCAGGAGTTGAGTTAGTTAAAATAACATCTAATTGTTCAGGGGAATCAGCAACTTTAATTGTTTGTATCAATCTTTGTTGTACATCAACTAACTTTGTTGGTGGAATTGGTGCCTTAAGAAGTTGTATTCCTTCAGGAGATCTGACGTATTTAAGAAGTTCTGGTGTCTTTGCAATGATTTGTTGTTGCAAAGCTTGTAACGTTTCAACCAAATTGACGGTTGAGAAACCTCTTTGTACAGATCTATTGACATCTTCCACAGATTTAAGTTGAAGATCTGGTTTCTCATCATTCATTGCTACTGCTTCTAACAATTCAACCTTCTTCGATTGAACTAATTGAGCAGCTTCAGCAATGTTTGCATCAGTCTTCTTCAACTGGATGTTTTCTGTCATAAGTTTCAATGCATGTTGCTGTACAATGATGTCATCTGGAGTCAATCTTGAAATTGTTTTTCTGAGTTCTTCTTCGTTTGCAAATAACTGTGTTTGCTGCTGGATCGACATCATTGCATTTGTGATTGTGTCTTCACTGAGTTTGACGTCGATTGGTTTGGACAACATCTTCACGACATCAGGGAATTCGTTCAACTGCTTCTGTCTGATTCCTTCGAGTCTTTGTGCCATCATGAATTCGATGTTTGACTCAACTAACTTCGGTTGTTGTTGGATAGGAACAGACAAAGCAGAAACAGCTCCAACCTTAGATGTTTCTTGTACACTTTGTACAATTGTTGGAACTTGTGTTGATGTGATAGAAATGATTGGATTCAATGCAACAGAAATTGATGATTGGCTTTCGATATTAGATCTTGCAATTAACTCTGGAGTAGTAATATCTTTCTTGATTATTTCTGGTTTAGTCTTTTGCAATGTATCTAATTTCGTCTTGTATTGGTTCATCAACACTGCTGCTGTCTTTGCAACATTGAGACATGATGCATCAGCAATTGTTGCGAGATACAACTCAGGATTAATGAGTTTGACACTTGTTTCGTTCGCATCAACAATTGGAACAATATTTGTGATTTCCAATTTGAGTTGTGAAGAAATTGCAGCCAAATTCTTTGCAATTTCTTTGACTTTTTCGACATCATTTGATTCAACAGCTTGATCTAATAATTTCTGGTTTTGTACTGTTTGTTGAACCAATGGATCGATCTTTGCCATTTCAATACCAGCAGATTTAGCTCTGATTGCTGCAATCTGCAAATTCTGGGACATTGCGTAAACATCAGGAATGTTAATGTTAACATTATCTTCTGAAGAAGCGATGTTTTCAAGTTGAACAGCTGTTCCTCTGATGACATTTCGAAGTTCTTGTTTTCCTGTCAATGGAATTGGAGTCTTCCATGATGAAATCAATGGTTTCATCGGTGTCAATGCCTTTGTTGCAGCAGCAATCTCATCTTTGTATGCTGGAGGAATGTTTGTCAATGTTGGAACAACAGATTTATTGAATGCATCATAAAGATTTGATATTTGAACTAATTCGGAAGGACCTAATTCTATTGATCTGTTTGTATTCTTCAAGAGTGGGAATGTCTGTCTAACGAATTGTTTCATCGCAGGAGAAGCTGTTCCTGGGTTCTGAATGATTGTATTATCACAAGCAGTGACAATTTTATCCAATTGGCTCAAGAATATTTCGCCAAGACACATATCGAATTGATGTAATGTCTTGATTAAATTGTTGTTTGATTCAGACAATGTTTGTGAAATTGCTTTAACTGATTCATTGTCTTTGATTGAATCTAACAACAAAGAAATAGCTTGTGAAGCATCATTCAATGACTCTCTGTTAACTAAAGCTGCAGAGAATGATTTAGTTTCTGTTAACAATTTAGCATCAGATTCTTTGATGCTTGATTGAGCAATATGATCATAGTATTTAGCTTCTGCATTGAATTTCGTTGGATTAGAAACAATTTGATTATGTAATGCTTTGATGGAGTTCTGCAAATCAATTACTTGTTGAGCAGCATTTACTGCAGCAGCTGTTGCAATATCAGATAACATCTGATTACGTAATTCGTAATCTTTTTCGCAAACAGAAATTAATCTAACACAATCAATCAAACTCTTTGTGTTTCCTTGTTTGATTTGTGGTGTAATTGCCTGTAATGATTTAACAATGTGTACAGGCAATGAATCCTTATGATCATTGATAACATTTAAGTCTTCAATGATACTTTCTATTACATGTTGTGGAATTGATGTTTCATTCTCCATGATGACATTTGATGATTCTTGAACAGCTTGTTTAACATTGTCTTGTTTCATGACTGGATCTTTGATGATCAATTGTGCTGATTTAGGCTTACGAGTCTTTGGTAATGAAGTAAATACTTCTGATACTAAAGCAATGTTCTGTGCTGCTTCTTCAAGTTGATCGAAATTGGAATCATATAAAATTGGCAAAATTCCGCATGTTGCTGAATAAATTTCATCACAAACTAACTGTGCTTGTCTTGGTTTGAGTGTTGGTAGTTCTTTCATGATTGTTTGTGATTGAGCAATCAATGCTTCGAACTTTGACTTCAATGATGGATTATCTTTAACTTCAGCTAATTCTGATGTAGCAGCTAATGCAGCAACGAAGTTTTGTAACTGTGGTTGAGCATGTTGGATAAACTTAACAGATGTTGCCTTGTTCATGTGAGGAACAGTGATTAGCTTAGTGATAGAATTAGAGGAATCATTGAAGGATTTAAGGATGGAAGTGAATTGTGGTGATTCAATGATTGGTTCAATTAATTCTGCGTTGGAAATGATGCTTGGCATTTGTTCTTTGATCATGTTCAATCTTTGGTACAAAACCTTTTCATCTTGTGCATTTAATGCTTCTGTTTGAAGAGCTTTCAAGTTTTCGGACATTTGTTGAACAACAGCTTGAGCATTTGGAGATGCTGCGATTTGTGGAGATTGAGCAATTCTTTGGATTGTGTCGTTGATAATTTGTGCTTGTTTCTGGACAACGACAATTGTGTCTTCAATATCATCATCTTCTTTGATTTCTGGAGCTGGAGGAACTTTGATTTCGATCTTCTTCGCTGTTGGTAACTGTTTGATCATTGTTACAAAGACATTTGTCTTATCAACAACATCGCTGATAGAAGCAGTAATGTCTGTAATCAATTTCTCATCCAAATTCCTTCTGACGTTCATTGGAATCAAGTTAACTTTCTGTTGGAGTTGATTCAATGCTTCTTTATCTAATTTCGCTTGTTTAATATTATAATTTGGCGAATTGATATGAGCATTAACTCTTTCGATTGTTGCGTTAATAGAGTTACTCCAATCTGTGAATGTCTTCTGAACAATTTGGTTCTTTTGAGCTGTTTCTGAATTAGTAACTTCGTAAATCTTTTGGTTGAATGTTCCAAGAGTCTTAGAAACATCAACCAAAGAAGATTTGATCAATTCAGGAGTGACATTTGGTACAATTTCTTCCATCTTAGGTCTTTCTTGCTCTTGTGCAATTATAACAGGTTTAACTGTTTGCAACAATTGTATTCCATAAGGAATTAATTGATCAGCGTTTTCATTGCATGTATAAGTAGGAACTGTCATTGCAATTTGTTGGAATTTGTCTGCAAGTCTGGAGATCTGTATCGCGTACTCGAAAATGTCTTCTGTTGGATTCTCTCCCATTTCTTTCATTGAAACTAAAACACTTGACATGTATTCGTACAATCTGACAGCGTCTTTCCTCTTTTCATCATCTTCATCAACTTCAGGAAGACTGATGTAGAACTGTACAACTTGTGCTAAGTGTGTGACAGCATCAATGACTGATTGCATCTGTTCAACTGTTGGTTTTTCGATCTTTTGTGGTGGACCAGAAATCATTGACACTTTTTCATTTTGTTTGGAATTGTCACAAACTTTGACAACTTCTTCGAGCTTGGTTGAGATTTGTTCATTGATTGTTGGAATCTTGAAGTTCTGTGATACATCAGCAATACGCTTAGATAGATTAGATATTTCTGTCATTGACTCAATACCTTCTCTGACTAAATCTAATGCGTCTTTAATCAAATCATCGTTATAAGGATCTTCCAATAATTGGTTTCTTAATTCAACCATGTTCAAATAAGTTTGTTGTGCCTTTTCAATTGTCATCTTTGCACGTGTTGAAAGATCAATATCTGCTTTGATCTTTTCTTGGTCAGAACTCAAAACCAATTCATTAATAAGTTCTTGCAAAGATAACATCGCTTCCTGGAATTTAAGGAGATAAGGAATATTAGAAACATCTTCAGCAGGTTTCTCTTGAATTGCCTTATCAATGTTCATTGACAATCTCTCGATGATAACAGGAATTGCGACATTCTTGTTGATAGCGGAAAGATGCAACAATTCTTGGTTGAATTCAGGAAGTTTCGATTTGAGTTCAACGATGTTCTTTTGTGCATCAATAACAGCAATTCCGTTTGCAGCATTTGCTTCCAAAGCGGATTGTGCTTGTTGTATATCGTAATAAGAATCTTTGATATAATCGACCATGTTTCTGACTCTTTCTTGTTGATCTTGTGGCAAAGAAGCCATTGTTTCGGGTGTGATTAAGTTATCAACGTGGTTAACCATATATGTCAAATCATTGTTGATCTTTGAGACGGAAAGAGGAGTGATGTTTCTTGTGGAAATCACATCCATCTGATGTCTGATTTGCAAAATGATTTCGTAGAATTTCTGGTATAACATTGCAGCTGTTTGATCTGTTTGTGTCAATGGATGCAACAACATCAAAGCATCGAAAATATCACTATCAACTTTCTGTAATTCGAATTCTGCTTCGAATCTGAGTTGATCGTTCTTCGGAGAATTTGATAATTGTATCAAAAGATCTCTCAAATGATTAATTGATTGGATAGCGATGCTGCAAGTGGAAAGTGTATCAGGAGGAACTTGTTGCATCTGCTGTGGTTGAACTTCAACTTGGCAAATATCAATTGTGTTGTCCAATTCTTCATCATTGGCATTAACAATGATATATTTCGCGTTGTTTTGCTGCTGTGGAATCAACATTCTTGGATTTTCTGTCAATGAAGACATACGAGGAATTCCTTCACCAAATGAAACTGGATTTGATTCTGTTGGAGCAATTGGTGATGGTTCTTGTGTATTGGATGTTTTCTCAATGATAATTGACATTCTGTCTGTTGGAGTATTATTTGCAGAAAGTTTTTCAGCATTGGACAATCTCAATGAAGCATTTGATGATTTCTCAACAACAGAAGTGTTTTCAACATCTGCTTCAACTAAAACAATATCGCGTGCAGACATGTAGAGTTTCTTTAACTTCTTGAGACTCTTTTCTGTATTTGGTAACTCGATATTCTTTTCTTTAGCTTGTTTCACGATTTCTTCCAATCTAACAATGTAATTACCAACAGTTTTGATGTGTGGTTGAATGTGAGCATTAAATTGCGAAGAACTTTGTGCATCAGCAATAGAACCACTGAGAATTGTTAATGTTGATGATGTGTTCTGGATTTGTTGTACGAAACTAACAACATCAATTCCAGCTTGTTTGGCTGTAAACAACAATTCATTTGTGATTGATTCAGATACTTCGGAAATTCCAATTAAATCTTTAGCGAGAGGAGGAACATCAACTTTCTCGTTGTTGTAGTTATTCATTGCCATTTCATCTTGTATCTTTTCAATCAAAACAACCTTTGCATTGTTTGTTCTATCAATTGCAGGTTTGATGATAGAAATTGCTGATTGGATTTGAGATTTGATGTCTTCAGAAACAGCTTCGAATGATTGATTTGTTTGAACCAAGTTTTGTGTTGTTGTAACAATTGAATCAATGTGAGAGTAAATTTCACTGAATTGTTCTCTCAAATCTTCGTTTTCTGTTGATTCAACGAAATTAGAAACTTGATCATTGATCATTGCCAATTTCTGGAACAATTCTGTTGGATCTTGATGAACAATCGTTTCTTCAGGAACATCCAAATTGACTTGGATTTCATTCAGGATATTTGTAGCTCTTGAAATGTTCAAACCTTCTTCATTTGCACGCCACAACAAATTAGCTGGATGTTGTTCTTTTGGTTCGTTATCTTCTTGAACTTTGTTGTTTTCATCTTCTCTATCATCAATATCTGGAATTTCCAGTTTATTGTATTCGACTTCAACATCTTCAATTTTATCATCAACATCATCTATATTATAATCATCAAATGTAATCATTGGAGTATCGATGTTATAATCAATTGAAGTGATATTATCATCGAATGTATGAATGAAATTGAATTCAGTTTCGTCATCAGGATTATAATTGTCTTCTTCAACTGGAGGATTGTTTAGATCTGGTGGAGCTTGTGATGCTGATGAAGATCTTCTTCTGTTGTTGTTGACTTCCAATTGAATTTCAGCGTTGTTCATTGTCAATGAAACTCTCTGTCCATTGTTGATGAAAGCAGAGCCTTCAAGGATATTGGAAATGTTGGAGAACTCTTCCAACTGATAGAGGAAGATGATGTTACTTAAGAAGGTATTGATATCTTTGTAAGATCCTGTGAACAAGTGGAATTCTGATTGATTATTATTCGATTGATCCATGAATCTTATAATAATCTTTTCATTGGAACATTCATGATTAATGAGCCAGTTGTATGTTGTGTTGATTGCAATTGTTCCATCTTCTTCTGTTTGGATGAAAACTCTCCATGGATTGAGATACAAAATTGAGTCGATTTGAGCATAAATTGTGTTAATTGTAACCATGAAAACTTCATCATTGAATCCTTTGAGATCCATGACTGTTCCGATGTAATAGAACATGGCCAATTGTCTAGAAAGAATTGGAACGTATGGCAAGAACGAAATCAATTTCTTCTTTACACCTTCTGTAACATCGAAGTTTGCTGGGATAAAGATTGTCCAATCTTCTTTCTTGAATTGAGAAATCATCATTGGAACATCTTCTGGCTTCTCAGCTGTTGCGTAAAGAGAAAGAATCAGCAATTGTGTAAGGATATCATCAGAAACCATTACCATCTTCTTAGTGACAAGATATTTGCAGTCTTTGTAGACAGCAAACAAAATATCCGGCTGAGAAAGCATTTCCAATGAGAACAAGAAGAATCTTCTGCGAACTAACAAAGGAGTAGTTAAATTCGCTTGCATTGCCAATGGCTTTTGGATATCAAGAGCTCTTGTTGATCCATCATCTTGTGTAACAAAGATTGTGTGGCCAATCCATGTTCCGTAGCCCAATTGCTTGCAAACATCTGGTAAAATGTCGTACAATGGAGAATAGACATTGAACACGTAATCAATGACATTTCCAGAAATATTCATGAATTGTGCGTAGCAATCGACTTCGAGAATAATGAGGCCATCGCCATCCTGGCAATCAACAGACATCAAGTTCTCTGATCTCTTAAGCTGTGTGTACTCGTTGTTCTTATAATGGATAAGAGCGTACTTTTCTGGTTCATATGGTAAAACCAAAAAGTGACAAAGTAACATGACAATTTTTTCGAATTCGAGAGTTCTTGGGATGAGGAATTCAGGAGGATCTGGAATGAACATTTTCTTGGAGACAAAGACAGCGACTAAGCCGTTCTTGTTGTCGATGATTTCCTGTAATTCAGGAGATACCTTCTGGATTTCTTCTCTTCTTTGCAAATATGGATACAAAATCATCTTGAATGATCTCAAGATTACGAACATTTCTTTAACATGTCTTGCGGAAATAGTAAATGTTCTGATTCTCGAGTTGACCATTGAAACTCTCAAGATGACGTGATCGATCATGATGTTGAAATCACAGATGTAATTGTAAGTAATTTTCTCATTCAAATCGATTGGCTTCTCTTGGCCATCATCAACAATGTTGACTCTTCCATAGATGTGAACACCCAATGGACCAATGGATACGCGAGCCTTCTGAGGAACTTGGATCTGCATGTCATCACACAATTTAACCTTGAAAATTGTGCATCCGAAATGCAATGATTGTTTTGCAATTCCAATGTACTTTTGCATAGCGATATCCTTATGGATGACTTTGCCATTACGAATTGTATCAGTGATGTACTTCTCGTGGATCTGTTCAGCAGATGTCTTCCTTGGATATAAGTCAAGAGTGTTAGGAATCTTGATCTTTGCAGGATCGTTTTCTTTGTTCTTTGCGTAGATTGAGTAAATTGCGAGTTCTGTTGCTTTGCTATCAGCCAAAGCAGGAACTCCATCCATGATGTCGTCGTAAACATCTGGATACAAACATCTACAGATGTATGGGAAGTATCTGTCTTGGTGTGTGAAAGCAAGGAATCTTCTGATGAACAAGAACTCGAATTTGCCTGAATACTGCTCTGGAATTGAGTAGTACAAATCAAGAGGAACTGGACTGTGACCTGGACTTTCGTAAAATAATGTGAAACCTGTTGGATATTCGATGTTGAAGCATTCACCAATCAAAGGAGCCAACATATGTATTGGCTGTGTGATGTTGACAACAAGTTCGATCTCCATGTCTTTGTATTTGACAATAATCTTGACATTTGTCGAGAAGATCGTGATGTACATGTTGTCGCATGGGAAGTGATGACCTAAAATATCATCAGGTCTTATCCATCTGTACTCATCTTTGGCAAGTCTGAGTAATGGAGTGTATTCTCTTCTTGGATCGAGATGTAAAGCTCTGACAGCTCTTGCTCTGACATCAGATCCTTTATATCTCATGTCGTAAGCGATGTTTAACTCGCGTTTGGAATCATCCCATCTCTTTGTGATCAAAACAACTCTATCGATTGAAGTGTTTACATCTTCCTTCTTCGGATTGAAACCTTCTCTCCTCAAATCGAGGAATAAGTTGTAGAGTTGAGTAACTATTGTAATGAAAGAGCTGGCAAGTTCTGGTTTGTCGAGAACACAAAGGATAGAAACTGAATTTTCTGCATCATCTGTTGAAAACTTAACAGATAATTCATTTGCAACGCATTCTGTGCGAATGAAATGTCTGTATTCGCAGAGTTGAAGAACCTTTTGCAAATCTTGTCTGACAATTCTAACTGATTGTGCATTGCAAACAAGAATTGCAGGAATGTCTGCTCTCGTGTCCTTCTTGAATTTCATGTAGATGACATCGAAATCGATTGCACCAAATGTTGGTAACATTCTTGCCAAAGCGATGTATTTGAGTTTGGCATCTGTGTGGGATTTGCATGGTTTATGTTTGATCATGTCGATGATTTCCTTTCTGGCTTCCTTTTGGATTGGAAATCCATATGGTAACAAACTCTTGAAATTCTCTGGAAGGGAGTGTTCTGTGACTTTTTCTCTTGTTTCGGCATTCAAAGCGTAAACCAACAATTCGTAAGCGACATCTTTTCTCATATCGACTTTTCCACTGAGAATCAAGAGCTTTGTATCCCAATACAATGTCGAGAGAGCTGATTTGGACTGGAACTCAGCTTTGTTGATGACAAAGTAGTATCTTTGGAAGTACAAAACAGAATAATCCCTTGTTTGTTCTGGAATTGACTTCTGTGTGTCCAAAGGAATCAATTCATTGCCTTCTTTGTAAAAGAATGTGTATCCTTGTGGATATTCAACATCGAGTAAAAGACCGACCTTTGGAATCAAATCGCAAACTAATGTTTCGATCTGAATTGTCATTGTTCCTTCCGTTTCTCTTGGCGAAATGAATTTGATCTTCGCGAAAGCAGGATGGAAGTAAACAATGGAATCACGGTATGGCTGTGCTTCTTTCAACTTCATTCCTGGTTTGAGCCAATGGATAACTCCTTTGAAGACTTGGATCATTGTTGCGTATTGGACTTTCGGATCATGTGGTAAAAGATCCAATAATTGTCTGGCCAATTCTTCTTGAGTTATATCCAAATCGAACCAAATTGCTTGTTTGAGGATGTTGTCGGATAACAAACCATATCTGAGATCAACCATTGGGCCGTGGACAACTCCATTTTCATCTTTCCAGCCTCCTGAGCATCTCAAAATGATCTCTTCTCTCTTTTGTTTCTCGCGTTCTCTGTTCAACAACATGACTTGTCTCATCAATCTCAAGTTGTAAGAAATGACAACATCGATGTCGAACGCGAAATCTGATGAGATATTTACGTAGATCATCTTTCCTGTCTTAGGAGGATGTTGGTACTTGAGAATGTAGTTGTTTCCAAGCATGATAAACTGCTTGAGAGAATGATAAGTGATTTTCTCAATAACAACTTTTCCTTTCTTATCCAAGACACTTAAACCTAAAGGAGTAATGACGAATGATCCATCTTTGATGGTATGTGGAGGTTCTGCATCATCTCTGTAGAGATAGAAAGGATATTCTTCTGCACCGAATCCATCGATTTTTCTGACAATACCGATGTATTTTCTTGCAGCAGACATTTGTGTCATATCTTGTGATTCCTGTATCATCTTATCGAACTTCCTCTGAAGAGATGAGCTGACAGAAACTGTTGGAGGAACCAATTGCTTCAAATCTTGCTTATCTTTCTTGATATTCTTTACACCAAGTGCGTATAAAGAATACAAAGCAAGTTTAAGAGCTGTTTCTGAATCAACTTTGATCTTGTTTTCGATAAGATAGTTCCTGCAATCGTGCAATGTCTGAATAGCACTGGACAATGCTTGAAGAACTTCTTTCGAAAGGATGTAGAATCTTCTCTTCAAGAATAATTTCTTGAAATAAGAAACTTGTTCAGGAATTGTTTTACGAGAATCCAATGGATGCAATTGTCCATCAATGCCATGATACCACAATGTGTATCCGAGCATTGCTTGTTGATGCTTCTCCTTGAAAAGCAATGGAACAATATCGCTGATTGGCATTGTGATCGTTGTTTCCATTTTGATGGAAGTATTATCTGGAAATATGTACTTGATGTTGTATTTCGGTTCGAGAAGGTAGAGTGTCATACCATTCTGTAGGCAAAGAGATTGTATGACATCTGTGTCCTTCATGAAGCAGAACAAATCGTCCATTAAATGTATCATGAGAACTCTATCGTCTTTGTGAGGGATGCTGAGATAGTATTCTGCAGCGCGTCTGAGGATAGAACCAGTGAACTTCTTATCGTACTCGAATTCCTTCATTGCGTCTTTGTCGATCGTATTTGAAGTGAAAAGACTGATTCTGGACTTCTTGTTGATGAGCTTTCTGAAATCTCCGGTGTTCGAATATCTCTTTGAACGGTCTTGGAGAATCATGTTTGTGATTTCTCGATATCTTGATATCGATTTCGCCATAGATTCGACTTTCGGACCAGAAAAAACGTATTGTACGAAGACATCTCGTTTCGGAGAGAAGGTTATGATCATGTCTTGGGCGCATTGAACTTGGACGATTTCGGTGAAAGAGATTTTTTCTTCGAGATTTCCGTTAAGACCATCATGAATAACAAGTCTGTATGGAGAAATGTAAACAACGGCCGGGTCAAGACAAAATTCTTGTTTCTGATATTGAGCTGTGACTTTGCATTCGTATTTTCTTTCTGCAAAGCCAACGAGTTTGCGGCATAACTTGATAAACTTCCTGTAAGCATTGAATTTGTTGACAGTTCCGTTTTGTTCGAAGAATTGTTGGACGACAGGTCCTCTTCCTTGACCTTTACCTTTCTTAGCGAGGTATCCAGGCATCCATGGCGATATATCGTCTGGAATATGCTTGGGATCAAATTTCGGATCTGCATTCATTCGTAATGCGGTGTACTTCAAGAGATTTTCCTTAGAAAACTCAATCTCTGAGAAGTTTGAACACTCAACAGCATCTTTGTATGCGATTTCTGCTGTTACAAAAGTTTCGAGATCTTCCATCGTGAAAAGGAAATACTGTCGAGCAAAGAAGACCTCGTTAATGGAACGAGTCTGTTCAGGTATTGATTTATCAATGGACAAATAAATGGCTCTTTTGCCGACGACAGTGCATAATGTGTAACAACGGAAAGATCCGATCTTGAAAAAGTTAGCGATATCTTCAACCAAATCGCAGACTTTCTTGGAAATATCGAGAGTAAGCTTTTGGGATTTGAAATGCTTCGAATGGACTAAAATTGGTTTTAAGAGTTTGATAATGTAAACGTGATAGTTAGGGCCTGGTGATACATCTTCAAGGAATTTCTCTGGTTCAACCCACTTCGCATCTGTTCCATCTGGTAATGAAATAAAAATTCCGTATTTGTCGTCTTGATACTTGCCAAGAGCTGCTAAAGCTGCAGTTAGCATCTCATCGTGAGACATGTTGAGTCTGTAAACCTTTTGAATGCTTTCTTTATTAAACATGAAATGTGTTTCCATTGTAATTGATTCGGATTCTCCGGCATTACTGTTATCAGTCATGGCGCCAAATCCCATCATTGTCTGAAATTCTGAAATCTGATCGTTGATGTTAATATCTAGTTCCACACCAACTTGTTGAGCAGAAGAAGAATCGTCTGTTGATTGGAACTGGCTTGGATCGTATTCTCCTGTTTCGTAAAAGTCGGAAATGTTGAATTTTGCGTACATTCCTGTTGTGTATTGACTTTCATCACTTTCTTGTTGGGCATAACCGTATGTTGATTGGTATGATGACTGAAAGCCATTTACACTGTTGAAAAATGCACTATTAAAGTTATTAGTATAATATTGATTATAGTTATTGTTATTATCATTAGTGTAGTAAGATGCATAGTTAAAAGTATCTTCTGCATTATTCATCTGCTGGTTTTGATCAGGAACATTATTATATTGACCTTCGGCAGAAACATATGTACTGCTTTGAATTCCCATCTGCATTGGTTGAGACTGATTGTTATTTAGATTTTGAGAAGGAATTAAGGCCATGATAAATCCATCTTGGATTCCTTGCTGTCGAAGGGACTGATCTGGCTCAACCCATTGAGAAGATCCATCTGGTCTTTGGAAGAATGCATCATATTCTAAATTTATGTTAAGATTAAGATATTGTTTGGCAAAATCTATTGCAAGCTTGCCTGATTGATCTAAATAGTACTGAAATGGAGAGAATTCTGGATGATTAGTTGGCTCTACTGTATATAAAGCAACAACTGAATCCATTTATTCTCTGATTTCGAATATTTGAACTGAAAAAAAAATCAATTATCAAATATCAATCATGAATTTGAGGATTAATTATATTCTGATACAAATTGAACGAATTTGTCTTATATAACTCTTTAAAGAAATGAAATTATTTGAATTCATGCTAAAAAATTGAGATTTTGTTCATGTCTGGAGGCTGCAACGCGCCATAATGGCTAGCACTTCCGCGGAGGCCCGATTTTTTTACAGGATTATTTTTTTCCCCAGAACCTTTCCCAGATTTTGTGTTTATCAACCAGAAATGGTCACCACAAATTGAGAAAAGAATTATTGTATTGTTATGAGTTGGTATTTAAGAGTCAGAATAACTTACAAAAGTTATTTTGAATGATTATATTATTATTAAATTTCGCACTTTATTTTGAATGAATATATGAATATGAATGAATAAACATTCGAAATTGAAATCAAAATTCCTATGCTAATTAACTGAGCTTCACAAAAAAACGACTCGTTTTAAATGTGTAATTCTATAATTATCACTTTATTTGTTATCTACTTATAATACAAGAGAGAAACCTTTGGAAATAATCCAGAAAATTGCATTTCACTCAGATTGAAATGAGAACCAAATTTTTGTAAGACCGTCAATTCCAATCATGAACAACAAAATTAACAAAAATTATTTCAGCACACAAATTTTTCAAAAGATTGAATGAAAACAGAGGAATGGAAGGATGCATCTATTTTTTCCAATAAATTCAATCAGTTATCACAATTTTTGAATCAATATCGTCCTGAATAGATGTTTCTCTTTATTCTATTTGAATCACTCCCCAGCATTTATGAAATACCAGGCTGTGATTCTAGTAATACATATGCAATTACGCCAGGAGATCTATTAACAAAAACAGTTTCTAAGGATTCTCCAATATGTTTTTCAGGATCAGCGTTAATAAAGTCTGATAAACCTTTTCTAGTTACATATAGAATTTTCGTAGAACGCAATTCTAAATTCCTTCTAGCAACTAATGGTACTGGAACACATTTATATTTGTTGACAAATTTAGAGCCAGAAGAGGAATTAACTCTTGATTCATGCACAGAAATAATAAGCTTCGATGGAAAACCATTTATTAACAATATAGAATTAGGTATGAAACAATATAAATGTTTGCAAGGAAGTTATGCTTTTGCTTCGAAATTTTCTTTTAAATTGACAGCATTTAATAGTGTAACAAACACCAAAATAGGCGTTTATACGAAACCATTTAGTGTTAATGGACCACAATATAAAAGTATTATTCAATGCATTGCACCATTGGCAACATGTGATGTTCAAGCTGTTCCAATCGGAGATGCCGAGAAAAGTGATACTTCTACTACTTATTCGATTTTCACAACAAAGAATTCTTTTGTTTTTAATCAAAACGTCACTGATAAAAATGACAAATAGGTTTCTTTTGTTTTGACTTCAATTAGTTCTACACCCCAACGAATGAAAGTAAAATCATCGAGTGAAATGAAATTTTCACTTGCAAATGAAACAAATCAAACTGATTCAGGAATGATTGAAGGACAAATCGTTATGGGTTCTCCTCTTTTTGAAGAAGGTAAAAATTATGATGAAACAAAATTTGATATATCAATATTATCACTATCAAATACTGATACTGACACATCATTATTTAATGATGATATTATTTACGAAATCCCAGCTGATGTCAAAACTGAAAAAGAAGTATATAATTATTCCGCATCAAGTGATGTAAGTGTTGTCAGGGATAATAACTATGAAGAGTATGAAGAAGAAGAAAAAGAAGAAGAAACAACGGAAGATGGAGGTAGTGGTAGTGACAGTCCATTTGCTAGCATGTTTGAAAATCCTACCATGATGGTGGGGGCTTTAGTTATAATTGGTGCAGCTGTTGTAGTTTATTTTTCGTCATGTATGTGTGGAATCGTATGGTGCTGTCTCAAAAGCAAGAAGAAATCACAAGATGCAGAGCAAAATGAGGAAATGCTTGCTCAAGAGGAAGAAGTTGCCTAAATCAAATGTATCCTGAAAAGGAATTATTTTGTAAAATAATAAACATATTTCATAATATATTTATTAATAATGAGAAGCTTATAACAAAAACCTCAATTTTTAAATATTTATATCATTGTAATGTAGATATAAATTCAAAACACACATGACTCTCTGCGACATGCACAATGAGCTATTGTACCGGGAAATTAAGAAATAACATTTGACAATAATTTCCAAATTTCGAAATTTTATTCATACATGATTAATATGCGAACCAGGATGTATTTTTAAATGTTTGAACTACGAATGAAAATTCAAGAAATCTGAATATGAACTTGTTCACATTAGTAATGATCAAACAAAAAGCTTATGTATTAATATTTAAAATTTAAGGATTATAATTATCAAATCTCAAAAAATTATGTTCAATTTACAAATTTCTGTGTGCATTTGGATTTTCCAGGCATATGTATAGCATAATGTTGACCCACATCCTTTAACGCTTGAATTCCATTCAAAGACAAAATTGTCTTGATGTTGTACAATTTTGAAAAGAGAAAATTTTTGACTGGGAAGGAAAATTTTTCATCTCATTTTTTCTTATACATATGAATTTCGCAGACTGTTTTATCGAATCAATAGAAAAACAGACACCATCAAGCGAATCTCTTGAGTTTCTTGCAAAATTTATGGAAGAGAATCCAATGGAATACCTAACAAACCTTTTTTCATTAATTAACTCAGAAGAAACAAGCGACAAAATCAAAATTAGCGCAATCAAATCAATAGCTGTGCCAATTAAATCGTTTCGTCGTGAACCTATTAGAGATTCACCAGAATTTGATAATTTAATTGATCAAATCTACACTACACTTGAACCATTCTTACAAAGAAATGACAATATTGGCAAAACATGTCGTGAATCTCTTATTGCATGCTTCAAAGCTGCTTATAACCTGAAATTAGAGTCATTTCTTGGAAAAATTTTTCAAACATTCAACGAAAACACCGATTTACCTATCATGTTAAGTATCATATTGGATATTATAAAGAACACCTACTCAGTATTACCAGATTCATCAATAGAATTCTTTTATAATATACTTCAAAAACATAATGATGAAAATATCATAAAAATTTGCCTTGAAATACTTTGTCATACTGAATATAAGTTTAATTCAGTAAACAATGAAAATGATTCTTTATTAATTGAAATTATTAGAAATTTCGTCAAGACCAATCCTAAAGAAATTAGTTTAATTATCAATAAATTTGGGAAGAGAACACTTTCTGAAGCAATTCCAGATATTTTCCAATTAGTTTCAGAATTATTTTTTGAAGATAAATTTTATTTGCCATATATCAGAGTTATGATGAATTTTAAGGAAGAATTATACACTCAGCTTGACATTGAAGAGATTTACAGAAGAATACTTCCAACTTTACTTGAAGAATATGACTTTGATGGTTTTACCCATCCAGTAATGATCAATCATGATTATTTTTTCAAAATCAACAATAAATTTTTTTATTCCTTTCACATATGGAGGATTTGAAATTTTATCGGAATAGAAAATACCGATGGAATCATGATTTAAGGTTTGATGATCCAAAGATTGCGAGCAAAAAGTAATTAATCATGGCAGCTGTTGCAATCGTTGAAGCAATTAATTCTGATACTTTAGAAGGATTCATTTGTGGTGGAAATGCATAATATTTCTTTACTTCGTATGGATGCTGCATTAATGAACAGTATTATTCCATTTGAATCTATTCTTGAAAAGATTCCTTTTGGTCGCGAAATCAAATTAGATGAAATCTTAATTGAAATTCAAAGTATTTGCATTGGAAAAAGTCTTTGTGAACCAACAGAAGAAATCATTAATAATTATTTCGAAATGTTCACATCAGAAAATGAAGACTATCGTGGCATCGCCGCAGAAGCAATTTCTAACATTTGCAGCATGAAAAATGAAAATGTTCTTAATATTGCTTGGGAATTTTTCACTAATCTGTTGGGAAACAACGAAAACACTACCGAATTCAATTTCAATACTTGATGTTATGAAATCTGTTTCAGCTTATCTTCCGCAATCTTTTTGTTTGTCTATCTCAGGAGATATCATTTCATTTGCAGAAACAATTATTTCAAGTAATGAAAATGGAATTTATATCAGCAAGTTCTTGGAATCATTGGAAATATTACGAAAATTATTGGAAAGGAATCGATTGAATTTGCACAAAAATCCATTGACTTTGCAAACAATCTTCTTGAAGATTATGAAGATGATTGCATGTTCATTTTCAGCACAGTTATTGAAGTCTTTGGACAAGAATGTGGTGACATAATCGAAAGATGTTTTCCATTCATCAAATCAAAACTTGAAGATATTGATAATGTTGCAAGAGATTCAGTTGTTGTTAAACTCACATTAAATATTGTTGAATCAATTGATGATGAAGAACTTTTGTTTGATATTGCTCAGTTTATTGTAGAAATTTTAACTGGTTTAAGAGGAGAACTTGCTATAATGATACCAATAGAACTTAGTTCAGTAATTTTAGAATTATTCAAGAAGATTCCACAAAGATTTTCTGAATTAATTCCTAAATTCAATCTTCCATATTTCGATCATGTAGATAGTAATTTGGTGACAATATTTTATTACACACTCGAATATTGCAAGTATAATAAGAAGGAAATTTACCAACTACAATTTTCTGCAATGAATGTATTTCAATGTGAAAGTATTTCATCAGAAGAAAAGAATAACGTATTAAATACTCTACTTGAATTTGTAGAACAATCAAATTTGGAAGTGAAACCATCTTTGTGTAAAAACGACTATGACTATTTAATAAAGCATTTTCCAAATGATGCAGAACGTGTGAAGAACTGCTTTGATGCATCAGTCAGAACGCACGCATTTCACATGGTTGCTATCCGTCATTAATAAAATTATATTATTCTATATCTATCATTGTTTATTGAAATGTATATTTTATTATGTATTTAAACATTTTTTAATAAAATTGTAACATATTCAGAAATACTGGTGTCTTTTCCATTTAAAAAAATATCAGTGACCAAGCCTGATGACATATGCAAATTTATCAAAGGGATTAAATATTTATTATTAGACAAAATATGGTCGTGTTCGAAATTAAGCTAATACATTAGTAAAATTCTTAAAACAACAATGAATAATCGTTTTCAAATCCCAAAAAAATCTTAAAATCTTAAAATTTTTAGGAACAGTTTATTTTTGTTCAATTTTCCATTGTAAAATTGAAAAATTCGGATTTTTTTTTCAGAAGCATATACAATCAAAATAATCAGTATTATACTACTATCTTTACTTCACAATTCGAACGGTAATTGCTTGAAATTGTTTTTTAAAGTATGAATATGATCAAATAATACAAACATAATTTTACCATAACAAATTATAAGTATAATTTCATGGATCATGCCTAAGGAACAAAGATCTTTGAAGACCTTCTTTTTCGATCAGCATCAGATTGAAGACTTTGTTCCTCATATGGGGTACAATACATTGATATCTACCTCAGATGAGGAACAAAGTCTTTAATCGGCTGCTGATTGTCATCCACGTACAAATAGGCAAATTTTGCATAATTATACTTATACTTGAACTTATTCTTTAATATCTTGCTTGCATTTCTAGTAATGCTATATATTTCACAGATACATATATATTTTCATGCTTTGTACATCCTTAGAAACTACGCTTTTTATCGAATTCTTCACAATTTGACTTTAAAAATTTCAGTTTAAAAACATAATACCATAGTCACAACCTACCCCACATCAAATTTTCACGTATTGCCATCCCCATTTGAAATGCTTACATTTTACCGATTCTTGGGATAAAATTTTTTCAGTGGAAAATTTTGCATACGGTATTCGAAATGTTCCGATTGCATTTACACATAATTTTTTCTAATTTTCAGTAATGAGATCGGGTCAAAATTTGAATTTTCACCTAATCAAGTTAAAAAAATTTGGAAAAAAATGGTAATTTCGGATAACAAAATTTGACATTCACTCGGAAATTTATGAGCTCATTTTTTTAAATATATGAATTTCGCCAACTGCTTTATCGAATCAATAGAAAAACAGACACCATCAAGCGAATCCCTTGAGTTTCTTGCAAGATTTATGGAAGAGAATCCAATGGAATACCTAACAAACCTTTTTTCATTAATTAACTCAGAAGAAACAAGTGACAAAATCAAAATTAACGCAATCAAATCAATAACTGTGCCAGTTGGGTTATTTAAACGTGGATCTGTCAGAGATTCACCAGAATTTGATAATTTAATTGATCAAATCTACACTACACTTGAACCATTCTTACAAAGAAATGACAATATTGGCAAAACATGTCGTGAATCTCTTATTGCATGCTTCAAAGCTGCTTATAACCTGAAATTAGAGTCATTTCTTGGAAAAATTTTTCAAACATTCAACGAAAACACCGATTTACCTATCATGTTAAGTATCATATTGGATATTATAAAGAACACCTACTCAGTATTACCAGATTCATCAATAGAATTCTTTTATAATATACTTCAAAAACATAATGATGAAAATATCATAAAAATTTGCCTTGAAATACTTTGTCATACTGAATATAAGTTTAATTCAGTAAACAATGAAAATGATTCTTTATTAATTGAAATTATTAGAAATTTCGTCAAGACCAATCCTAAAGAAATTAGTTTAATTATCAATAAATTTGGGAAGAGAACACTTTCTGAAGCAATTCCAGATATTTTCCAATTAGTTTCAGAATTATTTTTTGAAGATAAATTTTATTTGCCATATATCAGAGTTATGATGAATTTTAAGGAAGAATTATACACTCAGCTTGACATTGAAGAGATTTACAGAAGAATACTTCCAACTTTACTTGAAGAATATGACTTTGATGGTTTTACCCATCCAGTAATGATCAATCATGATTATTTTTTCAAAATCAACAATAAATTTTTTTATCCTTTCACATATGGAGGATTTGAAATTTTATCTGGAATAGAAAATACCGATGGAATCATGATTTTCAAGGTTGATGATCCAAAGATTGCTGAAGGCAAAAAGATAATGTTTAATCATGCAGCTGTTGCAATCGTTGAAGCAATTAATTCTGATACTTTAGAAGGATTCATTTGTGGTGGAAATGCATATATTTCTTTACTTCGTATGGATGCTGCATTAATGAACAGTATTATTCCATTTGAATCTATTCTTGAAAAGATTCCTTTTGGTCGCGAAATCAAATTAGATGAAATCTTAATTGAAATTCAAAGTATTTGCATTGGAAAAAGTCTTTGTGAACCAACAGAAGAAATCATTAATAATTATTTCGAAATGTTCACATCAGAAAATGAAGACTATCGTGGCATCGCCGCAGAAGCAATTTCTAACATTTGCAGCATGAAAAATGAAAATGTTCTTAATATTGCTTGGGAATTTTTCACTAATCTGTTGGGAAACAACGAAAACACTACCGAATTCAACATTTCAATACTTGATGTTATGAAATCTGTTTCAGCTTATCTTCCGCAATCTTTTTGTTTGTCTATCTCAGGAGATATCATTTCATTTGCAGAAACAATTATTTCAAGTAATGAAAATGGAATTTATATCAGCAAAGTTCTTGGAATCATTGGAAATATTACGAAAATTATTGGAAAGGAATCGATTGAATTTGCACAAAAATCCATTGACTTTGCAAACAATCTTCTTGAAGATTATGAAGATGATTGCATGTTCATTTTCAGCACAGTTATTGAAGTCTTTGGACAAGAATGTGGTGACATAATCGAAAGATGTTTTCCATTCATCAAATCAAAACTTGAAGATATTGATAATGTTGCAAGAGATTCAGTTGTTGTTAAACTCACATTAAATATTGTTGAATCAATTGATGATGAAGAACTTTTGTTTGATATTGCTCAGTTTATTGTAGAAATTTTAACTGGTTTAAGAGGAGAACTTGCTATAATGATACCAATAGAACTTAGTTCAGTAATTTTAGAATTATTCAAGAAGATTCCACAAAGATTTTCTGAATTAATTCCTAAATTCAATCTTCCATATTTCGATCATGTAGATAGTAATTTGGTGACAATATTTTATTACACACTCGAATATTGCAAGTATAATAAGAAGGAAATTTACCAACTAACAACTTCTGTAATGTTTGTACTTATTTCAGAACGTATTTCGTCAGAAGAAAAGAAGAACGTATTAAATACTCTACTTGAATTTGTTGAACAATCAAATTTGGAAGTAAAACCGTCTATGCACCAATACGATTATGAATATTTATTAGAGCATTTTCCAAATGATGTAGAACGTGTGAAGAACTGCTTTGATATAGAAGACAGAATGCAACCATTATAATATTCTGTGCCTAACTTTTTTAATAAAATTGGCTAACATAGTTAGAAAGATTTTTTTTCATTTAAAAATCAATATTTCAAAGTCAAGACAGCCTGATAAAATATTCACATATGTATCAAAGAGATAAAATATTAATTATTAGACAAAATATGGTCGTGTTTGAAATTAAGCTAATATATTAGTAGAATTCGTGAAACAACAATGAATCATAGTTTTTATAAAATGATAATTGTAACATCAAATAAAAAAACTCGGATCAAAATCAAAATAGTCATAAAACTATAATTCTCTATTATACGACTATCTTTGCTTCGAAATTCGAACAGTATTTGAATCAATTTTAAATAATTGCATGAAATTGTTTTTTAAAGAATGAATATATTTATATACAAACATAATTTTATTAAAACAAACTATAAGTATAATTTCATGGGTCACGCAATTCTAAGATATGATTAACATCAGATGGAATTAAAATCACATCAGTAGGTCGAATCAGAATGAATGTTCGATCAACTTTATCGAATTCAAAACCAATAATTGGTAATTTGCTTTCGTATATCAAAGCAGGTTCTTTCTGACAATCCAATTCTACAATATACAAAGACCAGTAGTCAGTGATAACAAAGATTGTGTCGATTCCAATGATTTCTAGAGAAATCCAGAATTTGATGTTGAATGGAATGTTTATTGATCTCCTGAAGAATCCATTCACAGAGAAGACATCAATCTTGTAGTTATCATAAGCAACAACATCTCCTATCGATGGCATGCATAAAACCTTTTGGTAACAACATTTTTCGTTCTTATATTTGTTGATAAATAATCCATCAGAAACGTTGTAAAACAAAATTTCACCATTTTCTAAACAAAAAACTAACAAATCAAAAAGAGAACTACTTGATAAAGAAATCAAGCCGGAATAACAATAAAACGTATTCTTCTGCTGTTCACCATCATAAACAATGATCTTGTTATCTGATGTATATTCAACGTAATATCCATCATTGAAAATTTTCAAAATTCGTGATGGCAAATTTTCTGTTTTTGATGGCGACAAGTTTGTATCATTAAGGAATGTTTTCGTCTGTGATTCTTGGTTAATTATGATAAACGTGTTCTCATACTTCGTAATCAATGAATTGTCAGGGATTTCAAGATTTTCCACTTCGGAAAACTGAATTTTTGATTTGTCATCGAGTTCAGAATACAAAATTTTCTTTCTTTCAATAATAAGCAAGAAAATTTTTGAAAATGGATTGTAATAAATCCTGTTTGATTTCTTTCTGAAAGAGATCTTTTTCTCTGTCATTATTTTTGGTGTTTGGTCAGGAGTTTTGACTCTTATTTGTCGATTTAATGAGTTTTCTATCCATTCGACAACTTTATAAACAGTATCAGCACTTTCTAGCTGATTTAACAAATGATGGCTTACTTCTGAAGGGAAGTTCTCATCAATTGATTCTGGACAACAGAATATTTCTTGGCAGGAAACACCATAATTATCAAATCCTTGGAATTTCTTTGTTTCTTTCTGATTTTGTTCTTCAATAATAAACTCTTTTTGTGATTCTTCTTTTTCTAAAAGATTTATCTCTGAATTTATTGGTTTGATGACGAATTGTGGAATTGAGTCATCTTCAATAGAAATTCTTAATCTTGATTCTTCTTCTTCATGTAAATTTCCATCTAAATTAGCATCTGTTTTCTCTGCAAGTTCTTCAACAACTTCTTCATTGATTTGTTCATTTTCTCTTTCTTCATTTGAATTCACATCTTTTGTTTCTTTTTCTTCAGAATAAACTAAATTATTATTTTCTCTTTCCTCAGTTGAAATTAAATCATTTGTAGATTTTTCTTCTAATGGAATGAATTCATTTGTTTCTTTTTCTTCAGATGAAATCACTTCTTTTATTTCTTCTACTTCAGAAGTAGCCAATTCATTCTTTTCTTTCTCTTCAGATGGAATTTCATTTGCTTGTTTTTCTTCTTCAGATGAAACTAATTCGTTATTATCATTAGATGAAATTACTTCTTTTTCTTCGGAAGAAACAAATTCATTCTTATCAGATGTAACTAAGCTGTTGTTTTCTTTTTCTTCTTCATTTGAAATTGATTTGTTTTCAGAAGATGAAACAATGAGATTTTCTTCTTTTATTTGAGTTTCATCTGTTTGTAAATAGTTATTTATAACAGATAGAACAGTTTCATCTTTGATTGTGTCTTTGTAAATAGACAAAGGAAATTGTGGATAGTTCTTGAAAGAAGCGAAAGTTTTTCCACAAATAAATTGGTAAAAAGTAAGGAAAGAAAGATTTGACTTCAAGTTTGCTCCAAATTCATCTGTTACTTGTTTTCCTATGTTGTGAATAAAGAAAGGTAATTTAGAAACCATCTGATCATAGACATCTTCCTGATCAAAAACAGCCAAATACATCTTTCCATTTTTCATGATAAAGCTCAATCCACTTCTTCCTGAATAAAAACAATGTCTTATCAAATCAAAACTAAGAGTTTTCTTGAATTTCTGGTTCTCGAAAATGAATTCATTCTCGAAAACTAAACTATCGCATTCAATACAAATGTCACCTTCTTTGTAAAGTTTACATTTCAATTGAATTATGGCGGTTTTTGTAGATCTCACAATTGGTTTCAATTTTTTATATTTTTTGAATCTTTTCATTTTGTTTGCGATGAAAGTCTCCGAGATCCAGTTCTTTAGAACGAAGTTAGGTTTCACGAGATCATATTGGTGGTTAATGAAATTGATTCTTTTATAAAACTTGAGTGATTTTTCGTCTTTCATCTTCAAAAGTTGGTTCAAATCATCAGATTCCATTTTCATCTTCTTCGAAACATTGTGGAGCTGGTTTGCGAGGTTGTTTACGAATGAATTCAATCTCATCGCTGTCATCTGCATCTCAGGAGTTGTCGTCATCTCTAATTCTTCTTTGATTTTTCCTAAATCTTTGCTAATCATGGAATTTAAGTGTAAAAAGTGACAAGGATCAGAATTTCTGACAAATTTAATTGCACTTTGAATGAAATCCGTGTATTTAGAAGATTTATGGTTTTGCAGTTTCATGGCGGCTTCCATTTGTTGTATCACGGACTGTGCAACTAAATCCATTTTTGTGAAAGGTGAAATGACAAACGATAGATAATATTTGGTCGGATCAAATTTAATATCTTTCAGATCGTGGTATGTTCTTATTACACTTTCTCTATCAGCAGCGAACTGCAACAGACTTTCTTTGAAAGGAGAATTAGAAAATTCATTTCTCAATTTTTGAGACAAACTTGTTTTTCTCCATTGGAAAAACATAGAAAGAATTGATCTTTTCCAAATATCATTCATCAAATTCTCATCAATAATTTTCGTGAAGAATTCATCAAACATTGTTTTGATCAACTCTATTTTGCACTGTAAAGAATCAACATTCATTCTTAACCCAATTAATTCAAAAAGTGACAAAGTTTGATCAAAATCAGAAATATTGAATTCATACATCAAAATTTTTGATATGAAATAAATCATGTCGTTTCTTAATATTCCTTCATTCATTAACGCGAAGATGCAAGGCCATAATTGCCAGAATTCCAACTGTTTTATCATCTTTACAATCTCTGTTTTCTTCGTCATTTTAAACAGAACTTTTGCAACATCTTTTTGAACTGATTTTTCTCCTTTCATGGAAATCAATGTCGCAAGAGAGTAAAGAACAGGAAATTCACTGACATCGTCTATCAGCATTTCGCATGAAAATGAAATAGGAAGTTGATAAGCCAATACTTGTGATCTGATGTAAAAATTTTGGCCGGAAATGAAAAAGAAACTTCGCAAAAGTGGACTTAGAAGCTGTCTGTATTGTGTGAAATTGACGGAGTGAAGGTATTTGACGTATTCTTGGCTCTTTGGAGCGAAATCAAACAAAAGTGCGGATAATTTTAAGAAATAAATTATTAAATCTTGTTCTTTGGAGGAAACTGCGTTTTCTAGGACAGATATGATTCCATCTTCTTTATCTTCTGTTTCTTTGTATAGTTCTAGTAGAAATGAGTTGTATTTCTTCAGAAAATTTTCAATATTAATTTTATTTTTTTCTTTTTCTTCGTTTTTGATGTAAAAAGCTCTTATTATTGTTATTATCTTCCTAAAGAAACCTTTGGACGTGAAGATATCAAAAAACTGTGGGAAACATCTCACAATTATGAAATCAAAAATTTTTGAAATTTCATTTTCATTTGTTTTGAAGAAAAAGTCATGATTGAACAAGACATCAGTGAAAAACGTCATCCTGTCTTCATCATCATTGAAATTACTGCTTAAATAAAATAAACTTTCATAAATTTTGAAATTAAAAATTTCAAAAAGTGACATAATTAATTCAAAATTTTCTTTTTTGAAATTGTAGATTGTTTGAAGGAAATATATGAATATCAAGTACATTTCCTCAGTCTTTGCAGACGTTTTGAGCATAGAACAGAGCTTTTCAATGGGAAAATTTCTGATATAATAATTTATTGAATTAAATGAAGGACTTAACAGCTCATTATCGATTTCCTTGATGTTCATTAGGTTGTTGAAGTGATATTTGTACTCAGGGAAGCAAAAGAATGGCTGTATCTTGCAAAATTGGTAAGAAAATCCCAATTTATATGATAATTTGTGCTCATTTTGCGGAAAAACTGATTTATGGAACATTATGTTAGTCAGATATATATAATGGTACTTCTCGTAGTCAGATAATTGTTCCAAATTGTTTTCTTTGTTGGAAATTTGGAAAATTAAAGAATCATTTTTGAATTCTTCATAAGGAATCGCTGAAGAATGCGCGTCAAGCTTGTTTACGTATGTTTGGATCTTGTATTTATCATCAATCTTCTTTAAAGCCATTGTAAACAAGTTCCACTGATTCATATCTAATTTGTCATTGATTTTGAAGGAAGAAACCTTTGTGACTTGTGATATGGTCACATCTATGACTGATTCTGATATTCCGATTCGTATAAACTCTTCTTCGCCAACAAATATTTTGAATAAATCAAATTCAATGAATTTTAATCGTTTTACAACAGATTCATTCATTTTTATCCAGAACGATATCGAAAAACCATTGTCAATCAGGTCATTGAACATGGCTCCGTCATAAATTACGTGATTTTTCGGAATTAAAGGGTGAATGATCGGCATTTTGATATTGCATGAGTCAGTGATGGATTTGATGTACTTTAGAGAGATATTTTCATAGTTTTTGTAGATTTTTTCTGGAATAATCAAATCTATAATTTCATTTGCGATTTTTAAGGAACAGGACGTCTGAGTTATCTTTATTAGATATGGTATTGCTGTACCAATGAATATTTTCTGGTCAATTGGCTGGATTTCGCATCCTTTGAAAATTATTTTTTCTTCATTAGATTTTGACAACGAAATAATGATACTACATAGCGAGGAATCAGCTAATTTGTTGATGTTATCTTGTGAAAAGTCAGCTAATTGATTCAAAATCTCAAATAATTCATTTAATTTATTATTTTGCGAAGAAAATGAGAAAATCAATGGTATTGTTGATGTATTTTCTAATTCATATAAATGCTCTTCTAATACTTTCTTCTTTCTCGATAATAAATAAGTCATTTTGTCAAATGAAATAAATTTGTTGAATAACTTCGAAAAAACTGAATTTTCGTAATCGTAAATGACATATTTCGGATCATTTATGATGATATTCAATAAAACGTCAAAAAGTTTCGAAACATAATCCGAATTTTCGCATTTTTCAGCAATAGGGAGCAAATTAGCAAATAAGGAATGTGTCATTGACATTAACAAGTTCGAGAAATTGAGTAAATCATTTAAACAAGCTAAAAATCTGAAATTCATATCAAAATTATTTGAATTTTTCATGATATTGCATGCAATCTTGATAAAATTAGCAGCATGTGTTGGAATAACTTCTTTGAACTTGTCAATTAACAGATTTGAAAGAGTTTCGTGGAAATAATCCATCGAAAAAATGAAAACTATGGTGTAGATACATGATTCTGAGTTTAAATAAGTTGTAAATCCATCAGTGTTGGAAGATATAAGTGAAATCAATGAAGAAATCAATAGTTGCTCTAAACAAAATTTTGATAATTTTTTATTTGACTCTGAAGTAAATAATTGTGCGAAATATGAAATAGAAGGAGCTATATATTGTAAATTTATTGACTGTGGGTATGTAACAGAAAGGTTTAGACCTCGAATTAAAAATTCTGTTAAAAGATATGAATTTTGAGATATTTTTTGTACTGATTCGTTAACTAATGACTTGTCATTACTTGTTATAATTGATTCTACAATATGTTGTCTTATGAAATTTAATAAGTTGTTATCTGCGTCATTATCAAATATGGAAAAGTCAGGTGTAAAGTATTTGGTAAATAATGAAGTTAAAATGGTTTGATCTTGGTAAATAATGGAAGAAAGTAAGCGAATTGAATCATTTTCTTGATCTAGTGAAATTATTTTGTCGAAAAAGTTCTTACGTGTATTTTCATCTAGTTTATCTGCATTTTCTGATATGAGATTTAATAACTCGTCTGAATTTTGTATATAACGGTCAAATGTTAAAGATGTTGCTGAATTAAGAAGTTCTTGTGGATTTTCTACGATATATTGTTTAATGTCGACGATTTCCGAATAAGAATTTGTGAAATTTGTTGAAGAATATTTCGAAATTCTGGAAGGAATTGTTTCGAAGTCAGAAATTATGGATAGTTTGTTAATCCACATTTCAATGTTCTCTATGATTGATGATTCATTAGATTGTGTTATGTCTGACTCACTTTCCATAATTTTTTGTCAAAAAAATTTGACGATTTCAGATCAAATGTTATCTGAATATAGATCGATTTATCTCTCTCGAAGATATGGAGTTGATTTCAGTGAACACATAGAAGAAATACAAAGTATTATGACTTCAAATTCAAATTCTATCAAATTTCATATGGTTTTTGATAGTTTTAAAAGTAAAATATATTAATATGATCAACAAATATAATATTTACATAACAAACACGTAATAATAATTTAGTTAATCAATCTTTTTGGATTTTCGAAAGCAATTCCATACATTTCGAATAAATCTATCATCAAACTCTTATTGGTATTATGGTGTGAGTCAAGTTGAGTAAATCTAAACTCTGACATCGGAGAAATCGAAAATTTTATGTCAAATATCGATTGGAAGCCTGATCCATACAAAGAATTATCATTTTCAACTATGTCTATTTGAGTCCATGAATTTGATGAAGTTCTGACCTCCAATTTCCAACTTTTTGGACAAAAACTGAGATTTCCAAAAGCAGAAGATTTAATGGCATAATGAGTCAACTGAAACTTAACAGTTTGGAATTTGATGATAAAAAATGGATTTTTCTCTGATTTTGAACAAAAAATGTTTTCTCCGCTTTTTTCTTTAGAAATATTGGAGATATCGAACTCTTTTCCTAGAGTGTCAGATGATCCTAAGATGAATGGTGTCTTACTTCTTAAGATTCCATTAAATAAATTCGATGGTTGAGGAGAAAACACGATTCTCTTACTTTTATCATTACTTACAAAGTATTGAACGTTTCTAATAACATTTGAACGTATTTTGTTTAAATCAAAAGGTTTTTCTGTAAATTGTTTTAATAAGAACGATTTTGAATAGGAAAACGTAGATAAACTTTGATATTTTGCTGAATCATATTGTATTAAATTGTCAACTAGTTGTAATTTTCCTCCTTGATCGATTTGTAAAAATTTGGAATTTAAAATTTCTAAAATTAAACCTGGTGGTGCTTCGAATAGGCATGGATTCTGCAAGTTATTTCGTAAATTATAACTCAATTTATTAATTATTTCGTCTCTTTGTTGGTTTGCATTAAAAAGTTGAATTGCCCATCTAAAATTATTCTCAAAAGTATTTGTTTCTTCACACACTTTCTCTGTAACTGTTTCAAGTTGTGTTATATGTAGAAATTTTGAAATAAAATGAAGAAATCTGCAATTATGAGAATCTATTCTTATTTTTTGGCCATAAAGTGCATTGATGAACTCATTGAAATCACCTTCAACCGGTGGTATTTCTAATTCGTTATTGAAATTTCCTTCTTCGAAAATTCTATGAACAAATGGAGAAACTGTGCATAAAAGGAAACTATTCACAAAATAATCTTTACCTCTATGACTGAATTTGAAATCATTAAAGGTTGAGCAATATCGAATATTAGATAAATCAATCATTCATAAAATTTGAAAAAATTTATATTATCAAATTCACCATTTATTGAAGTATTGTCACTTTAATAGATATATCATGTCTAAAAGTCCTAGAGCAAGAAAAGAAATTGTAATTGAGATTTTTTAACGTCTTTGTTCTATTTTGGGGATGAATGTATATTTTTCTTCCATTTGTTGTCTTAGTGATTTCGAAAATTTTGAATCATATCATTGATTCAAATATTCCAAATAATTTTAAATGTGTTTGTTTCTTTAAAAAGTATATATATGAAAAGAAATTATTTATACAAACAATATACATAAAAAATAAAACTTAAATATCAGTAGTTGGCTCTTTGACAACTAAGCTATCGAATCTAAACATTCTTAAGCTGGACTTCTTTGGAATCTGTAGTCCAGACATCTTTCTAGCGAGTGATGTTGATTGGATTTCTCCACCGCTTTCGAGTTGTCCTTTCAAGAAGGAAATTGCCTTCAGGTAACTCACAACTTTTGCATCACAATCTTCTTCGATTTCGAAGATTGAACTTGTTATGACAGTAAATACTCTGAATACAACATTGATCAATCTATCAACTGATTGTTCGAAAACAGCTAATCCAACAGCATCTTTTCTCTTCAAATGTGGCAATAAAAAGACTTTGGAATCAACTGCAATATCATTTTCAGTCAATTTCTCTTTGAATTCGAGGAAATCAATTTCTGTTGGTAATTCAACTAAACTCTGTACATAAGTATATGTTGCTGGGCCAATACTCATTGATTCTGGATCGAATTTAGATTTAGTAATCATGTCTGATACTAATTCCGGTAGATATTCTTCCATTGAACACAAAACTAAATCATCAGCAACAAATTTCATCTTATAGTTCGGATCTTCATCAGTTTTAACATTGTAATTCACGTGTGTTCCATAGAAGAACTTGATTGTATTGACACCAAGCAATCTCTTAACAGAGCATTGGTTTGCTATCTTCATAATTCTCTTCTTCAAGCGTTCTCTGTTAACAGAAAATGCAGGGTGAATTGAAGCAAATGGTTCAAAAGCTGACAAATAAATTGTTTCCCATGTACCTAATATTTGTGGACTTCCTAATCTTGGAACAAAGAAACTTGCGCAGATATATGATTTAGTATTCAATGGCAATGCTTCAATAGTTCCTCCATTACTTACAAACTTCCTTATGAACTGATCTGTGTTTGTAAAACTTGATGTCAAATTCAAAACCTTTGGCAAATCATTTGTAATTGATTGCTCCAATAAACCAATGAAATTAGGATCTTCGATATCTTCAGGAGACAAAACATTTTTATTGGCAATAAGTTGATCAATTAACGTGAAATCATTAATACCATACCATGCACAAGTTCCATCAGGTAATCTCAATCTCCAATTAATTATTTTCTGCAGAGAAACGCATAACTGTGTAATTGTTTTTACCAAAACCTGTCTTTCATAAATTCTTTCTGATGTTTCGAATGTTTTCAGGCCGGCGCTGTTCAACAATCTCAAAATAGACTGTCTTGTATCAAACATGATGTATTTGTTTGGGGAAGGAGCCATAATGTCTGCTCCCATCTTTTCAGAAACATCAATCAAAGAAATTTTGTTGATTTGAGGGAAAATAAATATTGGATGTTTGTTTGCAATCTGTTTGATTTTTGTGATAATAGGGATATCCATTGAGAAGATTTCTTCTAAGTTAATATTATCAGGAAGATTGAAATGTGTTGGCATGATGTGTAAGTTCAAATCATTTTCAGTAAACTTAGTAATTAATGTTGTAACATCAGTAGGAAATGAATTATGTGTGAACAAAACTAAAGTTGTGTTTTTGTTCGCTAAATATGACAATCTTCCAAGTTCTACAGAGTTATAGCTATTAATGAAATGCACTTGTACATGAGGAACATCAAATGAATTAGCTGTTGTATCTAAATTCTTTTGTTCATATTTAGAAATAAGATTATTATGTTCTTTGAATAATTTCGCTTTGAATTTTGTAACAATTACAAATGTTCTAAACTGTCTCTGTATCATTCTTGCGGCAGCGTTGTTTCTCATGATTGCTCTGATTTGTCTTCTAGCAACAAAACCTCTCCAAACACTTTGTATCATGATGGCAGCATTGTGTTCTGCATCTGGACCATCTAAATGAATTAATCTCTTGTGTTTCTTGTGATCTAATGGATCTAAGAAACATCTCTCAATCTTTGAATCAGAAATCTCATCAAGTTCGAACCTTCCAAGTTCTGCAAGACGTTCACAATCAACAGTTTGACGAGAAATTCCATTTTGTTCACAAAAATGTTTCAACATATTCAACAAAATTGTCATTTGCTCCCATTGCGAAGCATAAGCACGTCTGAATGCGTAGTAATCTTGTGATTGAAGTGGTTCTCCATTGATCAAAAGGAATGTAAGTCGACGTTTTGTTTCAAGATTATTCTCATCTTCAGGTTGTGATGGTTGTATTGGATTAATTGGTTGGGTGTTGTTCATATCAAATAATGGAGATGTATCAGGAGTATCATCAAGTACGAAATTGTTGTTAGGTTCAAATGGAATTTTAGTCATATCGCCAACATACTTAGAAACAGTCAAAAGACCATCGAATTGAGGATTGACGTTATTCTTCTTGATGTATCCTGTATCAACAAGTCTTTCAACGCCAAATTTGTCAATATCATCATTTGTTACTGGAGGAGGAGTAATTCCAGGGTCATGACGATCAACAGGGTGTAAATGAGTTACTAAATCTGGTATTTTGCGTGTTCTTTTCATAACCATTTGAGTTTGAGGTCGATAATCAAAAGATCGAAGTGTTGTTGTAGTTAATGGCTGTATTGCTTCTGTTTTAGGTTGATTCATAACAGAGGTTGGTCGATATGAAGTTGTAGGTCTACTTGAAATATTTTTATTAGATGGTAATTGAATTTTTGGACTTTTTGGTTGTCTTATTGGGTCTACACGAGTAATTGTAGTTTTTGGACGTCTTGCTGTTGATTTTTTATGAGAAACATCATGATGTGTTATAGCATCCATTCTTAATTCTGCAGGTGTTGGCGTATTCATTGGTAATACTCGAGATTGAGAAAGCTTGGCTCGATTAATTGCTTGTGTTTTAAGCCTTAAGTCTCTTTCTGCTTCTTCAAGTAATTTTGAAATTTGATTTTTATAAAATTCAGCATCATTCGGATTTTTTTCCATTTTATCTTTCAGCACGTCTATTTCTGTTTGAAGGGTTGTCAATATATTAGAGACATCCCGCTGATGGATATCAACAGGATTCATAAACGTGCACCTTTTATGCAGAATATATGATTTTAGAAAACTAATGGGAATAAAAAGACATATAATTAATAGTTTATATCTCGAAATTTAATAATATCATAAGAATCTGGTTTTTAAAAATCGAATCATTCAATTTATTGGTGATTTAAGAAAATAATCAACCTAAAACAGAAGCAATACTTATAACTATGATATATGCATCTTGTTGGGCGAAACTGGGGTCCGAAGGGAGCCAAATTCACCGGAAATTTTTTAAGAATTGCCAAAATGACCCCAGAATTGCCAAGTCTTCTAATTCATTTGAGACAAAAACTTATTAGGGGTTCAGACCGACCATCTTTTCTCAAAGTTTGCCTCAGTGAACTTTGTTTCTATGAGAATCACTATTGGCACTAAGGCAAAAGCCATGCCACATTTGGAGGATATCTATCTACACAGAAACAAAATCAACAAACTTCAGATTAAATATCAAAAACTAATAATATTACAATAAATGGGATTCAATTTTAGAATTAGATCGAAATAAATTTATAAATTTTGTCATTATTAATCTTTTAATTCAGAGGGGCAATTTAAATAAGCCAAAATGCAGATTATTATTAAAATCAATATATCCAGAATGGTCATAAAACCGTCATCTTCTGATCTACGACTTAGATCATATGCTTGAGAATTCTGTTTTACATAACGATTTTCATACTCTGTTTTACATAATGATATCTTTTTTTCAACTGATATTTCAATAAATTTATCAGCTTGTTTAAAGAAAATCTTTTCATAAACTCAGTCCAATCCGAGAATTCTTAAGAATATAAATAAAAATTGACCATTATTGCTTGTTAAGAATTTCATTAAATCTGATCTTTTTTTGGTAAAGCAAACGAAGCGTGAGTCAGGGCCATCGTAGTCAAGTCCATCAAAATATTTCATTTTGCTGGCTTTTTTTTCAATTTCCATATAAAAATTTTGGAATTTTTCCTCGGCCTCTTCATTAAAGACGTATTTTTCTTTCAATAGATAAATAACTGTTTCATTTTCATCAGCCGAGATATTTAGAGGTTCAAATTCCCATGATCCGTATTTAAAATTGTACCTTTCTTTAGCTCTGCGTGGTATATGGTCATCCGGGTCTGCTTTCTCCATTGCATAGTATGAAACCAATGGCTGCTGAGAAAGAAATGAATTAACATATTCTTCACTATTTGTATTGCAAATCATATCAAAGAAAGTCCTTGATGCATTCAATTTGAGCATATGAATAATGCATGTAATACATATATATATAATATGGTCCCCCAATAGAGAATCAGCATGAGATTCTAATTGTAGAATTATGATTTTTTGGAAATTTAAAAAATTATCAAAATTCTCTCTCAATTATTTTCTGAATTTCAAACTCCCTGATATTTCAAAGTCGTCAGAAATTTTATCAGTATGGAATATTTAGTATAATGCACAATATCTATCACATATGAAAATCACAGTGGTAAAAAGAATTCGGAGGAAAATCACATGTGGTAAAAAAAAGCAGAGTGTAATTTTTCTCTGAATTCGATACTTTTCACTATTAACATCGTGAAAAATTGTTACTATAAAATACACTGTTTATTGGCAATTGTGACATATTTACATTATATTATAAGGTAGTCACAAAATCTAAGTAGTGAGGCTCTCAAAAATTGAACCGTACTCCATATAAAATTTGTGTACCCTCACTACTTAGATTTTGTGGCCTTCAATTGAGAGGTTAGTTTTGATAGAGCACGTTATAAAATTAAAAGGGAAAAATAAATAAAATTTAAACATTTAATTATATATAATGTAAGGAGTGTAATTCCAAATTTTCTAAAAACTATTCAAATTTGAGCATTTTTTTGGAAATAGTAAATCTAATATGTACATCTAATAACAACATGATTCATCACCTTTTCAAGCTCTGCAGTCAATTTTTTGAAATTTGATTGAAATAAATGTAGCAAAAATTACATTTCATTAGGGAATATATGAGTTTCTCTGGAAACAGGCTGATAAATTTTAAATTTTGTCCAATCAACATGAATGCATTGAGAAATTTGGATTGATTTTCTGGTAGAATCTGGAACAATTCAACCATGTATAAATGGATCATGTAATCATCATGAAATGTTAGTGTTAGAGTTCAAAAGAAACAGAATGAGTGGAAATCAAACACAATCTGAATAATTTTAAACGTATACAATCTTTAAGTTTGTATTTTGAATTCTACATATATGATTGTGTAATTCGTTCTTTCAAATTTTCGGATTCAGGCATGCTTTGATAAAATTCATTCCCAAAAACGTCAATTAACAATTAAATTTAGTGTATTTTAAATATATATACGTATTATATTTTATAAATTATATTAAATTCGCAAAATTTTAAGTTTTAAACAAAAATAAAAAATCTTCAAAATATGAAATTCTGCATAGGATATTAAAATTTACATGTTAGCAATTTTTTTGAATTGCTTTCAATTTTCATATTGAAATTTTTCAGATTTTTTTCTGAAATAATAAGCAAGAATATCAACCTAAATAATATTAAATTCCATGCGTTAATTTCCCCTCAAAAGTCATTGACCGCCTCTCAATCTAGATTTTGTGAGTACTTTAGAATACAAAACAATAATGTACCTTTCCCTAATGATTTTATAAAGTTGTTTTCATATTAATTATTTAGATGTTTACACACAAAAAAAATGTGATAGATCCAGATCTCATCACCCATTACATTTTAGATCAATAATGAAGATATAAAAGTTATTATATAAAGAAAGAATAACATAAAACATTTATTATAACAATAATAATTAAAATAGTGTTGGTTTTTGTGGAGATTCAAGTGCTTCAACTTTCTCTTGAACTGTTTGACCGCTTGAATTTTCATCGTGATCTAATTCTAGGAAAACCATATCAGCATCTGAAGGACTCGAAACAATTGCTGTATAAACAACTTTTTTGACGTTCTTCTCTGGAATTCCATCTCCAATTTCAACAGCATCTTTATAAGAAACAACGCATTTCGGAATTTTTCTAGATGAGCTAGCATCATAATCCGAATCATCAGAATCATTAACGCCTAATTTCTTCAATCTCTCGAGTTGTTCTTCGAGTTCTGTCTTCTGTTTCTTTCTTCTTGCAGGATCTAATGTATAAACTTTCTCACTTTGGGTTGATTGAGAAGACAAAACTAATTCAGTTGTTTTATTATTGAAATCTGATTTAGAACTCTTCAAAATTTTCTTCATATTTTGAGTAACTATTGTTTCATTTTGTGTTGTTATTTTCTCTGTTTTCTGATTTATTTTATTCATCTGACTAACTTTATCTTTGATCATTTCGTGTTCTGGAATAACAACTCTATCTTGTGGTCCATCAAATATTTCACTGTTGATTTCTTCTTCTTCAGAAAGTAATTTATCAGCTTCTTCCAGTAATTTGTTTCCTTTTTGCATGCTAATAGAAATTTTTTGTCTGTCGTTATTAAACTTTTGATTTGTTTGTGGATCTGATGGTGTAGATGCTGAATATGTATCAAATATTGTTGATGACTCAAGTTTGATCTGTTTTGGTGACTTTGCCCAACTCTTTTCTTTTCCATACCTTAGAATTGAATCAATTCTTGATGAATAGCTGCTTCCTGTGTATTGCGGAGATTTGTTGCCTTTGTCTAAGAACATTTCAGTTGTATCATTGTTGCTATCATTGTAGATGTCGCTGAAATTGTCTGGTTTCTTATTTTGATTGGAAATTTCGTTCATTTCATCATCTTTTTCGTATCTATCAAGTAAAGAACGAGTATAATTAAGATATGCATCATCTGTTAGCGAGTTGTTACCTTTTTGTTGTGATTTTTCTGGTAAGATAATTTGAGGTTTTTGTATTCTTAGGACTCGGGCTCTTCTTTTCTTGTTCTGGCGTCTTTAGAATATTAGAGTATCTGGGTTAGCAGGATTTGGTGTTCTTGGTGAAATAAATGGTGAATTTGTTTTTGTTGGCGAAATTGGAGTTGTATCTATATGTGCAGGTCTTCCTTTCGATAATTTTGGCTCTCTTAATGTACTGGATGATGGTTTGATCTGGGATATCTTGCCAGATTTTTGATTTGTGAGTTTTGACATTATATTATTTGCTTCGTCAATAAGATCATTCTCGCTATCACTGGATTGTGGATTAGAAGAATATAAATCTTCTGAATAGTATTCTGTTGAGCTTGGTTTTGAAACTTTTTCTGGTTCAGCAATTTCTTTTTCTTTTTTGCTGCTTTTTGTACTCTTTGGAGTTGCTTGCGTTTCTGTATTGGATTTTGGACTCCTTGGTAGCGTTTTTTCTTTATCAAAAAACCTTGTACCATCAAGGAGTTTCGAATTAAAAATAATTTCAGAAGGAGTTTTAAGATTCCTTGCGTTTTGGGCGATTGGAATTGAAAGCTCAAGATGAACATCTTGATGTCACTCTTCTTTAACGAGAATTGACTATTCATCTTGTTTAATTTGATCTTTTTTTTCATCAACAACTGCTTCGGGTGTAGAGTAATCCAAAAGCTGTCGCTTCTTTTCCATTTCAAGTATTGCTTGTTGTTCTCTCGCTCCTTTGCGCTTCTGTGATTTATAATACCAATATGAAAGCCAATGATGAAATATATAACGTCTTCTAATTAAACTGTATTTATGTTGTGCTTCAAATAGTTCATATTTATTTGGAACGATTTCTTTTCGCTTATTCGTTTCATTTTCGACTGTTTTTGCTCTGAAATTTATTTTACCATAGCAAATAAAGTAATTCTTGGGCTTTTACTATCTGACCACGAGAAAGAGTTTGTGTTGCTGAGCTTCGAAGCCGTACTTCCTTCTTATTAGGAGAAACGTTACGTTTTCTTTTATTGTATGGTTTATAATTAGAATAATTGACTGGAGATGGTGCACGTGGCTTAACTTGCTCGAGGATATTATAAGCCATTTGAATTTTCCCAAATCATTGCTTGTTTATTATAGGTATTTTGAACATACTATCAATATGAACTCACCTACTATCCCTCTATGATTTACTCGGATAGTGCTGCTATATAATGGGGAAATTGCTTATTCATGCTTCATCCAAAACATTCAAATTTAAAAAGTATCCATCATTTAATAAGCATATTAGCACAAACATGTTTGAACAATATAGAACCAAACATACAGAATTAAGTCGATTCATTCAATAAAAGAAGTTTGACATTATTTTGCATGGGTATCAATATCAAGATTTCTGTTGATCAAGAAAGAAAGCAAGCCTTAGCACTTGATTTTGGTATTTGTGAAATGGCAGAAGAGCAACTCAACAATAAAAGGACCACTTTTGCAATTAATTTTTGCTTATTCTTTAGTTTTACTGCAGTTGTCACAACTCTAGCATACTTAATGTAACGTAAAATTCATATTTTTCCAGTTAAAATTGATGTCAGAGAAATTTATTAATACAATATTTTCAAAATGAAAACTGCCTATATTCATTGAACAGTCATGAGACATCTAGTAAATTTATCACAAACTCCCTGTTCCGTGTATTAAATCCTGTTGTACTATTTAAAATGCCACTTCATGTATCTTGAATATCGATATGAATAAAATAAAATATCATATATATATATATAGGTATATACAACTAAAATCTAAATATACACAAATAATTTATTTTTCTTTTATGAATTCCAAATCATTGGATGTCGGTTTCATTGTAGTAATGATTTGCATTGCTATACTTCTGTACCTTCGTAACTACTTGCACAATGAAGTTAAAACTCTTCAAAAAAAGAAATAATACCTAAATTTAAGATGCTATATATCACTATGAGTTAACAACTTGAATTAAAATCACTAATTGCAATATCTATTGATCAGTAATCATCAAAAATCATTAAACATTAGATTATGACGTACGAATTCAATTTCAATCAATTAAAGGTCTTATTTTTAGAGGATGTCCCTTCGACTGGATCCACTTAAACTTCATAATTATTGTAATTTATTATATGAATAATGAATTACAATAATAATAATGATTTATTCAAATGTTGACCTTGTTGTTCTAAAGCCAACTGATTACAAGCATTCGAAACTGATTCTTCTTAATCCTAAACCGATTCATTTTGCAGCATTTTTTGGAGCAGAAAAATACTATGATTAGATAATATGAATGCAAATGAAGAAATTACTGATGAATTTTCTCAAAATGTTCGTTATTATGTTGCAGTCGGAAGACATTTAACAATTTTGCATAAATTTTCAGATTTTTCAGTGGATATTTTATCTCACCAATTTCTATGTACCAGTTTTGCAATTGATCCAATGCTACTAGCCATAATCTATGGAATTTTCGATTTTGTCAAATATATTTGGTCAAAAGGTTATGATTTCTCACTAAATAGTGAAGAATACAGACTTAGCCCTTATTTTCATGCAGCGTGTGCATCAGGATATGTTGATCAATATCCCAAATTTGAAGATTACTTTTATATGTATATTATAGGAATGAATTGTTTAATGCATGCCGCTTCTGCCGGATCCCCTGATGTTGTTAATTATCTTATCAAACTTGGCATGGGTACAGATGATATTACCATAGAAGGTTTAACCGCAATTGTTTGTTCAGCAAGATCAGGTTCTTTATCATGTGTAAAAGCATTAATCAAAGCTAGTACCACGTATAAAAACTGTAACAGGAAATACAATTGTGTCGTTGAAGCAGCAACGCAAGGATATTTAGGCATCGTTAACTTCTTGATATAGGTATCAACATCAATGTCACGACAAGTGGTAAAATGACAGCAGCAATGTGTGCAGCACAAGCCAGAAGATTCGATGTTTTGAAGTACTTGCGAATGAAAGGTGCAAAATTTAATCCAGACAATAATTATATGAACTTGCAAAGAAACAAATTAATCTCACAAAATTGCCTAAGGATATATGCTCAGATGCAATCTTATTGCCAAATGTTGCTTTAGTTCGACATCTACTAGATAACTATATAGGTCTCAAAGATATTACAGATTTTATCCAAACATGCTTGATAAAGTTTACAAACAAAAGGTTTTCTCAAAGACATAAATGATATAGATCCAAGAAACTACGCAAGAAACTTAAAAAGCATCAATATCCTTGTAAGCATTGGCTGTGTATTGACAAATGCAGCTATCATAAAAAGATCAATAATTGAAATGATTGTAACAAAGACAAAAGATAAAAATCTTGCTTTGAAACTACTTGATAAAATTCTGATCTTGCTTTGTTGGAAAATTAGATCAGAATTTATTATTTACTAATCTCATCAATGTATTTAATCATGGAGAAGTTACTAAAGAAATTGTTGATATATTTATGGAAAGATTTAAATCACATTACAAAATTTTGAGACATCAACACAATAAATTGAGTGACCACCAGGTTTCACCCAATTAAAAATGGTACCAAACAATATATTCTGCAAGATATAGCGAAAAAATTTTGATAATTTGTAAAAAAGTGTAAACTTCGGAATACACAATAATATGTTATTCGGATACTATATGAAGTTGCAAATATTATTGCCACTCAAAAAATCACGATTTCAATTTTTCTCGAAATCTAATCTTGAAATGTATATTAATTTTACTACATGTAGCGTAACCTGTGTTATTATATTAGGAAAAAAAAACAAATCTATTTTAATAATATAAAAAAAAATTTATTCGTAAATGATCTAAACGATTAAAGAAAGATTTAGATTCACCAACTCCAAATAATGAAGAATAGTCAATCTTGGAGATCCATCCAATCCGAATAGTAAGCTGCAATTAAATAAATTTTTTTTGTAGAAGAATTGTTTCCCTGGTGTCTTTCACTACAGTAAGAGCATTCGTAAATATATTTAACAAATAATAATTTTGAAATCGATATTATAATTCTTGTAACTGCTAAGCTATAAAGGAAACTTATATAGAACAATAGGAAATCATGATGGAAATTCTCCTATTCTGGTTGGATGCTCTCATTTTTAGTTTGATATGACCCTGTTGCCCGTCACTTCCATTAAAAAAAATTCAATAGACGGAAACTTTAAAAAAACGAGTTTAAGCATTATATTATATGCTAATGGACTTTTTGCAATCGTCATTTCATCCAAAGTTCTATCAATTTCATTGAAAGGGAGGAAAATTTTTGCCTAGGCAAAAAAAAAATTATATCCCTTTAGGTAAATCCATGTGAAAAAAATACAAAGCATATCATGATACTTTTAGTGCATTATACAAACTAGATTCATTCGATGAGACCGTAATTGACAAAATTTTCCAAGATATCAAAATCAATTTGATAGAAACAAAAGTCTGCACGCCTTCGAATATTTTATATATTATTCCAGAAATAGTCCGGTTCAGATGCCAATATTTTAAGTCATATTGGTTTTTATTCAAAAAAGTTCACGATGAATATCAACCAGGTAAGTTAATTATTAATTCTGATCCATTTCAATACCTTATGTTCAAAGAATATGGAATTCCTTGCAATGAGGAGGTAATTGAAGAATGTAAAGATCTTACCATGGATGTTTATGAAAAAAACACAATTAGCAGAGCAATTATGGAAAATGACTTACAAACATTTATAAAATTCACTGAACTAGAAGACTTTGATGTAAATCAGCAGTTGCGTAGCATTTTCTATTATCTACCTATGACTTTACTTGAATTATGTTGCTATCACGGATCTGTTGATTGCTTTAAGTTGTTACTAAGTAAATTCCACTTAGAATTCAAATTTAAATGCCTTGGTTATTCATTTTTGAGTGGAAAACCAGAAATCATCAATGAATGCTTGAAGTATTCACTTCCAAACGATAAATTTGTATATGATCATTGTATGAGATGTGCAATTGTATCTCATAACATTGATTTTGTTTCATTTCTAATGAATGAATACAATATACATGTAAACTTATATGAGTGTCCAATATTCAATAATATTCAAGCATTTTTAGTGTACTTGGACCAAACAAAAAATATCGACGAATGTTTTGTAGAATCACCTGCTTTTGATTGTCTTCCTCTTTGTGAATATTTCTTATCAAAAGGAGCAGATATCAATGCAAAAAATATATTAGGAGATACATGTCTTTTTACTGCAGCCATGTATGGTGGTGCACAGCGTATAGAGTTTTTAATTTCTCATGGAGCGGATATCAATGCAAGGGATGATGAACAGAATACTCCACTTTTCAAAGCAGCAGTTTCAAATAATAAAGAGGCAGTAGAATGTTTACTTGCTCATGGAGCTGATGTAAATACAATAAATTCCTTTGGAGAAAATCCTCTGCTTTATTCATTTAAATCTAACAACAAGGAACTTGCAGCAGAAATTGCAGAAATTTTCATTTCCAATGGGATAGATTTCAATTTAAAGAATGAAGAAGGAATGACAGCCTTTCATGATGCAGCAGCACTATCCCACAAAAATACACTCGAGTTACTTATGTCACATGGTGTTGATATTTCATCAAAGAGCAGTGATGGAAAAACCGCATTTCATTACGCTACAATTACTAATGCTAGAGATTCATATGAATTTCTAGTATCATGTGGCATTGATGTCAATGCAAAAGATAATGATGGAAATACACCCATTCATTGTGCTACACTTGAGAATCACGGAATGTTTCTTCTTGTCACATCTTTTTTGAGTGACAAAAGTTCAAAAATCCAAAAAACATTCAAATATTTGATTTCTCATGGTGCAGATATCAACGCAAAAAACAATCAAGGAAAAACAGCTCTTCAGTTGGCCAGAGATCAAAACAATACATTTATGGAAAATATTCTTAAATCGCTTGGTGCTGAGTAAAGAATTAACATTTATTCTAAGAATTAAAATCCTTTTTTCAAATATATCATTAAAGGACTGTGTTTGAAAAAAATGATGATATTCCAAGAGGAGAAAATGAAGCATAATTCAATTTCTGCTTTGAGTTTTCTGCTGACATAACTGGAATTGTAAGGTATTAAGTAAGTCAAGCATAATGCACAGGATCAGCGAGTATAAGTATATCAAAATAAGTATTAAAAAAAATTAAATTATTTCTGAAAGAAGCTTTTACAAGAGGATGTTTTATTGTCGTCTGGAAAAAGTGACAAAATTATTATTGTCGTCTAAAAAGGTGACAAATTATTATTGTCGTCTGGAAAAGTGACAAAATTATCATTGTCGTCTAAAAAATAGATTTTTCAAGCATGTTTCGGTACCTAAATAAAGGAAGAACATCAATTCCATCTATGTATATAGTATGCAAACACGCATGATATATGGAGTAGCTCTTTATCTGGCTAAAAATCCTATTATTTGAAAATTCGCATTGTCGTCTAAAACCGCCAGACGACAATAATAATACCCCCTTTTACAATCTATTAAGGCTAGGGTATTTATCTTCGAGTGAGTTGTCTGTATTGGAGTTGAAATATTCTTAAATGCGCAATCGAATGTGATTTTGTTGTACCTAACATATATATGCATATCACATTCATAAAAGAAGTCTGTGACCTGTTCATATGAGATAAAGTGAAAATTCAGAAGAACTCCAGCTTTTGTAGATTCTACAATGCTGAGATGCTGATCTGTAAATGATGGTCGCATAGCAGGATTGAGTATAAGAATAGAAGGATCAAATCTAAAATTGTCAGTTTATTTGAGTTTTCTGTTGGCAGATTATTCTTAAAATAAATCAGCTGAGGATTCAAGGAAAATTTTCTCGAGGACAAACAGCGACAACTGGATTGCAGCCAGTAAGATTCCTAAAATAAGTTTGTAGCAACTTGATTTCAGATGTCGTATAGTTTGATATGTCGGCATATGTGAAGAAACGCGAAATCTGATTGATTGTTGATTGTTATATCTACTTTTTGACTTTATATAAAATATCGGAAGTTTTAAGTCGCACTAATACAATGAATAGCCTAGAATATAAATTTTTAGAATCTGCTCTTCATCAAATATTGTCGTAAGGCAGCAGTTTGGTTTTAAATCCTGCAATCAAACTTCAGAAAATAGAAATTTAAACTTATAATGCATTGATATTATCACATCATAAATATATTTAAATTTTAATTAAAATGAGTGCAACATTAGATTTGTTTTGATAATATTTACGCTCTTATAAATCCATGGCTGTATATCACTTCTCATTCACCGGGACAACTCAGAGCCAAACTTTACCTCAAGGAAGATATAAGTTCGAAGTTTGGGGTGCGCAGGGTGGCGGAATTGATACATCCCATAATTCACAGTCAGGTGAAGGTGGGAAGGGAGGTTATTCAATCGGTTTTATTAATTTTACGGCTAGCACAAAAGTGTTTGTTAATGTTGGAGGCGTTGGACAATATAATATTAATGGAAAAGCACTTGGTGGGTTTAATGGCAGCAGATGTGCGTGGGAAAATGATGTTGGCGAACCAGCGCACGGTGGTGGTGGAGGAACTGATATCAGAATAAATCAAAATGAATTATTAGCCAGAGTTATTGTAGCTGGTGGTGGTGGAGGTGGAGCCGAAGATCCGGGTCGTCATGGAGGCTGTGGTGGTGGTATTACAGGAAGAGGGAATACATCTGGAGATAAATATTACGGAACTCAAAACTCGTCATCTAGCGGAGGTGGTTTTTTTCAGGGAGCGCATACTCCCTATGAGGGCGGCGGTGGAGGAGGGGGATGGTATGGAGGAGGGACAATTGCTGGATCACAAACAGAACCAACTACAAAGTATGTGGGTGATACTCGTGGTGGTTCAGGTGGTAGCGGTTATGTTTATACTTCGTTCAGTGCTGTTTTCTACCCAAGCGGCTGTCTCCTCAATTCATCCTATTTCCTTGATAACGCAATTACCATTTCAGGTGGTGAACAGGTCACAGAACCGGAAGGAGTTGTGGGTATTGGTCATTCAGGAAATGGTTACGCAAGGATTACGTCAATTTCCATTGATAAGGTTGGAAAATGTTTAACTATACAAGTTGACTATCATAGATATGTTTTCATACCATTACTTATTGCTTTTATTGAAATTTTTTCCGTAATTCAACATTAATAAACAATTAACTTTAAAACATTGCTCTTTACCTATTTTGAACTATTACCTCGTAGTGTTTTTATTGAATGAATAATTTGGTGTACGTTTATTTATATACAAAAGTGACAAATTCAATCAAACATGAAAAGGGGATCACAAATTAAGAACCAAAAAACGTCAAAAGAGTCGACTGCCAGTAAATCTTCTAGATCAAGTGCTAATTCAACAGAAAAGACATTGGATGTTTTGACATCTGACGCAATCAAAAATTCCGGCGGCTCAAATGTTTTACAAGCGGAATACTACAAAGAAGTCGCATCTGCAGTAATGAATAGCAATTCCCCATCATTATATTTTGCAAAACCAACAATTTCTAAAATTCAATCAAAAGAATGGCAACAATCTTATTTATTCGTTATCAAATACCTCAAAAAATACGGAATGACAAATACTCTCGAAGCAATTCAACTTGAAAATCCGAAAGTTGCTAAAACATTAAGAGGAAATAAATGCCAATTTGTTTTTGATGAATTAATGGGAACTTCTGAAGACCTTGGTGATAGAAGTTTCCGCTACCGTGTTGATAGCTTCTTTGACGAGCACGGATTGCAACTTCCAGAGAATCCATACGCCTTTAGTATGAGTGATGACATTCCTGATGGAAGTATTCAAAAACGCCAACAAGTGAGTGGCAGGGCTAATATTGTTAAGCCTGTTCTCAAAGAATAATTTTATCATTTTTTTTTATTCTAAAGAATATGTATGTATTGTTTCTAAAATATCTCTTTATTTGATTCATGGAAGCACTAAGAAAGGTTTACATCAAGATATAAGTTTTTAAAAAAGCAAATAAAATAATACGACGATTGTAATATGTTTACATCTCTATAAAACTATATTTATATCTGTTGGAATGCTATCAGTGTAATAAACAGAAATTCATCAAAAGTGACAGCTCTCAATTTTTTAACATTTGTAAATTCTAAATTGAATGAGAAAAATGAAATAATACTATGCATAATACAATATTCTAGATTTAATTATAATTAGGAAAAAGTTAGTTTTGAGAGTACTTTTCATAGGCATATAGAATGAAATCTTCTGAAAAATAATATCACATAAACTCATATTATTTTCTAATATATAACTATTTTATATAAAAATCAAATTCAATGATCTTAAAAGCGAAGGATAAACCTCAAAATTTACGAATATAATGAGTGGGAATATAATGCTTATCTATCATAAAACCATATGAAATATCAATTTTTGCTTTACGCCTAATTTTTGACGACAATTAGCAAAAAATGTTAAATGTTAACACTCAGTCCATTTGAATATGAAAAATAAAATTGACTTTGATTAAATGTTTTTATTTATCATGCAATTCTTCTTGCGACCAAAGATTTGAATAAAAGTTCAAAAAATAAGATAGCTTAAAAAATAATATACGGTAGTGTTTACTAATAGATGAATAGTATATAAATTCTATTAAAATGGATTTGATCCAAAAAAATATATAAAATTTGATCATAAATAAAATCGTTTTAAATTACTTCTTCATTTAAATTATAACAATTATTTTTGGTTTTATATTTTTTTGGATCAAATCCATTTTAATAGAATTTATATACTATTCATCTATTAGTAAACACTACCGTATATTATTTTTTAAGCTATCTTATTTTTTGAACTTTTATTCAACTCTTTGGTCGCAAGAAGAATTGCATGATAAATAAAAACATTTAATCAAAGTCAATTTTATTTTTCATATTCAAATGGACTGAGTGTTAACATTTAACATTTTTTGCTAATTGTCGTCAAAAATTAGGCGTAAAGCAAAAATTGATATTTCATATGGTTTTATGATAGATAAGCATTATATTCCCACTCATTATATTCGTAAATTTTGAGGTTTATCCTTCGCTTTTAAGATCATTGAATTTGATTTTTATATAAAATAGTTATATATTAGAAAATAATATGAGTTTATGTGATATTATTTTTCAGAAGATTTTGTGTTCTTCTTCAAAATTTTATTTTTTTTTATTAAAAAGAATCTTTACAAAATATACATTTACTTTAATTAATATTTAAAAACGTGCTCTATCAAAAGTTCCAAAAATTCAATATTTTAGCTTTTCTGAGGTGTCACTTTTGATGAATTTCTGTTTACAACAATCAGCCATTTCTAGAATATCAGTCAAGTTAAAGTAAAGACCTTTCAGTCTATTGTATTTCAATTTAATTTCTTTATATTTAATTTCATCATTTTGTTCTTTATAAAACTTCTTTGAAGGTTTTAGACCATGATAAGCTTCACTAATGTTGTCGCACATATCACTTATATTTTCTAATATATCAAGTTCTAAAACTTGGTCGAAAATCTCGTCTTCATATCCATAATATTTCAGCATTCCAACGATATATTCCACACTCTCGCTAAATGCTTCGAATTCACTTGTTTGCATTAATTCAAATATTTTCACGAAAATTTTATTTTCACTTACGAAATCATGAACAACAATATCTGTTTGATGTCTTATAACTGAATTAATAACACTGAGTAATGGCCTGAGAATCTTAACTGATGAAGGTTGTTCGATGTTATCAAGACAAAATTGTCCAATTTCATCAGCTAAGAAACTTAAATATAAATCAGGTATTATATTATATGAGCGAGCTACTTGCTTCAATGCCAAGCATTGAGCTGATGGTTTAAAGCTTGATATGTATTTTCTAATAAAATTATAAAAAATCTCATAATTATCAAAGTAAAACTTACTGAGCACGTCAAAACAAGAAATGAAATAATTAATAGATGCAATTGACTTGTGACTTGATTTATTTTCGATATTGAAATTTTCCAAAAATTTTGGGAGTACGTTAGTTATAAATGATATCTGGTCTGATAACTTGATGAAAATTTGGACTTGTATCTTAAGAGTAGTACTTATAATTTCAAAATCTTGAAATTCATAAAATGGCGTAACAATCTTTTGAATTTCATCGGAGTATTCAGCTATTCTGTCGATAAACTGACTTTCTGCGATTACTCTGATATATTTCAAGTATAAAATTGGAATTTCTTTGTTTGCATTGTTTATTAGATCTATAAGTATGCCTTTTTCATGAATGCACTGAATATTTTCAAATGGGAACTTCAGAAGAACTTTAAGATATTCAATTGTGATTGGAGTAATTTCGGACTTAAGAAAAACCCATACATTGTTGATGGTTTGAGAATTTATATAGAAATTTGCAATATCATTGCTTGACTCTGCGAATTTGTAAAGAAATTTTAATGATTCAAGTGAAATCTCTGGAACTGAAAAGTTTTGCGAGTGATTAACAATAATATTAACAATTGTATCATCTATTGTAACATCTTCTGTTGAATCTACCATGTATTTCAAAGAGTAAAGTAACTTTTCATTTTCTGTTGGTTGAATTATTTCATTCATTGCAAGATCAACTGTAAGTTCGGGTAATTCTGAATGAATGGAACTCTCTGACAAAGGAAAAATTGTGGTTGAAGGAATAGTTTCCTTATCTATTTTTTCCATCTTGAGGAAAGCTGTCAGATTTCAAATCAATTTAAATTTTTATTCTCTTGGATTATATACCATGGAAATTAGTGAATGACAATTTCTTTGTCAAAATTTACAAAATCTTTTCAGAATTTCAAAAAAATGCTGATTTATCTCTTCGTGGCGCAAACAATTCCTGTTCTGCGCCACGAGGATAATCCATACACTGTTCTTGGCTTAAGACCAGATGCTTCACTCGAAGATATACAGTTTGCCTATGAAAAATTACTTCGATTATATCGTGATACAGATAATGATGATTTATTCAGCGAAAACCTTAACAAAATTACAGAGGCATATGAAATACTAACAAATCCTGATCGTCGATATATATTTGATCATTACCGAATAACATCACACGAAAAGATCAAAACAACTCGACAAAAAGCTACAGATTTTGTATCAAAAATCAGAAATATCGGACGTGGTGACTTTTTTCGAGAATACAATCCAAATCCTGTAAATTATTTTACACCACTATATGTTTCCCAAGATCCTGAAGGGTTATTACAATTAAATGACAGATGCTTTGTGCTTGCATATAGCGAGAATGACTATAATTCATCATTTGATTATGGAAGAGCATTTGAGAGCGCTGCTCTTGACTTTTCTCCGTATTTTTCTTTCTGGAGGATCTCGCTTGAACATATGGGCGGCTGGTTTTTCGATGCTTACAAAATAAATCACAGACCAGGAGTTGCTTACCTCAAAAGAAACAGCCAGAACAAAGTCGTCGTGAAAAAGACAATTAGAACAACAGATAAAGACATTCTAAAGAAATGGATTACGAATTTGACACCAGATCATATTTTGAAAGTGTCAGATGTAGAAGAAGCAGCAAAATGGGTGAAATCTGAACCATACCATACACATATTATCTCATTTGCCTACTCAGAAACGCCTCCTTTCTTTTTGCGAGCGATGTCATTTAATTATCCAACAATTCGCTTTGCATATTTGAGAAATGAGTCAGCTCTTTCGCATTCTAAATGGAATTATACGAAGTTTCCAACGACGCTTGTGTTTAGAGGTGGAAATTCATTTGAATATCGAGGAAATATAAGTTTAAACATGCTGAGTGGGTATTACTATAGTCCTTTTGTTTGGAAATTAATGTGGGAGCACCAGAATTTCTTATTATATTGCGGAACTCGCAAATATCCATTTAATTATTCTTTACACGTGACAATTACAGATCCATCATCTCTTTTCGCTTGGCTGATCAATGTAAAAGATGGAGATTGGAGATATATAGACTCAAATGCGCGGTTAATGTATAATATCGATGAAAATGGAGATCCAGTTGGAAAACCTGTTAAACTGCCATTTATTGGTGGCTTAATAGCTGCTCTCAGTTCATCACACATTATGACTTCAAACAAACAAATTAATTGGTCAATTTTTATAATTATTATTGGTTATATTATTCATTTATGTTTTAGAGATTAAATATTAGATGTTATTTAATAATTGAAATGTTTTTATAGATGTTAAAAAAGAAATTATTGGAAATTGATCATAAAAATTCTTCAATATGAAATATTTCTTTGAGATAATCATCAATTTAAGAACTTTATCTAAAATTATAAAATAATATATCATTAAAAGTTATTTTCTAATTTTGGTATTTTGACTTTTCAGGCAAATTTTTTTTTATTTGATGGAAGTTTTTATTCATCCTCAAGCACTTCTTCAAATTGCTGATCACACAACACGCTCCAAATACTTTTCAGAAAATATAAAGTACATTTGTGGCGTAATTTATGGAAGACAAGAAGGATCTGATTTAGAATTAACATCCACTATCGAAATCAACTTTATTGAAGAAGGATATGAAATTAAAGTCAATCCAAAAACATATGAGCCATTAAATAATCATCATTTAAAGTTATATCCAGAAGAAATTCCATTGGCTTGGTATTCATGCCAAGATTTACCAGAAAGCGAGATTTCTAAAATTAACAATGCATTTGCCGAAATATTTAAAGTTTATCTTCGCATTCATTTTAAGAATGAAGAAAATCCAATTGATGTGTTCCTTCTTTCTGAAAATGAAACATGGATACCAACATCATACTCATACAAAACAGAAGCACCTGAAAGAATCGCACTTATTCACTTACAATCTGATGGAAAAGCAGAAAATAGAATTGAATTCACTAAAACTGCTTTCAGGGTTCTTGATTCCCACATTGACAAGATTCTTTCATATCTTGAAAATGTAAAATCTGGCAATAAACCTTTCAATTGCGAATTAGTACGAAAATGCGCAACAATCGCTAAATGGTGGAAGCATAGCCATATGAAGAAACAACCAACTAGACTTGTCACAGCTGGTGAGCTTTCTTACATCACAGGAATCCTTGCTGAAACTTATATCGAACTCGAGTCTAAATACAAGAAGAATACGCATTAATATAGCAATTTCTTCTATAAAGCACAAAGTTTTATATTGTTTGCGATAAAATAATAAATAAAATTGGTTTTTATTTTTTATTTTTGTTTAAAATTTTTCCAAAAAATGATTATTATTGGGGATAATCTGTTCGATCAAATTCCTCATAAGATTTACATTGTTATTTTATAGTGTTCCATGAGTTTGGTTATATCCAACACTCAATCAAAATTAAGAAATACATTTTTCTCAATTTAAAGGTTCATCTTTACCCTTGAATATGTTTTAATGAATATATATAGTTTTGTGGCTTTTAATTTAAAGTTATAATACTCAAGAACAGCTAAATTTGTGACAAGAATTATACATACTTCAATAAAATGTTTTCTGACTTTTATATTTTGGTCAATCTAAAGCGATCAGAAATAGTTTTAATTTGAAATTCTAAAATTAAACTATACATAACATTTTAGTCGCAATAATTCTACAACAATTAATATAATATTTTAAATGGCATGCGGTTCATTGATATGATCAGAAAGCCAAAGCCTATTGGCTAACTTTAATAAACTATTAACTTCGATATCATGCTTTTTCTGCAATGCGCACATAGTTGAGATGAAGTCATCTGGTCTGAGCTCATAAGTGAAGTGGACCAAATGAGAAACTGCGAGATAATATGAATATTCTATAAAATTATAAAAATGAGCAAATAAAGAATCCCAAATCAAAACAAGTTTGTTTAGAGCGTAATCCTGAGCGAAAAGTATGTTTAGCCATCGTAGGGCAAAGTTAATTGGTGGAATATTAACTTTAATAATGATACTTGCGGCGTAAGAATGATGTTTTGATAAAACATTCATAAATTTGGCCATTTTGGCTAGTATAAAACTCGAATGATCCTTTGTTATATATAAGTCTCCTAATTGAGTCACTGAAAATAATTGTTGAAACATAAAGAAAACCATGGCTTCGACCTTTGAATAATCATTATCGAAAAAATCTGCAGCGGAAGAGAAAACATAGTATAAAGGACAAATGATTTCATTAAATCCTTGAATGTAAGCAAGGCCTGCATTGAGTTTACCAAATACATATAAGGCTCTTTCTACTCTTCGTATATGTCTTGAAAATGGTATTAAAGTGCTGTTTTTTGGGTTTGGAATTGATGGATCTGGATTAGGAAAACAAGTAATTTGATTTCCGGTTCGTACGATATCTCTATGAATAACATCCATTAACTTATTATCTGGTAAACCGAAATTTGATTCAGAATTCTCGAAAATTTGTTCTTCGAATTTTTCGATATGGAATGTTCGAATGTAAGCCATATAGTCTTTATAGTGGAGTAAAATCTGATCCTTCCATTCACTTGGAGCTGGAGATACTAATCCTGAAGTGATCATCCATGCTAAACATCTATCAGTATTAGTACAATTATGAAGTCCTAGTGACAATTCTTTTCTAAGATTGTGCATGTCAATATTTTTATTGTTTGGTTGGGGCTTAAATAGTTCCTCCCTTTCGAAACCCATCTCAATAAAAAAATTTTTTTTAGTTATCGATTCTGAACAATCTTAACCATCAACTACTAATGGGTAAATTATGATTGAATGATGATAAGGTATCCTTGTTTATACTTAACATCATTGGGTTCATTGTAATTTTGGAGATTTCCAATATGAGAGTATTTTTTAATTTTTCTCCAATTGATATGATGGATTTTATAAACATGCATCATATTGATATGTTATGAATTGTTTCTCTCAAATTATATTTAATTACAACAAATTTTCAAGAATTTAGATCCGGAATCAAATAGCGAATATGTAAATACCTCAGATAGAATGTGACAAAACCGACCACATAATCATATCGGAATCAAAGCAAAAATTAATTTAAATTATCCTCAATAAGATGTAAATACAAGCTTATATCACTTTAGCGTATGATTATATGGTGATATAAATTGATGTAAAAGATTAGTAAGAGAATTTCTATTAAATAAATCGAAATTTGATAAAATTTATCAACAAACTGAATAATTATATGTATAGATCGATGCATCGACTTGTAATGAAAGGTGGCATAACTATTATAGTATGAAAATTTGAGTCAATACGAATAATAAGCGGAATTTCTCATAAGAACAATTTGATCAGCGGTAAAATAACGAACAAATTGGTTGATACGAATTTTAGACAACATAAACGTGGAATACAACAAACATAGATAATTACAGCTAAGGGTTTCGTTTTGCGAAAAAAACGTACAATACGCAATTTCGCTAAAAAAACATTTAGCTAGCAATTTCGACATTTGACTCCACTCAAGACGTCACTTTTTTAATTTTGCGGTATCATATTTTTGGAAAATCTTTATGAATATTATATGAAAAGTCTCTTTAATATCTATATTTCATATTTTTATCGATTTTTAAAGTTTTTGCGAAAAGTATTCAATTATTTTTGCTATTTGGTCGGGGAAATGTCAGATTTGCGACATTTTCTGATATGATATTCAGATTCTACGTTGATAATAATGCTTATAGAACCCTCTTGCTATTGTGTCAAAATTGCGAAACCGATAGCAAAAATATCTCGCAATATCAAAATTGAGATATTGAGTGAATTATGCATTATAGAGATTAAAAATCTGATTTGTGAAAACATCTCATCAGTTTCTAGCTAATTCAAAAATCTTTACTATCTTATTCGATTAAAATGAAAAGGGAATAGTTTCATTATGCTTTAAATGACAGCCTTATAATATAATCATAGTTTTCGCTCAATATGCAGCATTTTTTTTTCGAAATCTATGGTCAATATCCTAAATACTGATTGCTTTGCATTCATATCTCTTACAGTTTCTATACCCACATCACTATTCATTGCTATTCCTATCTTTTTCATTTTTGTTTGTTTCTCATAATTTCTCAAAAAACACGATAACTTGATATTTGTAAATATCATACTTTATAACGTAAATAAGAACTTGACCTATTAAGAAAAGCAGTAATGAAAAGAAAATCTGAAATTCATAAAAATTACAAGTTTCTGATGACAATTAGCTTAATTAAACCAGGCACAAGATTATATAATTGTATTTTCTATCCAATTATCCATATAATATCTTATCCAGAAAAAATAACTTGATCAATACCAAATGATTTTTTAACTAGTAAATAAAGTATTTTCTTTACACACACATTGTATATCATAGTTTTTTTTGGTTTCGCAAAACATCCAAAAACAAATATGCTATAAAAGTGACAATTTTAGCAAAACGAAACCCTTATTACAGCAGATTTCGAATTGAAAAACGCAAAAGACATTAGAGAAATTTTTGGCGGGCAAGTATTCAAAATTTTTAATGGGGCGAAATTGGAACGATCAGGAGGATGAAACCCTGAGATCAATGGTCGCCACCCATGGGAAGCAATGGGCCCTAATTGCTACGTTTATACCAGGACGCACAGCTTCTCAAGTCGCAGCCAGATGGGAAAAATGCATTGACCCAAATATTACAAAAGGACCATTTACACCTGACGAAGATGCTTTAATTATCGAGTTTGTTGCAAAGAACGGTCCGCGCAGCTGGCCTAGAATTACACAATTAATCCCACAACGCTCTTCAAAGCAATGTCGCGAAAGATGGTTTAATCACTTAGATCCGAACGTTGTTAAGCAAGCCTGGACTCCAGAAGAAGATAATACGATTTATACACAACATCAATCTTTAGGACCTAAGTGGTCTCTAATTGCTAAAATGATACCTGGTAGAACAGATAATGCAGTTAAAAACAGATGGAATTCTTCAATCTCAAAGAGAATTCAAAAAGATGCTAATGGTAACGAATATTTACTCCCAGATTCATCAAAAAGAGCGCATAAAACAAGTAAATCACAGAAAGAAAGGCCACCGCCAATTCTTACAACAGCTCCACCAAAACCTCCGGCCTTGGAAATTCCTCCACCTCAGCCAGCAAACCAATTGCAACCAACACCATCTTTGGATACAAACTTAATATCACCATCAATTCCATTTACTCCGTTTACTTCCACAACGCCTTCGTTTACTGGTGGAGATGGTACAATATTCTCGCCTACTTCACCGATGCCAGGATTTCAAACGACCCCTGGTGCTTTTGGCGGTTTGATGTCGCCAATTACACCTGGATCGAATTTCCTGCTCTCTCCTACTACTCCCATGAAACAAGATTTTGGCGAAGCCAATATCTTTAAATGAAAAATTAATGTTCTTACTCCTACTAAAAAGTATTATATTTATTTTGGATGTGCTTACCCAAATAACGTTTTTTCGAATTTCTTATTTTCCATAAATCTCGCTCAAAAATATCATTACTTTATGGTTGGAATCGTCGCTAATAGAAATTAACACTTTTCTTTTCATCCCCAATCTTCCATAATTTCTGAACTGATTAAATTTAAATAATAGCTATATTAACATAATAGCAATGAATTTTTTATGAATTACGCAATGGAATTTCTTTATAATATCTCAGATTCGAATCAAAATGTATGTTATCATTTTAGCCTGTGCGTTATTCCTATATTGGAACCAATAACAATATGAGAGAAAAGCAATTTCATAATCAATTACCAATGGTTTCAATATGCTGCAGCATTTGAATTAATTAAAAGCAATAAAGCATTGATTTTCATATGAAAATCCAATAAAAATGTGTGTACTTGCTAATTTTGCTTGAGTAAAAGCTTAAGTAAAACACAATAAAAATTTAAACGTTCACCGCTCAATAAAAATAATATGGAAGAAATTGACTTAGATTCATGCTTTAATGAAGAAGAAGCAGATAAACAAACACAAGAAGAGGAAGCTAGTAATGAGTGCGACATTCAAAATCTTCAATTACAAAATACACGACTTCAAGAAATAAATTCAAACCTTCAAACTTCTATTGATGGATTAAAAAATCAATTAAAAGAAGCGTTAGATACTGTAAATTCAAGGCAAGCGATATCTACTCAAAATCAGCAGCTCAAAACACAATTGAAAGAAGAGAAAGATAAAAATACGCAATTAACGCAACAAATTAAAGATATTTCAACAAACAATGAAAACGAAATAAAGAAATTAAAACAAGAAATCACTGAACTTCAAGTTACGAAATCACAACTCGAAAATGAGCTTGATTCTTTGAGCGGGCAGAAAAATAAGTTACGTATTGAAAAGAGAGCATTAAGAAAAGAACTTGATGATAAAGATATCGCTATTGAGACTCTTCTTAATCAAGTTGAAAAATTCAAACTTTACAAGAAGAAACTTCAATCAAAGAGCCAAGATATGACAGCAGCAATAGCATCTTTACAAAAGGATTTAGATCAAAATGCAATTGCACTCAAAAAAGAGCAATCCGAAAAATCTGACGCGATTAAAGATATTGAAACGCATAAATCTAAGATTGAGTATCAAAATAAATTCATTGATGACTTAAAATCTCAAATACTTAGTCTCAGAAATACATTAACAACAAAAGAAAGTGCTTTATCTCAGATTGAAGAGAATCTTAATGAGCAAGAGGCAGAAATCGAGAAATTAGCTAAAGATAAACAGAAATTTGTCGAATTACTTCAAAAACAATCAACAATCTTAACAGTTTCGGAAATGAGAATTGAATCTCTTCAAAAAGAGATCCATTCTCTTCAGAATAAGCTTGAACAAAAATCTGCTAAAGATGCAGCTAAAGCATACGATACTTCTTCTCTTGAAATTCCATTTGAAGGAGAATTGAAATCTGATTGCGAAACAGTATTGAAAACAACTCAATTACAACCTATGCAACGAGTTCAGAAGATATTTAATGATGTTGCTGTTTATTTATCTCAAGTTGAAACAGAACTCAGAAATCTCAAAATTTCGCAAGATGAAATTAAAGAAAAATCGCATAAGAATGAAGAAAAGGCAGAGTTGTTTAGACAGATATTGCAATCAATCTTAAAAGATTTCAAATTGCTCACTCTTTCAGAAACTAATGTTAATCAAGCCGCAAATTGCGAAAATGATGATAAACTCATTACATTCATGACACAAAAATGTTCTGAAATTGATCCTCTTATCAGAGAAAAAGTCATGAGAGATAATCATTTTATTTCGGATGATTTCTTCTTTACAAACGATGTTGCAAAGAAGAAGAAAGAAATTCAATCAATTGCAGAACAATCTGGACCAACATTTGCTATTCTTACTGCACAATTTTTGTCCAATGAAGTTCTTCAAAATGAATTATTGAAATATACAACTCTTCAAGAGAAACATTCTTCAGAAGATTCCGTTACAGAAGAAGAGAAGAAAGATAAAATGGAGCAAAATATAATTGAAAACCAGCAATTACAACAACAAGTAGAAGACATCACTAAGCAATTAAACAACTACAAATCAAAGGCCAAGAAATCATTAAACTCACAAATGGAACTTCAAAAGGCTGACATTGAACAGAAAGCGCAGATCAAACAACTTCAAATTCAAGTTGATAATTTGAAATCCGAACTTGATGTAGCAAATATGAAGTTACAAGTTGCACAGAATGATATCGAAGCTAAAGAACATGAAAAATCAGAGTTGATTGAACAATTTAACAATCAATTAGCTCAAAACATCGAAGAAGCTGTTAAATCTAAGGTAGAAGAGATTGAACAACTTAATACTATTCTCAAACAGACACAAATTGACAATGCATCAGCTATTCTCCAGAAGAACAAACAAATCAAGAAGCAAGAAGAGCAATTTAGACGTGAAATTGGAAATCTCCAAGATCAAATTGGAGCAATCGTTCAGAAGACAGAAGAAAAGAGAAAGAAACAAAGAAGAAATCAGAAATTACTCGAACAACAGCATCAAAGTACAATAAACGAAATGAATGCTGGCTTTGAATTAATTAAACAGAATATGAATCAAGTCATTGAACAGCTTAAAGAAAAAGTTCAACAATCAAACAATTCCATAGAAAAGCTTAGTCAGCAACTTAACCAATGTGAAAATGAAAACAAAGTATTAAAGACTGAAAATGAGAATTTAGCAAATTCTCAGAAGAAACTTCAAAGCGAATTCAACGTAATGAAGAACCAAATAGGAAAGGAACGTCAGCAAATAAGTGGACAACTTGCAGCACAAACTATGGTATATGAAGCTAAGATACAGAAAGCAGTTAAAGAGGCAAAAGATAGCGCTGATAAGAAGATCAATGAATTTCTTGAATATTCTTACAGTAAATTCAACGGATTTTATGATATCGATGGCGGAGAATTTGGAGAAGAATCATTCAAGCAGCTTCTAACAATGATCAAAAGTGATCTTGAGAAGCTCAATTATTTCCAAAATGAGGCAACCAAATTCACACCAATCAAATAATTCATAGTTTTTATTTATTATTTCATCTTTTTTGTTTTGATATTTTTAGTTTTTATTAAAATCGATTTCTATTCAGTTTTATTTCCGAATTTGTGTATGTCCTTTAACATCCCTTAAGGATCAGTATCTTTCTGACAATACTTTATCGAAAGTGTTAGTAAATTAAACAAGATTTATAAATTTCAATATGATTATTGAAAGAAATACTAATAAAACTAAAATACTAACGATGGATCTTTATTTTAGATATACACAAAGATAAAAAACTTGGTTTCATTATGAAATAATTTTTTATTTCAGAAATAACGGCCTCAAAATTATAATTTAAAGTTATCGAATTTTAACAATGCCAATGGTATGTATTTTTTTCATCATTTGAGAAAAATTTTTTTAAAATTTTCCATTTTTTGAAAATGTTGTTTTTATATTCTCTTTTATCTGCGTCGACTGTTTCCGAAGGCAATATGAAGCCCAATACTAAGGCTGAAGTTCTGTTAGACTTTGGCTTTGAAAACCAAGGAAAATTTAAATTAGTCGTTGATGCTCCGAATATTACAGGTACCAAAGCGATCCTAATGAACAAGCTACAGTATGATAAGAAACGTAAACAAATTGATACATTCCAAAAATATTGCAATAAAAATACTTCAACTAAATTTATCTCGCATACTTACGATACTATACAAGGTAATAGTTTGCTTATACATATTCAAGATCCTGAGATTTATTATCCTATAATTATAAACTGCAACAATATTTCGTTAGACTATGTCGTCTTTTACGAGAATCCGAACACTTATGTTGACTATCGAGAAAAGAATAACGTATATGTTGCAACATTTAGCTGTATTGTCGAATTTTTGATCACAATTTCTTGGTATTACAGAACCCAAGCAAAAAAATGTACAAATGTTGATTTATTCGATTCTTTTATGTTCGGAAGCTTCCTTAAAAGTATTACAAGCCTAATTTCTGTGATTTACTGGACAAATTTAAGTTTTGCATTAAATATTAGTCCAAATATACAGCGCATTGTCGAGATTGTCAATTTTGTTGGTAATACTTTCGTTTTTATACCAATAATGTATACAATCAACGGAATGAGTTTAATCGATTTAAATAACGCATCTTTTCAAAAACTATTAGCCAACTTAGCATTTGCTGGATACTCCGCGACCAAATACTTCAGAGCTTATTTGAATGGATACATGTATTACGTAATGTTCATTGTTGAAGTCCTTCCTATCATTGTATGCAGTTTCTACATGAAAACTAATCGTATTATATTTGATTTGATATCGGATATACACAAAAACAATGAAAAAATGAAGCCAAAATGTGATCAATTAAATATAATTCTTAACAAGATAACTGTTTTGTTATATAATGTATTAATGTTAGATATACTTGCTGTTGTATTCCATTTAACACGTTTTTATTTGACAATGGAATTAGAAGTTATAATTTGTTTAATTTCTTTTTCATGTTTATACATTTTCTGGAATCATTTTGATTGTTTCGAATCCTCTGGAGATTATTTTGATAGCCAAGACCCATTTGATATTATAACTATTAGATTATCACAAATTATTGAACAGATGGGAAGAGACATGAAAGCAAATCAAATGGATAAATGTTTGGAAGGAATAAATGAATACGAAAATCTTATTGATAAATACAATACTTTGGCTGAGATGTTGCATCAACCTAAGTTCCCTGATAACTACAGACTTAAAGAAATGTTTAAACAAGACTTGCAAAAATGTGTTAAAAAATTAATGAATGAACAAAAAAGTGACACGCATCAAAATTTGAATAAACAAAAAAGTGACGGACATCAAAATTTGAATGAAAATAAACAAAAATCAAAGAATTCAAATAAAAATGAAAATGATGTTAATAAGTTACTTGATAATTTTGTTAAAGATGGGCAGCTTAAAGATGATCAATTGAAGAAAGCTATTGATGATTTCGTTGAGGATAAACTCTTGAAAAATCCTCAAAATCAACAAAAAAGTGACAAACATCAAACAAAGAATGAAAGTCAAGAAAAATCTACAGGTACTACTGAACAAATAGAAGAACTTCAGAAGAAGAGAGACAAAGAACTTGAGATACTCCAAAGTATTCCTTTGCATAGTAATGATAATCAGCTTGAATCAACAATAATAAATAGAAATAATATGCAGAATTTGGATGAATTCATTAATAGTAAAGGAGAATCTGAAATTGAGCAGATGGACTTCGTTGCTGGAAAAGACAGAAGTTTGAAGTTTAATCACAAAAGAAAGAAAGTTCTTGAAGAATACAAAGATAGGAATATTGGTCGCTGCTACATTTGCTAACTAAAATTAAAAATTACTTCTAATACATTTTTTATTTTTATATATTTATTGCTCGACCCTTGAAAGTCAAAAAGTTGTATTGTAATGTCTGCACGTTCAATGTTATTCTATAATTTGCTTCCTAATGATCGTGATAAGAATGGAATGAATTCAATTTTTGCAACTAGTATTAAAAAGCTTTAAGGGTGCACTTACTCCCCTGCGACAGGGCCTTCAATTCAGATGTTTAAGGTTGAATTTCAACGTGCTTCACGCAAGTCAGATGGGCGTAAGTTCACCCTTTAAAATAAATGAAAATATGTTTTAGAAATTAACTAGTTAATTAAATTTTTAAATGATTTGATATTATAGTAAATTACATGATTATCATAGGGGTAATAAATAGAAGGAACATCAATCTATTCTGATTTGCGCATGCTGATATAAAAATAGGAACGGGACTAAAGAGAATTGTAAAATCAGAAATTAAATTTGTCGTAAAGTCGGTAACTTCTAAAGAATTTGAAAGTGTAGTGTTATCAGTTTTAGAACTTAAAATATGGGATGTTGTAGTAATACTATCATCAATGATCAGTAGAGTTGGAAAAGAATTTTGAAAAATGCATATATTTTGGTATAAATGGGCATATCGCACCATGTTTAACAAAGCAGTTTTGCATTTATTTTGAACGAAATTGACATTTATTGTCAGATTTAATTTGGCATTTTCTCTTGAAGCCATGAAATAAGTACTCATTAATGAGTTGTTTATCAAATTAGAGTTTGAAACTCTGTACAGAATTGGATTGTTTCCGACAAAAATAGCTCCATTTCCTAGAGGAGAGTTGTAATTGCTTACATTAATTTCTGTCATTTGAGTTGATCCGAAGTTCGGATTCAATCCAGAATTGGAATTTTTACAGGAATCACAAGAAATATGATCATATATTTGCATGCTATCAGAACGAGAGACGGTAATTCCAATGTTAGTTGAAGAGCAATTAAAAATTGAATTAAATTCAAATTTAAAAATTTTGCCGTCAAAACCAACAGTTGATGGAGTTCTTGTATTGACAAAATTCATCGTTCTGGAACTATTACAAGATGAAAAGATGCATGATTTAACAGATAAATCGATTTGTTGTTCAACAAAAATTGGACAAGTATTATGATTCTCGAAAACAGAACTAAAGACTTCGAGGTCATGATTTATTCCTTGAATATCATTATTGTAGCTTTGGAATCGAAGTGTCATTTAAATCTACTCATTCAAAGAGAAAACCAACAAATCTTATTCTGGCACTTTTCAAAAATTTAATAGAATAGATTAACCTTTTTTATACTCTGTAGAGAACTAATATGCATATTGTTCTTCGATTTGGCGAAAGCATTAATTGTCATTGCTTAATCTGCCAGAAGAATCCTCAAGCAAAACTCTCCCGGAAAAATAAAGTATCAAAAAGTGATGATATCAAGGTAGAAATCTCACAAAATTAGATTGGAATTTTTAAAAGATTATAAAATGATAATTACATTAATAAAATGAATGAAATTAAAGCGTGTTTGACAAACACAGACTGAGATGTATATTGGAACTGGACTGAAAAGAATAGTGAAATCTGGAACTAAGTTCGTTGTAAAATCTGTTACTTCTAAAATATCCGACAATGTACTATTATCTGTTAAAGAATCTATTATAGTATATACAGGGCTAACACTATCATCTGCAGTAACTAAAGTTGGGAATGTATTTTGAAAAATACATAAATTTTCATACAAATGAGAATTTTGCCATAAGTGCAATAATGAAGTATTACATTTATTGTTTATAAAATTGGCATCAATTGTTATATTTTCTGTGGCTTTGTCTCTAGAACTAGGGAAATAGGCAGATTGCAAAGAGTTGTTAACGATGTTAATAAGTGAAGCTCTATATGCTATTGGATTATTTCCAATAAAGATCACCCCGTTTCCTCTTGCTGCAACAAAATTAGAAATATTAATTTCTGATAAACTACATGATCCGCTATTTGGATTTAATCCAGAAATCGATTTTGAGCAGGAATCACATGAAATGTGGTCATATGTTTGTAATTTATCAGAACGTGAAACTGTTGTACCAATGTTCGTTGATGAGCAATGATAAATTGAAATGTATTCAAATTTAAAAATTTTGCCGTCAAAGCCAACAGTAGATGGAGTTCTTGTTGAAATGAAATCCATGGTTCTTGAACTACTACATGTAACAAAGGAGCATGTAATAACAGATAAATCGATTTGTTGCTCAACAAAAATTGGACAAGTAATTTGGTATTCAAAAACAGAACTAAATACTTCAATATTATGATTAGTTCCTTGAACATCATTATTGTAGTTTTGGAATCTAAGTGTCATTTGAAACTACTTACTTGAATCGTGAAATGAGTGCCAAACCTTTGAATGTGTCACTTTTCAATAAAAAATAAAAATTTCAAATATTTTTATTTTGTCTCACATTTCACTCAATATATGGATGCCGTTTTGCTAATACTGTCACTTTATAGAACTAATTTAAAAAAGTTTTCCATCGAATTAAGAAAAGACCCACGCCTTCTACTCCGACTTTTCTAGAGGCAAAACCATATAAAATATCATGAATATCAAGTTTAAAAAGTGAAAAATAACATGAATTATGAATTTAGATAAAGCTTTTTGCATATAATTTTTCCACAAAGCGATATCCTTACTTAAAATCTAATAACTCTATGAGATGAAACAGAACAAATAACAAATAAAAAAAATGAAATAAATACTAATTCAAACTTGAAATCATATTCTATGCGTCAGTCTCTCAAGATTTAAGTGAATTAAATAGGTTTACACCCATTAATATTTTCATTTATAACCGATAATTCTAAACATGCTGGAGAATATCTGTTTATTAAGTTTATAGAATGATAATTACATTAATAAAATGAATGAAATTAAAGCGTGTTTGACAAACACAGACTGAGATGTATATTGGAACTGGACTGAAAAGAATAGTGAAATCTGGAACTAAGTTTGTAGTAAAATCTGTTATTTCTAAAATATCCGACAATGTATTATTATCTGTTAAAGAATTTATTATAGTAAAAATTAGATTTGCATTATTTTCTAAAGCAATTAAAGATGGAAATGTATTTTGGAAAATACATAATTTATCAAACAATTGACATGTTCGCCAAATGTACAATAGAGCGTTTCCACATTCATTTTTTATAAAATTGATATTTGTCGTCAAATTTTCAATTGGGTTTATTCTAGATGTAATAAAATAACAGGTTGAAAAAGAGTTATTAACAAAATTTATTAAAGATACTTTGCATGCAATATGATTATTTCCAACAAAAATAGCACCATTTCCGCTAGAAGAAACAAAATTAGAAATATTTATCTCGGAATACGTACATGAACCAAAATTTGAGTTCAGACCAGAAATTGATTTCGAACAAGAATCACATGAAATATGGTTAAATGTTTGCAACTTGGTCGAACGCGAAACGGTAGTGCCAATCAGATTTGAAGTGCAATTTTGAATAGAAATATATTGGAATTTAAAAAATTTTCCGTCAAAGCCAACAGTGGATGGGGTTCTTGTAGAAATAAAATACATTGCTCTGGAACTAGTACATGTTGTAAAAGAACATGAGATAACGGATAAATCAATTTGTTGTTCAACAAAAATTGGACATGAAATCTGATTTTCAAAAACAGAATTAAAAACTTCAATATCGTGATTAGTTCCTTGAACATCATTGTTGTAATTTTGGAATCTAAGAATCATTTGAAACTACTGGCTGGAATTACAAAATGATAGTCAAATTTAGTTTTTGACACTTTTCAAGATTTGAAATGAACGATAAAAATAAATTAGAATAGAAAACTATTTATAATAGAATAAAAGGCATAATATATTGGAATAAAGCTTGACTACTTCTAGTTAACGATACAGAGCAATAAAATACTGAAGGACTATACTGGATTGTAAAGTCAGGAATTGAGTTTGTTGTAAAATCGGTTTTTGTAAATGTTGTTACAAAATTATCATTATCTGTAAAGCAGTTCAGAAAAGTATATGTAGGAGATTTATCAGTTTGTAGCAAGCTCGGACTTATACATCCAAATATACAAATATTTTCTAATAAAAGTACGTGTTGCCAAAATTTAAAAACGCTTTGACTATAATTTGAATTTACAAAATTGACAAATTTTGATACTTGGGTATTTGTTTGATCAATCGATGCAACAGAATATCCTGCACTTTGATTATTGTTAACTAAGTTAACATGAGTAACAGAATATTTGGATGGATCGTTTCCAAGAAAAATGGCTCCGTTTGGTTTAGATGAAGTAAAAGATGTCAGATTTATGTTTGACAAACTGCAATCATACAGCCGCCAGTTTTTGTTTCGCATTGATCAAAAGAAATATGATCATAATCTTGTGTTTGATTTGTGAATGATACAACAACACCCATATTGGCAGAAGTGCAATTTTTGACCATTAAAAATTCACCTTTAATACAATTGCCGTTAAAACCTAGAGCAGAAGGTGTTCTGGAAGTGAGAAATTGCAAGGGTTTCGAGCTGTAGCATGATAGTATGAATGAATTACCAACGAATAAATCGATGTATCGCTCAATAAGAATTGGACATGAATTTTGATTTTCAAAAACAGAGTAGAAGATCTCAATATTATGTGTGTCATTTTCTAATGCGTTGTTGTAATTCTGAAATCTAAGAGTCATTTAAAAAGAGAAGCATATCCCAATAAAACTTATAAGGTTTGAATAAACTGGCACTTTTTTAAACAATAAAATAATTTCATATTCAAGTTATTGATGAATTTGTAGGTGTGTGTGATTTAAATGCATCGTTTTTCATGAAAATCACTATTGTTTCAATTCTTTTATCCGAAAATTAGCAATTTACGCCTGTTAATAGTCAAGTATCGAGTATACAAAATAAGGGAAAAGCACTTTTAGTCAGGTGAAGCATTAAGGCCATAATTTGAAATGAATACAGACAAAATTAGAAGTTTTTTATTAAATTTGTTTATTTTATAAATATTTCCTTATAATTATAATTAAATGTTCATCGGTAATAAATATATCTTCTTTTATTTCAGATTGATTAAATTAACAATTGCATAATGAAATATGCTATCCGCCAATCGGTTCTGCATCGAAAATACATTAAGCATTTTAAAAGGAATGTGATGGCTTATACTCATTATTTATTTAGTCGGATTTAAATCCGTTAGAAAATAGAAGTCATAGCATAGTATAGTATTTTAATAAGTAAATTACAACACATGGTATATGGTTAATGCTGCCCTCTTGGAACAACATCAATAATTCCAGGAATATGGTTTTTACCAACGGTTTCAAGTTCAGGTAAGTAGCGAGGCTGCTTCCAACTGTATGACTGTTGCGGATACATTGGAGAAATTTGAGGTTGATTTGGTAAATATGTTGATTGCTGAGATTGTAGTCGCATCATAGATTGTTGATTAGCCATCATTTGCTGGTCGTACATAAGCTGTTCAACTAAGAATTTAGCTTTTCTACCTTTTTTTCTGATTCTTTTTTTCTTGTAGTTGACTTCTTCTGGGTCGGATGAATAGTTACTTGCATAGTCTTCTTTCACATCGGGATCTTCCGGTGTCCATTGATCGTTTGGGTTGCCGTCGCTATCATCTTCATCAACGGCATGCGCTCCATGCCGTGAAGCTTTAGAGCTATTGGCGTGTCTGCGCATGCTGGAATGTATCGTGAAAAATAGAATTGTATTTGAATTTTGATAGTTTTAACTTGATTATTTAGTTTTCAAAATATTATCGAACCTCTCAAATTATATTGTATAACTCAGAATTTTTTGTGAGCGGTATTAAGAAATTCTATTAGTTATTCAAAATTTAGTTGTTTTAACATTTGACATTTCGATTTGGATAAATTTTTAATGTTGAACGATGACTAATTAGATCAAAAATTTAACTTGAAAAATCGGTTTAAATTCAGTCCTTTAAAATCTTTGCGAAAATTTAAAAATATGGAATGTCTGAAAAAGAAGAATGCGTCTTTCGATTTAAACGATATGCTATTTTTTGACACTTGTTGTCGTTTTTTATCCGCGCTAATCGTTTTAATTGGATTGGTAATCATAGTAATGTTAATGAGGTAAATAATTTCAAAAATGATAAGTGTTCAATTAAAAATTTTCACTCAAAATTGGCCATTCATGTCATCCTCCTTTGGATAACAACGCATTATAGCTTGCAATTCAAAATTGTCTAGTGAAATGTCAAGAAAATGACGATCCAACTGAATAATTTGCTTTTGAATTCCCAGATAATTTTATTCGATTTTTCAGTTATTTTCTGATATTAAATATATATCTGATGCAGTTTTAAAAAAAAAAAAAAGGTAGTGGGGCTTCCAGGCACTTCGTGCCCTCTAGCCCCGAAGATGTTTAGTATAAATGAAGTTTTTATTCGGAAAATTGTTAGTCTTCTGGTGTGAATTCAGAGGACTCTTCTTCTTCCTCCATTGCTTCTGGGAAGAAGCCTTCTTCTGGGTCGAAAACATTATATAATGTGTCGCTTTTCACAAATTATATATGTTTTCATGTTTTGTCACTTTTCTGTCACTTTTCAGGTAAAAACATTTTTATTATTATATATAAATGAATTTTACAAAACCACCGTTACCGTTCTTTGGAAATAAGAGTAAATGTAAAGATATTATATTGAGAGAACTTAAGAAACTACCGAATGGTCTAACATTTGTAGATTTGTTCGGTGGAAGTTTCTATATATCCCATTTGTGCCATACAATATTCCCAGACTCAAAGATTATATGCAATGACTTCGACAACTATATGGACCGTCTCAAACATATTCCAGACACAAACAAAATATTGAGTGAGTTAAAAGAAAAGATACCTATAGGTAAGATGGAACGTATACCATTAGATAACAAAAATATTGTGAGAGAGGTTTTGAAAAAAGCAGAATATATAGACTGGGATAGTATATCTGCTAGACTATTATATAGTGGTTCTATAAGAGTTCATGACATTGAAACACTTATGTCAAAAGTTTTATATCTTAACTATACAAATGTTTTCAAAGAGGACATAGAAAAATATATTGAAGGTATAGAGTTTGCGAGATGTTATTGGACAGAGTTGTATGAAAAATATAAAGACAAGGAAAATGTTTTCTTTATAGTGGACCCGCCGTTCTATAACACATGGGATTTTCAATACCAAGTAGACTGGACTTTGAGAGACTCTTTAAAAACTTTAGACGTTATACATAACCATCCATGCTTTTACTTTACATCCGATAAAAGTGGTTTGGAAACCGTTATGAGATGGTTAGAGGACATACATGACTATGAGTTTAGATATGACAAGATAGAATATGAGAGAGGTCCTATAAACCGGAGAAAGTGTCATAACAAAGAAATTTTATTAGTAAGTAAATGTGGTTTGAAATAGGACTACTTGTTTTAGGTTTTTTCCATTGTGTCATTTATTTATTTGACGTGGCAGAAAAGTACAGAGAATATGAAGATGAACCAATGCCTGCAAATGTTCAGTATATGTACTCGTAAGAGATATTTTTATCTAATATTAAATGGACGCACAGAACTTAGCGAATGCACAGCAACCTGGACAACCAAACCCAGAGAATATTCCAAATGAAGTTAGAATACAAACTGCAATGGCAAACTATGGTCAAGTGCCAACAGATGTACAAATGCAAACTGCCATGTCAAATGACGCTGCGTTAGGTTTGCCACCATGGTATGCAAATATGAGATGGAAAGAGTTTTATACAAACCCTGAAGTGGGATATAAACAACTTTATGCAGATGACGCGAACACAGGAGTTGACCCAGAATATGTTTTCTACCAGAGGAGAAACAGAATGTATGAGCTCCAGTTAAAGAATGCTATGGAACTCAACAGGAAACGCAAAAGACTAGGCGGACATTAGATTTTTACATATAGTAAAATGGGTTTCTTCAGTAAGATAGGAAACTTCTTTCGAAATGTTGGAAGAGGTATATGGAATGGAATAAAAACCGTAGGAAGAGGAATTTGGAACGGTGTCAAAAATATTGGTAAAAGGGTAGGTCAGTTTGTTGGTATTATACCTAAAGACCCTGAACCAGAAGAGCAAGCTCCTGTTATACAACAGCCTGAACCTGCACCACAGTCTAGTTGGCAACCAAATCCAACACCTCAACCGTATTAAAAAATTATATTTTTACCGTTCGATAGTAGTTGTATATGAAACTAAGTTCTAAGTAAAACGCATGGTATAATGGAATTATTCTTTTTCTTCCATCTGTAGTAAACCATACTTGAAAGTCTGAAATACTTCCACTTGGTGGTTCGTATAACTTTGTAGGTTTTTCGTAAAAGTCATTCATCAGACATAAGAAAGAGTTTTGGGCGCCAGAAAATGAAGCATGAACAATAATAGCATCTGGGTCGAAAATATTTTCATATGTTCCATTAGGGTTTTCGACTTCATAAAAGTCTGGGTGTACTGGATATGCTGCAGGCTGATTTAACATCCTCATAAATCTATACCATGCCAAGTTGTTATATTTTGTAGAAATATAAACGTTTTCTCCAAGGTCTTCTATTCTATTGATTTTAACAGTTGCATTTTTCCTGTCATAAATAATATCGAGATGGTATTCTCCCTCGTCAATGTTATACTGTTTTGCATATTCGATATAGATATCGTTTATTTTTTCTTGAAAAGCTTGAAGAGTTGTTTCTAAGTTTACAAGCAAACTAACTTGTAAAAGTTTTCCCTGTTCAAATTTCTCATACATACGTTTTTCTTTGTTATAGTATCGAACTTCAAAACCGACCGTAAATGGGAAACCATGTATGGCTTCTGAAATGAACTTCATTCTACGAAAGCCAATAGCTTTTGTGACAGATGGGTCTCTTAGCCATCTTAATGGGTAGTCAAAACGATAGCCTTCATGCTTTACGGTCTCTGTCTCAAACTTTTGACCGACATTAGTAAAAAGTTCATCTAATGGTTTAGTTGTAGCAACTCTTGAATTTTCTTTTTCTATTGGAAGCATATTTTATCTAGAATAAAAATGTCGAAAGATATTGCTTCCATGAGAGAAATACAACACAACCGACAACTCATTATGCAAGCTCTAAATAAGAACACAACAAACTTTTCAAACTATTCTAAGATATCTGAGTCATTGAAAGAAGGAAACTTAAAACTGACAATAAACCCAATGACAGATGAGTTTCTGTTTCAAGACAATAAGAACCATACTGTCTGTATAAATCCAACAAAAGGAACTTTAAACGAGAAACCTATAAATGAACTTCTTTTGAAAGCAGATGTTGACAACAAAGCTGACAAAGAATATGTAGACGATGCAATAGCAAAAGAAGAAGAAAGAGCTAACAATGCTTATGCAACAAAAGAACATACTCATCCTGAACTAGCAGACAAAACATATGTTGACAATAAAATGTCAAGTGAGTGACAAGAGCTGAAAACGAATATTTCTAAAAAGGACTCATACACATTCTATATCTGAAATAACAGACTTAAACGTTAGCCTTGAAAAGAAAGCGGATGAGGAATATGTGGCTAGTAAGTTAGAGAAGAAAGCAGATAAGACTCATACACATACAAGTTTTACAACTTTTACAGCAGATGATATTACACTAAACACAACCTTGCCAAGTAAAGGTCCAAACAATACCACCGGCAACAAGTCTTGTAGATACTTTGATATCTAATGACAATAGTATTATACATCTAAGACAGGAACTCAATGTGCTTAAACAAATTTTGCCGAATCTTATTTACCCGGTTGGCTCATTATATGTTTCAATGAACTCTACCAGACCAGAAGTAGTACTGGTGTTTGCATGGGAACAAATAGTCGACAGGTTTTTGTATTGTGCAAACTCTTCAAAGGAAACAGGTGGAAGTAAAACGATTTCAGGTGAAAATTTACCTGCACACAGTCACTACATAGATTTAAGTACATCTCAAGCAGGTTGGCATAAGCATAGATATTGGGATTGGTCAGCAATGACAAAAGGTAAAGGATATGATGTTAAAGACAACGTTAAGTTTGCTATAAATTGTTACTGGAGTAACACTCAGGGAGAGGAAACCATACACATCACGTTTCAGGATATACGCAAACAACGGGACAAAGTAAAGAATACATGCCACCTTACATGACAGTTTACGCATGGTATAGAAATTGCTTAGTCGTCATTTTCAACTTCTTTAGCATATTCGTCAGGAGTTGTCTTATATTTGTTAGGAACTGTCTTTGAAAGTATACCACCTTGAACTTTGACAAGTTTGAAACGAGGTCTGACAATAGTAGTTTTATCTTCTGCTTGCAGTCTGTACATTTTGCCATGTTTGCCTAAAACTTCATAATATTCTCTTGTATACTTTCTTCTATTTTTACGAACACGAATGTGAGTACCTGTCGGGTTCCCATTGTTGTCATAGTCAATAGTATTTTCATATGGGTCGCGTTTAGGTATTTCTATTTTTACTTTGTCACCTTTCTGAAGTTTGAAGCCCGGCATTCTTTCTTGTTTGTCTCTTTTGACTAAATTATTAAATATATAGTCTTTCTCTAAGTCAGGGTTGTTTTTCATTTCTTCGGGGGAGTGGTTTCCCAAACCTTTTTGTTTACGGCTATTGTAAATATTTAAAACTTGTCTCATCTTTGCCATGGAGAAGTGTCTATATTTGTCGTCATATGACATTTCATTTGCTTCACCACCTTGTGGTTGGTTTAAGTCTCTTAACATTTTTATACAACCGTCAATGACACCAAGAGCAGAATGGTTTTGGTCGACAATGAAATATTGGTTTACATTTTTTGAACGCAGATAGTTTTTAATATCATCTGATTTGAAAGAACTTTCACAGTCAGATGTCAGTTTTGTTGGATGGTATTTGTCAACGAATATTGTCAAAGCAGTTTTCACATCTAAAATATTTTTGGACCATAATGGTATGGCTTCACAGTATCTTGTGTTTTGACCGACAAATATTAGCCAGTATGGTGGTCCATCTGTTCTAACTCTCGGAATGTTTTCCAAGATATCCATAAACCAAGCATTTGGTGTTGAACTAAAGATTTTTATCATGAGTGCTTTTTTGTCGCTTTAGAAACATAGGGGTCCTTGTTTGGATTCGTCATTTTTTATCCTATAAGAAATGGGTTTATTTGGCGCATTAGCAGGAGTTGCATCCAGATTTTTGCCCGCAGTGGGAACAATAGCCAGAGGTGTATTTGGAGTTGGAAGGAAGATTTTGAGTACATTAGGTATACTTAAAGAGAAAGCACAACCTATTATACAAACTGTACAGAAAGGTTGGGATGTAGCACGAGATGCAACAAATCTTATTCCAAATCCTGAAACAAGAGGAAAAGTTCAAGGATGGATGGACAATGTAGGAAGACAAGCAGGAAACTATTATAACAAAGCAAATGACTACTATAACCAAGCAGGACACTATATGGACCAAGGTGAAAGATTCTTTAACAGAGGATATAACCATGCACAACAATGGGTAAACAATAACCAACCTCAACCGCCTCAAACGTGGGGAATGTAAAGTTTTTTACTGAGATGAAATGAACAATACAGCATTGAGAAAATGGGTTCAAGATGATTTGTCGGCTTCCAGCAGTTACACAACGTGTTTGTCAAGTTCTTCCTATACCTCAGGAAGTTTTAGACCGACTTAAAAAACAAAACAACCAGTTGAAAACAAACCAAACTAAAATTTTTTACTGAGATGAAATGACCGAAGAAGTTGAAACGGTAGATTTGACACCACAAACAAAAAGTTCAGAACCATTGTCAAAACCTGTCAAAGAACTTACAGATGAAGAGAAAAATTCAATAATAGAAAGTGCCAGGTCTGGAAATACAAACCCTAACTACAAAGTCACTTTTCATAAAAATGGAACGGCAAGTATCTCAAAAAAGAAACAGACTCTCACAAATAAAATATTGAAGTCTGAAGGAGCTTTCGAGACAACAGATGGAAAAGTTTACTTCACTGACCAACAGTTCATTATAGAACATCTCATTGACTTAGAGTCGAAATATTCTAAACTTTACAACAAACACAAAAAGTTGAAAGGAAAACAAAAACAAATGGCATATGATATTTATGAAGATGTTGACGACACAACTGTTCCTGCAAGTGAAGTAAAGTCAGAGAAACCGAAAAGTGACGAAAAACCGATAGAAGAAGAAAAAACCAAAAACTGAAGATAAACCAAAACCAAAGTTTTAGTTTGGAAACTAAACCAAGTCAACCTTCATTAGCTGGTATGGGTTGGCGTCAAAGACTTATGGCAGCAGGCGGTTATGTAAAGTAAAGAAAAAAATATTTTTTTATTTTTATAAAAATGCCCCCATATAGAATGGATAGAAAATCTGCTAGAATAAAAGCAGAGTTGCAAAGATATGGTTGGAGAGTTTCGAAGAATTTTAAATATAGGAAGGGAAGACCCATAAAAGTCTATGACAAACTGTCTGGTCTCCTACGAAATGGATTTGGAAACAGCACGTGCAAATTATCCAAACAGACTAGAGAGGTTAGAAGAAGAACGTCTTATGGACATGCCTTTCGATGTTAGTGAACCTCAAGTTGAAGGACACGACGGCTTTGCCAGATTCTACTGGAAACATGACGAACAATTGCATCCTTTGAGAAGGAAAAAAAAGGTGCAGACACATGCTCCCATGGAAAGAACAAGATATGCATATGAGAAGTATCGTGAAGTTAGAAGTCAAATTACATCTGGTCGAACCTTTACAGTAAACTTTGACGAAGGAAAGAACAAAGAAGGCTTCATGGGAGTACTTGCTGCAATTCAAGACGGAAATAAGAAAGGATACAATCTCAGATTGACCATAACAGATTTGGATGGTCACATTTACTATGCACATGGCAATGTCACAACAGCTGCAATGCTTCTTGACGCTTTCAAGACTACAAAGAGAGAACAAATGGTTGACTCCGACTCAGACATTTTGAATGCAATTGAAGGAATTGCAAGTGTCAAGTTCGAATGGTACCAACCTAACCCTCAAGCAGTCAGACAACATGCTGGATACTTCCCTTCATAAATAAGTCTGACATTGACTTGACAAGGTATGGAATTTACAATTCAATTGAAACAATTGTCAATGAACCTTGCATTCTTACATGTCTCAGGAACTCTGGTCTTGTTACAGAAGAGAAGATGAAGTATCTTGAGTCATGTGTGAAGACAAGGTACATTCTCAGAGGTCAATTGGCAAAAATTGCACCGTTGGCAAATGTCAATATCCGAGTCAGCATACCTACAGCTAAAGGTTCTTCACATGACGACTATGTTGTTGACAAAGACTTACCATGGTTGAAGATTGTAATTGTCCACAACCACTTCATGTTGAACGAAAGTCTTACAAACCCATTGTTCGGAAAAGGCAAGTGCAACATTGTCAGAGCTGTAAACATTCTTTTCGAGAAAGGTTTGTTGGAACCAATTCCAGATGACAAGCTGACAGAAACTTTTGTACCAAAAGACGAAACAAACTTTTCACTGTTAGCAAGACCAAAAGTTGTTCCAGACAAAGTTCTAGTACAAAAGAAGTACACAATTCCACAAGGAGTTGGATTGTTCGGATACCAACCTGAACCAGAAGAACTTCCAATGAGGTTGCAAGAACTTCAAGATGCTATAAACAAACTTCCATTGAGACATCCAATTGACGTCAAATTGTATTGGAGAGCATCTGAGTTAGGTCAGAAGGTTTTATATGAAACAGGTTGCTTCGACGATGTTTATGAGATAACAGGAGAAGTTTCTCAGAAGATAAGAGACTCACTTGAATTTCCACAAACTGGACCAATTGGTTGCGACAAGTTCGACTCACGAAAAGATATACTATGTCGACCTTAACGCTGCATACATGAGGTTTGTCCAATATATTCCGACTGGAATTCCAAACGAAGATGGTGAGTTCCCGGGAAGGAACTATACAGTTGGAAAAGTCATACAACAACTGTATGATATTAGGAAAGCTTCAAACCCCAAACTTGCAATGACACTCAAATTGCTTATGAATTCGACATGGGGATATTCCATTAAGAAACCTCAAGAGATGAAGAGTAAACATTATGAGAAGGTCGACAACTTTGTTGAAAGGTTTTCTCCTTTTGTTTTGAAGTACGAATTCACTCAAGGTCAAAGTGGCTTAGTAACCACATTAAAACCTATTGTCGAACATTGGTCTTACCCTCAGTTCGCAAAGGCAGTCCTTGACAACTACAACAAATTCTTCTCCGAAGTCAAATCGAAAGTTGTGGTTTACTATGAGAACATTGACGCACTCATGACGAACGAAGAAGGGTACAACAAACTCATTGAAATGGGTTTAGTCGGTGAGAAGATGGGTCAATTCAAATTGGACAAAATTTTCACCGAAGTTCATGTCCTCTCCAAGCGTAAGTACTGGGGCATACTTGAAGACGGCACAGAAATAAAACATTGCATGAAATAAAAAATTTTTATATTCCTTCCTAGCTAATTTCCGTTTAATTTCATGGTCGCCCTCGGAGTCTTTGAATCGGACAGGTCGAGTTACACCATTCTTGGTCTCAAACTCATATATAACCTGTTTGTCTGTATTTTCGTCGACTATGGCACGAGACACGAACATTGACCAAACGGACAAAAAAGTGTCATTTCGGATGGTCACGCAGCCAATCGCATTCGAGCACTTCGAAGAAGCCTTACGTTCCAAGGGAGAGGGTGTCTGGTGCAAGGCAGAGGTCATGAAACTCTACGAGCAGTACATCCTCAATGCCTGGGAGGACAAATCGTCCTTGGATTGGCAATTCTACCAACTCCTCTGGGACGACCTCCTACGCAACTGGGATAACGAAAGAGCCCAATTCAAAGGTCGGGAACTAATTTTGCAAATTACCCTTAATTTAACATACTTATCCAAATAAACACCTAAATTTACTTGGGGTTTCCCCCTAAAATAAAATTTTTTTACTCTTAGAACCACTCGAGGTTCTCCTTACGGTTGTTGAGCTTGTCACCGTCAATGTGTCTGACCCTCGACTTCTTGTCTGGATTTGGAACCCATTGCATGCCGACAAGCCTTCCCATGGAAGCTGAACCGTAATTCCGAAGGTTAAGGTTCAAGTGTCCCAAGTTGTTGAGGACTGGGGTAAGAACCTTGCCTGTCGCCTTGTTGCGGATTTTGTATGGGTAGGGTTGGGAAATTTCGTAAGCGTCATCGACAACAAGGGTTGACCAAACTTCCTTTTCTTCGTGTTTCTCTTCTTCTTCTTCCTCTTCTTCCTCTTCTTTGATAATACCTTCGGCAATTCTGTGTTCACGAAGTACGGTGTTGCATGTTCTGTCCTTTCCGAGTACCTTCCAGATGGCGTCTATCTCTTCGAAGAAACGGTAGATGAGTCGGGCAAGGTTTTGGTTCTCTATGTTGTATTGGCGCAAGGTTTCCGCGAAATCGTTCAGGACTTTCTCATTGGAAGCTTGGTTCATGAGGACATTGGCTTTGAGATTGGTTATCTCTTCCATAAGACTACTTTGGAGAGTCTTAATGGTGTTTGACAGATGAGCGTTCAATTGGGCAATTTGAATTTGAACTGGGCGCTTTTCTGGCAACCTTGAAAGGACATCTGCCATTGAGTTTGGCTTCGGTGCTTGTTCGGACATCGAAAAAATGAAGTGGTTTGAGAATGACGGTTTTACTTCAAAAAGCTTGTTATGACAGTTATGTCATACAACAAGTTTAAAATAATATCTTGTTCTTCTTCTGAACGTTTGTTGTCTCTTCCGATAAAAGTTTGGAACATGAGAACCAAAAAACGTTTTTTGAGGAACCGAAAGAGTTCAGGCAAACGTTCATATTCCGGATATGTTGGGAGCAGTTCGAAACATCTGAGCTGACTTTCGGACAAAATTGGGACAATGTCAACAAATTCATCTTTGGTCGGACTGCTTGAAGGTAAGTCCCTTACATGTAAGTAGCTCTGGTAAAGTCTTCTCATTTCTGCTAACTTTTGGAGTATAGCTTCGTAGTTTAGAAGTTTTAATTTTAATTGTCTTATTCCACTCTTGACATCTAAACGGTAACTATCCATGAGGTCAAGAGTAGCTTTGGTAGCTTTAAGTGGAGCTATCTGTTCCTTGACCTCTGCAATTTTGGTTGCAATTGTGATTTGAGCTCCTTCAAGTTCGCCGTCTATGTCGTTCTCAACGTCTTCAACGATGGCTTAAAACTCTTCATCGGTCCATTCAGATTGGTGTGGGACGAATTTAACTTGCTTCATTCAAAAAATGAAAAAAAATGTTTTTACTCTAAACGTTAAGGTTTACAGTACTGGTTGGATGTCGCCTTCACAGGTTATGTAGAACGGCTGACCAGAGAAGTGAAGGAGACCCCTGAGAATTTGGTTCATTCTTGGGAAAGGGTTCTCTCTGTTTGGAAGTTGTATCCAAGGACGCTTTGCAAAGAACTTGAGAAGAGCTTCTTTCTTTGCTTGCTTTATGTCGTCGTAGGCTGTCCCGTCTGGTATTTGAATTGGAATTCCAGTCGAAGTCTCGAGATTCAAGGCAGCCCTTCCCGTTATCCAACCGTTAACAAGCTTGCCTTTTACATTCTGCCTGAGGAAGTCTTTAACAAGCTCGTTAATTTCAATTAGGTAAATTGCCTCGTCGGTAGGTTCGACCTCGACCATTGCTACTGTCAGAAAAAGTACTGCTACTGTCAGTAAAAGTACTGCTACTGTCAGAAAAAGTACTGCTACTGTCAGTAAAAGTACTGCTACTGTCAGTAAAAAGGAAAATTTGAGAGGGTTTTCGACGATAAAGTACTGCTACTGTCAGTAAAAGTACTGCTACTGTCAGAAAAAGTACTGCTACTGTCAGTAAAAGTACTGCTACTGTCAGTAAAAGTACTGCTACTGTCAGAAAAAGTACTGCTACTGTCAGAAAAAGTACTGCTACTGTCAGTAAAAGTACTGCTACTGTCAGTAGCAGTACTGCTAGTAGCAGAGATTTTTATCGTTGTGGTCCGACGGTTAAGCCACAAACGAATGTCCGACGTCCCACCAACCGAGTCCATTCCCAAGCCAGAAGAACCGAAAGCTGCAGAACCACAACAGTCTCCTCAGCAACCTCAGTTCCAGCAAGTACCTCCGAATTTCTACCAATTTCCACCTCAAGGTTACTACCCACCACAAGGCTTCCCGAACTACCCTCCTCTGCCTATGCCTTACTTCCCCAACCCTTGGATGTTCCAGCAAGCTCCACCCCAGCAATTCCAATCTCAATCCCAATCGAAGAGAGCCCAAGAGTTCGAAGAAGGTCTGAACCGTTTACGCAAAGATTATGCCACAGCCCCGATGGAAGACGACAGGCTTTCAGTCTCTTCCCTAAGGTCGACCAATTCGACTCGTACCACAGATTCGGTTCGTGACCGTGAAGACTACCTCAAGCAGTCTGAGAGACTCTTCATCCTACAATCATTTACAGTTGGAGCTCTCAAAAACATGCACAATTACGAAGGTCAGGCACCAGCTGGAGACCGCAAAACAGACGTACTCGCAAGAGCCGTCCAGCTCGTCAAAACAAAGACTGAGATAGTCGACTTCATTCTTGCAGCTTGCCCATACAAGTAAAAAAAATAAACAATTACGAGTTAAACTTTTTATTCTTTCTTTTCTGAGTTGTTTAGAGCTGGTTTCTCTTGTAGGAACCTTTCGTACTCTTCCATGGTCATGTAATTGCGAATTTGGTACGCAATTCCAGGTTCGTTGTTTTTGAACCTTACGTATGTAACGCTTCCATCCTCCTCAGGGAAGTAAGCTGCTAACATCTGACCAAGTTTTCTCGGTGACTCGGAGCTCATAAAAATGTCACTTTTTCTATTAAACCGTTTTGGCATTTCTCATGAGTGAGTATAGTTCTGCCGAACCATTGGAAGAGAAGAAGTACTCTTGCTGGCAAAAGACAAAAATAGTTGCCTTAGTTGTCATTGCAATTGTACTCGTAATTGAATTCATTGTACTTCTCTTCACGTACATAAAACTCAGCAATGGTATTTGCTTTAAGAAGCTACCATCTTACTAAGACTAAACACTTAGATTTTTCAAGCTTGACTTTTTACAATTTGAATTTTGTTGCTGAATTCAGCAAAAATAATGTTTAGGGTAGAAGGTTAGATCTAACCTCATTTCTACCCTCATTTCTACCCTCTTGAATTTTCATGAATTTTATATATATTAATGTTTTCGTTATGCCACTTTGTGCCGTCAGTCAGTCAGTCAGTTTAGGAAATTTACACCAAAAAATAATGTTTAGGGTAGAAGGTTAGATCTAACCTGTTTTCTACCCTCATTTCTACCCTCTTGAATTTTCATGAATTTTCCCGAAATAAAAAATAAAGTTAGTTTTATTTTTTTTTTATTTTTTTATTTTGTATAAAAGAACAGAAATGTCAACAATCGGCACAACAACAATTCAAACAACAGCACCAAACTCGCTAGTCATGAATCCTACGTCAATGTTAGTAGAGATGAAAAGCTTCATTCCTTCTTCATATACTTTTGAAACAGAAATCCAGAAGATAAAGCAAGAACTTTTAACATGTAATTTAGACTGTAGTGCGAAAGATGAAACAAATGAACAGTATCTTTATGAAATGCAGGACCTCATCGACCATTTACCCAAACTACCTGAAATCCAACAACAAAAACTCACTATTCCTGAATTCGATGAAATAGAAGTGAAACCAACTGACTCAGTAGAAATAAAGAAGTTCATACGAAAGGTAAACTATGAGTTTCTAGGATTTCATTGCAACCATAAGGTTATGGACAAAGATTGCGACATGGTATATAAGAACATCTCTGACATATATAAATCTGAAGAATTTAAGACCTACGACAACTTTGTTTCGTTAGTTGCTGAATGTGTATGGCAGATAAGAGATCAAGATAGAAGAGGCAAAGTATGGAACAAACAAATAAGACCCGCTATGTTTGAGATGAAGAGAGCAATTGACGCTTTAGTTGTTTTAGCTGGTAAGGTTTCAGAATATAACGCAAAAATGAACCCGCAATGTTCTAAATGTAAAGCAGCAATGAGGAAATATAACTACTCCGTCAAAGAGATAGAACGTATGAGAAACGACTATGCAGACTTAAAGAAAGAAGCAGAAAAACCAGCAGAAGATAAAATGGACATGTTAGAATTTCTGAACAAAAACTATCCAACAGCAGAAGATTTCCTTCTATCTGACGTCAAGAAGAAATATAAAGAAACCTTCGGTATCGTTAAAACATTCGATGTACTAAAAGAAGAAATAGAAGCTACGAAACTGTTTAAAGTCTCACGAATTCATAACGTTTACCATGTAAAACGCTTATAAAATAACTGGGGTAGAAAAGAGGGTAGAAAACAGGTTAGATCTAACCTTCTACCCTAAACATTATTTTTGTCTGATTTACGCTCATTACGATG